CGTTTGGCCAATCAGAGAGCAGCAACATTCTTCATATTGAAGATTTAGCGCTGGCTTATTGGAGCTCTACTGCCTCCTATTTACGTCGAATTTTCTTATAAAATTAGTATATTTCGAAGTAAAACAATGTTTTTTCAACTTCTACAGCCAGCACCGACATTGTAGTAAACAAATATGTTATATTTGTTGTTTACCTACGTAATTCTAAGAGATACTGTGTAGCTGTCCTTGTTGCTCGGAAGATGCGCTGACAATTATTGTATATATTTACTGAATTTACCCAAGGGCCACTAACTATCTAGTGACCTCGAAGAGGACAGAAAGCCGGCAGCTTGTTAAAGGGCCCACCAATTGTCTTAATGATATTTTTTAGCTGGAATTTGGCATTTACGGCTTCAGCGGGTAGGCGGTTCCATGGGTTTATAGCCCTCTTGGTGGAAAAAAAACATCTGTTTTTAGTCCTACTTGAGAGAACATACTCTCCAACACTATATCTGTGATTGTCCTGTTATCAGTGACTTCATACCAAATGGTATGAGGTATTTTGAGCTCTGTAATTACTTCATACACTCAGGAATATTGGAAGATATTCTTGTGCTGCACCCAGATTTTGCCAGTGGAGGCTAATAGATCAGCATTAAGTATTTTGTTCTCTCCTAATTCCATGTATGACTGGCCATCCTGTGAGGTGAGGATGTTGGGTGAGCTTGTAGCTGGTTTTTGATCTACACTGTGTGGTCCTTTATACAGAATAGGGAAGCAGCACATTGCTGTGTATACCTAAACATGTTTAAAAATACATTGTTTGAGAGGAGTTTTGTAGAAACTGGTAAGAGTAATTATAATATAATGTTTTCATGATTCAGTGCTTACCTCTTGTGAAAATTGCTTAGAGTTGTTTAGTCAGAGTCGATTTGTTTTTTGTATTGAGGCTGGTATTTTCTAAATTGATTCCATGTACAGTATCTCTAACCATCCTGTGAGATGGGAGTATTAGATAAACTTATAGCTAGTTTTTTATCTACACTGTGTAATATTCCATATAGAATAGGGTAGCAGCACATTGCTGTGTATACCTAAATCTTCTTAATAAAAAAAATCAGTAATAAAAATGTTAAATTATAGTTGGTATTATTACAAATACAGTACTGTATTATCCTTATTAAATCATGTTGACCATGGATCATTAAGATCTCATGTTGATATGTAATACAAGTCATATTTCTTTTGAACTGCTAATCCATGCTAATCATTCATTAAATTGTGCATTATGTCTCAATTTTTCACTTCCTTGGATATACTGTACAGTACAAAAAGATAGGATAAAAATAAACTTGTAATATTTCTTTCATTATATTTTTCATTTAAATAACTGCATCAATATTTTTACAGCTGACAGGATTTGTTTTCCCATACAGGTGCATTATTTGTTAAAAAGAAATTGGTTTATTGTTACACACAATGGTGCTACATAGCCTTCCCAGCTTGGTGCCTTCTTTTAATACTTACTGATTAAAAAATAAATAATAAATACATTTTATTCAGGAAAAGTACATACAGTTGATTTACAAACATAATGATGGATTTATAGACAGAGCTAGTACATACAATACCTAAAGCCACTAATACTCATAGCATTTCGGGCAAGGTGTGGGGGAAAAAAACAGACTAAAACTTAATAGTAATCGGGATTAGGTATAAATTGTGTTGAAAGAAGGAATAAAAAATACAAAAAGGGGGTTAACATAGCATAAATCAGCAATTGCACATATTGGTGAACAGCGTTGTTTAAAAAATAGCAAGACATGGGTTGACATTTAGGAGGTAAGTTAGGTTACATGGAGTTAATTAGGCAGTACTTGGTTTAACTCTTAAACTGGTTGAGAGAGGTACAGCCTTTGACATGATTCGGGAGGTCATTCCACATTCTGGGTCCCTTGATTTGTAGAGCACTTCTAGTTTGGTTACACACAGCCAAATTGAGTAACAGGAAGAGGTCTTGGACACAAATTTGTTCCATGCTAAATGTAGAGGAATCAGCTGAGTATTCCTCAAATAAAATAAGTTGCCTCAGCTTATAAGGTAAATAAAATAAGCATTTCTCAAATAAGTAGCTGCCTCACCTCACTGCCTTACTGCTACATAGCCTTCCCGGCATGGTGCCTTCTTTTGATAATTACTTGTTCCACACCCAAATTGTATAACAGGAAGAGGTCTTGGACCCCTACTTCCCTCTCTCTTTTTAATAATCTATATAGTCATAATTATAGCTTTAAGTATTCAATGAATAAAGTTTTTGACATGTTTACCCTTTTCCTTACCTAACATCATTTGTGCAGCATATTTTTATTTTATGTCTCACCCAGATTTAATTTCAAAATAAAACCAAACTAAATAAATTAGAAATGGGTATGTATAGCTAAGGTACACCCTTACTACTAGGTGAACAGGGGCATTTGGTGATAGTAAATGATCCCATCAGGCAGGGCTCATCACCTTCTCTCATATTTCATGTTCACCAGTGTTTATTTACTTAATAACTACTGGTATAATATCTTGCTATTATAAAACTAATTCTACTATCATCAAACACATATTTACTTCAAGTTTCAAGCAGAGAATGCATATATAACTAACACGAAGGATTCCTCTTCACTAGATTCACCAGCTATAATATTTTGGTCATGTTCCAATATCATAAATCGATCCCAGTGTTATGTAGTAGAGAAAAAATGACTTATATCCAGTTTACGTAAAGCTACGAGTGGTCGAAACCACACTTAAATCCAGGAATGCAGTCTCCGTGGTGTAGTGGTAGCAGTCTCCGTGGTGTAGTGGTAAGACACTCGCCTGGCGTTCCGCGAGCGCTATGTCATGGGTTCGTATCCTGGCCGGGGAGGATTTACTGGGCGCAATTCCTTAACTGTAGCCTCTGTTTAACGCAACAGTAAAATGTGTACTTGGATGAAAAAACGATTCTTCGCGGCAGGGGATCGTATTCCAGGGACCATAGGATTAAGGACTTGCCCGAAACGCTACGAGTACTAGTGGCTGTACAAGAATGTAACAACTCTTGTATATATCTCAAAAAAAAAAAAAGAATGAACTTACGAAGATTTTTCCACTTAGGGTAGTTAATTGAATACGGACGTAGCCGCCACGAAGGCGCTAAGACGGAAAACGCTCTTAGCTAAGAGGAAAAACCTTCGTAAGTACCTTCCTGAATCCGGCCCCAGGGGCCGGATTCAGGTCTACAAGATTTTGTTGAAAATTCTTGGTGAACTATTGCTCTGAGACTGCTTATTGGCAATCCAAGATTATACTCAGTTTCTCCTTTCAAGGCAGATTCTTTGGCTAAGTCATTAGCTCTATCATGCATTCGGAGGCCAACATGAAATGGCGACCACATTAGATGGACTCTGTTACCATCATTAATAATGGTCAGTAATTCGACCGTGTGGGATGGGAAGGGGGGACCTCGATAAAAAGCTTAACGTGTACGAATACACTGACTGCTTTCCCCCGACACAATTAATTCTTAATATCAGGAAGAGGGGGGGATAGGGTAGAGTAAGTGAGTAGTTAGTGTGGAGTACGAGGGCTGGGTGTCCCGGTGACAGCTCACCCGTGACGTCATTATTGATCAAGCGCCAGCCGTGTTGGCAGTGTGGAATACCAAACACCTGTCCGGCCGAGCGCCCGAGCACTCAGGTAACACTTGTAGCCACCTCAGCTACCAAATACAGCCACTGTATCATGCACAGTAGTATAGGGAGAGCCCGTTGTCGCTTGCTGACTCGCGTCGTGGCCAAGTGCAGTGGGAATCTTGCTCGCAGAGTACAGATAACTTTACGAATAATTATGCATAATATTTACTGTAGAAGCTAAGGTCATTTCGTTATGTGTTCATTAGTAAGGTTTTATAGTTTAAGTATTGGTAATGTATAAAAATGAGCATGACAGGAAGCTATTAATCTTGTAAATTGTACTGTGCCATTTAACTGACATGTCCTATCACAGGAAAATTAAAGTATTTCTTCAGCTGTTACTTTTAGCATAAATTACATTATGACATTAGCTAAGAGTGCCGTTGTGTTATCAAGGGAGAGAGGCACACTATAATGAGGGGAGTGTAGTATATGGTATTGTGTTGAAGTGTCCCTTTTCCAGCTCCTTGTCTACCTATCTAATTGGATCTAACCTAGCTCATCCAGATATGCCATGAAAGCATGTTTAGATGAAATTAATTTAATAATTCCACTCATCATGAGTGGGTGTCACACTGGTATGGTCAAATTGCACAATGCACTTCATTTCATTTTCTAATTCTTGTAAAAAGCTAATACTGTACAGTTAATTGACAGTCGAGAGGTGGGACCAAAGAGCTGAGGCTCAACCTGTGTAAGCATAACTTGGCGAGTACTGTATATCATTACGGTAGACTGTGTTAGCTTAGGTCGAGTTAGGTTCCGATTGGTCCAGTTGGGTTAGGTTGTAATGTGTAGGAGAAGTTGGGTAAGGTTAAGTAGCGTGGGGATGAGTGGGCTAATGCATTTTGTGAACTTTCTAGAATACATACAACACCCACATTTTTTCTGTTTTGAATATTACAATTTTTGTTTGTTAATTAAAAATTTAGATCTAGTCACCCCATATAATACTTATATTTATAGTTAGAAAATTATATTTATGAAAATTATATTTATTATATTTATGACTTTTTTCCAGAAGTAACAAAAGTAATTTGAAATTGAGTTAGAATGCAAGAGGAATCAGACACTACCACGGCATTGAAGGAGGTATTGCCTCGTAAAGGTTTATTGTACCAAGAGGACTCGGCTTACTTGGCATTGTGCCGCCCCAAGCTCATGCCCCTGAAATCTGTTACCTTGGAGAAGTTAGAAGCCATGCAGAAGAATGCACAAGACAAACTTCGGCAGCAGCAGGAACAGCAGCAGCAGGGGTTGACCTCAGGCTCTAGTGCCAAACCTCATTTCTTCTGATACTGTATTTCTTGTGAATTCTTGAAGTTACCGTTATACAATACTGTATGTGCAATTTTTGTTTGCTCCCAGCACTTTCACACTAAGTTTCCTGCAAGTCTGCAATGAATGACTGACTAGCTATAGTTTAGCTGCAATTCATGGAGAGACTTTTTAACTTATAATTTGCTTGTGCTTGACTATGAACTAAATGGTTCTTGCACTTCATCTTAGTACTACAATATGGTGAAAGCATAGTGCATTGATTTTTACACCTTAAACACACTGCTTGAAAATAGTTTTATCACCCACTGATGTAGAGCCAACTGTCCTGCTCTAAGACTAAAAGTCTGAACTCTTTTAAACAAAACGTGTAATGAATGACCTTCTATAGTGAATGTTATGCTTTGTTAAATATGTGTAGTGGTGAATCTCTTGAATTATGCTGTTCATTTTTTAACATTTATATTTGACTTAGTTTGTTGTAAGCTTTATGCAAAGTTATTTTAATGAATTACTGTGGCATGCTAGTCCAAATAATGTTAAAGTCAGTTTAGGTTGTGAATGTAAGTGACATGTACATAAGAAAATGCGATATTGAAGCAAGTTAAAAAAAAAGACTCCTAGATCCATATAACTGACAAAATGGGAGTGGGACCTCTGGTTGTTGAGGTCCTTTTGACTTTCGTAGTGGCAGCCGTGGTGCTTTCTCAGTATGGTAACTGGTACCGCCATCACCTGGTGGTTACAGTGGCTGTACTAGTAGCCTGGTACTTCTCCATGCTTATCGTCTTCATTCTGCCTCTGGATGTGTCAAATGTGAGTATTCATGTTTCAACAAAGCGAAGCAACAGTGTATGTTGTATCTATTTGGAATGATTGTTGTAAAAGTGTATTCACCATGCATGTTTTATTACTCAAGTTCTGTATACAGTAGTACAGTATATAGTAGAACTTAGTTTGCTTCTGTCTCTTTATTAATGTATAATCTGAAAATATTGTTAATGTCTCATGAATATAACTTTATTTTTCATAATCCTGGGAGACAATTGATCCATAGTTTTTATCAGATTATGTATTAAGGTCTGTCCTGAGACTGAAAAATTATTTTATTAATATATTTTTAATCTATAGTATTGTATAGTTATGTTCTAAAACTTCCAAGATTGATTATTCCTATTTAATAATTAAAACTGCAATCATTCATAGAGGTGCAAACCTCAAATAATTGTAAAATAAAGAACAAATAGATAAGCAAACTTAGCAAGATGGTATGAAAGATCTAGGGATGGAAACTTAAGGTAAATGTTACCAGAGGTTTTGCACAAGGGAAATATTAATCTTGGTAACTAGTGATATATACTTTGTTTAATCTTCTAATTTCCATTTCTAGAGTTTTTCCCATTTGGTACAGTTTGTGTTTGAGTCATTTCTCCTTGTCAGTTATGAGTTTGTGCCATTGTGGGCAGTTAGCCTCCAGAATTTGCTGCGTCAGTGGTTATGGTTTTATGTGGTTCCCCATGTGTCTTCTGTAGCTCCTGCTGGGCCCAAGTTGTTTTTTCCCCTCACTCTTAGGCATGAGGTATGGCCACTCAATCAAGAATTATCTGGCCACTCTGCTCCGGTTGTGAGTGTGTACTTGTCCTGTTTTTAACCTGCCTGTTTGACTCTATGGGGGGGTTGTGCTTACCAAACCCCATAGAGGGGGTTTGCTTAGACCCTACTATGGATTTAACCCCATTGCTTTAGGTTTATCCCTCATTTTCTCTCCATCGGTTTGTTATTTCTTGCCACAGTGGTTTGGTAAAGCTGGAGTTTTAACCTGCATCAGCTGGCACGACTATCCAACCCTCTCCTCTACCCTCCATGCCATCTTTTCTTGTCTGTTAAGGGTTTCATCGGGTTTTTATCTTCCTTGAGCCTTCTTCAAGTACAACTTCCTCTGTGAGGTAAGGTAATTATCAGGAGAAAGCACTCAGCTATTATGACTATATAGCATTTGGAAGGGATATGAGGATAAGGATTTAGGATAGGATGGAGGAAAGGAATGGTGCCCAACCACTTGGACAGATGGTGTCCAAGTGCCCAACCCACCCTTCTTGTTTGGTGGAGGTCTTTGCTTTTGGTGGCTTACAAGTGAGAAGGCAGGCTGCCTGGAACCCTAGATGACCTGGGGCTCCCACCTGATGGCAGTCAAATGCATTGTGATTAAGGTGTTTACCCTGTGCCAGTGACTATTTACCTTGTTACCTCAGGATACCTAATTTTCTCCCAAGCTGTTGCTTATTTCCTTATGCTTATACTTTGTAGGTTTTTCTTGGCTTTGGGTAAATCTCTGATCTCCAGAGGTTCTAGTAGGCAAGGATGAGTCTTGGAGGCCTTTATGCATTTCCATAAAGCATGGCTGGACTAAAGTTTCTTTCAGAGAGCTTCTCAGGACTCGCCAGAAAAAGGGGTTTCATTATATTCAATGAGTGATTTTTTAATTTTTTAAATGATTATTCAAAAACAAATTACTGTATGTCAATGTTAAGATCCCGTTCATGAAGCAGCCTATATGACAGATACAGTATCAATACTGTACTTGATTTACTGTGTCATTAAATATCCATTCCACAAGGAAAACTGGGTATCAGAATTGAATATCTTGCATGCTCTTTTTATATTTAGATGTCTTTTTGTAATTAAGGAATTTTAATCAAATATTTGCATTTTTAATTAGATCTGTTTAACTTTTATATTTACTATTGTTATTTCTCATATATGTAGACAATCTACGAGAACTGTCTCCAAGACCATGTTGAACTGATGTCAACTAAACACTTAAGAGCAGTAGCTGGCAGTTCGGTGCCAGAGACCAACTTCAGTGATGCTGCTTTGAGCAACATACCACTGGATGATAGCAATGAGACAGTACTGACCACCCCTGCACCTCCTGCCCTGGAGTGCCACAAGCCGTGGAGTCTAGTTCCTGCAGGGGTGTTTCCTGTATTCTGGAGAATCGTGTATTGGACATCACAATTTTTAACATGGTATAGTGTTTTCATATAGTGTACTGAATCTTTAAATATTTCATTACTGTAAAGGAAGCGTCTGTTTGGTTTTGCAAATCAGCTATTCCTGAGACAGAACTAACAGTCCCACAGAATGTTTATTCTTAACTCTGAATAGAGCATGGTGCAAAAAGTATAGCTATACAGTATGTAGGCAGTATAAATTTTTAACTGTAAATGTCTTTCAGGTTAATATTACCATTGATGCAGTCCTACACAAAAGCAGGAGACTTCACTGTTGGAACCAAATTGCGGTCTGCTGTAATTGACAATGCCATATATTATGGGTCGTACCTACTAATCGTGGGCATCCTCTTCCTTTACATATTGCTTACAGATCTTGGCCTTGATGGGTGAGTAAGAAGTAATGGTGTCATTTAAGTTATTGTAGTTAGATGAAGCATGAATTTGATGAAAGTTTATGGTGCACAATTTTTTAAATATTGGTACAGGTAATTATATATTGATGACCACGAGCTAAAATAAAATATTATAACTTGTAACACAGTCAGCTTGCAACCAATCGGTCTTGGATTCGATTCCCAGACTGACAGATATAGAATGCTCCAAAATCACATCTGCATTTCTATAGACCATTGCTCCTCGTGCCTCTCAGAGGGGGGCCAGGTTCTGGCCGTGGTCCCTGCTAGGCCTAGAACTCCACCCACATCGACTGATGCCAAAAGTTAGGACTATCCCTATCAGCCTGGATAGCTCCGGGTAGCCTCTGGGACTCACCCAGAAAATGGTGTTTCATTACATTTAACGCTGGGTTTTTTTATTAGTAATGCTAGTACTGTATTTGTTTATTTATTTACCATACAAATACACAATTATAGGAATCACTAAAATAAATCTTATAATTTCTAAAATCTTTACAGGGCGAAGATACGTGCCATTGCCGCATCGGCTTCTAACACTTGGGGTTTGTTCTGGTTGGTGTTGCTGTTAGGTTATGGGTTGGTAGAGGTACCTCGCTCTTTATGGTACTCGGCCTCCATTGCCCACACACTTCACCATTCATATTTCCGAGCAGCTAAACTTTCTCAAGAGCGAGCAGAGTCCAATGAACGAGTTAATGATCTTTTACAGGTAAATCTTCATCATTTATCCAGTTAGTACTTTATGTATGCCAGACTTCCATTTATTTTCTTTAAAATACTTTTGTGGGATGCAGGATTTGGGTTTTACTGAGAAGGCTGCTTTACCTTCCTCACCACTAGTTTTATTGATAGATGTTCTGTATACTGAGGTATTATTTGGTTAATTAATTTATGTAACTTTATTTCTTAACATCATAAAATATAAATTTTGTTTTGTTTTGCATGTAGCATGTATTATTCTCTTGTGTTTATATGATGCAACTGACATTAGTGGTGTAGTGCCACAAATATTTAAAAAAAATTAATCACTTATCATTTACCGAAAACATTGAAAATAACCTCATTACATGGGTCATATTCTCATTAAAATTATATATATTTATTTATATTATTACTCCATCAAGGAGATTATATGCTCCTTGGTGGAGCCCTGTTGCTCGTGCATTGTTAATCGCCTAGAGAGAGACGTTGTTGTGTCTCTCTCCTAACACCAAACAGAACGGCTTGAAAGAGACCAACGTCGTCTATGCCTTCACATGCGCACTTGGGGACTGTCAGCCCGAAAGATCTCGGTATATAAGCAAGACAACAACGTCTCTCTCTCTCTAGGCGATTAACAATGCACAAGCAACAGGGCTCCATCAAGGGGCATATAATCTCACACAACCAGACCGTCACCAGAGAAATCTTTACGAGCAGCACAGAAATTATCGATAGATACGACGACAACAGGAGACTCGACATCAGCGAGGCTCTACACATCTAAAAGGCAAAACCAGCAATCAACAGCCAATTTACACATAATTACAGTCTACCCACTTCAAGACCCCGAACCAACACAGAAACATTTGAAGCAAGAGCATAGAACATGCAAAAGCCTTTATACCCATATGTCATTCATATACTTGTTCATCTCAAGCATGTCCTGCATCACCTCACCTAGGCGAATATAAACCTTGGCAGAGCATGTAAAACTTGTCTTTGAAAATATAAGGAGTGCCTTGCGAAACATTTTCCAAGGCGTCAGACCATAAATATAGAGTGAAAATGAACTTTGGAGAGTTGATTTTTCAACTACCCTCGACAGTGAAGAAAAACATAAGAAATATTTTGAGTGTAAATCACGAAATCTCTCTTGGCATGACAGTCTGACAATCATTTATAAGGAAAATCACTCGGCCTATTAGGCAAATCGGGCCTTGCATAGTAGGCCGAGAAGTGCGTTCTGGCTACTAGGTACGACATACATATATTATATATATATATGTCGTACCTAGTAGCCAGAACGCACTTCTCAGCCTACTATGCAAGGCCCGATTTGCCTAATAAGCCAAGTTTTCATGAATTAATTGGTTTTCGACTACCTAACCTACCTACCTAACTAAACCTATAGGTTAGGTTAGGTTAGGTTAGGTTAGGTATGGTTGGTTAGGTTCGGTCATATATCTACGTTAATTTTAACTCCAATAAAAAAAAATTGACCTCATACATAATGAAATGGGTAGCTTTATCATTTCATAAGAAAAAAATTAGAGAAAATGTATTAATTCAGGAAAACTTGGCTTATTAGGCAAATCGGGCCTTGCATAGTAGGCTGAGAAGTGCGTTCTGGCTACTTGGTACGACATATATATATATATATATGTCGTACCTAGTAGCCAGAACGCAATTCTCAGCCTACTATGCAAGACCAAATTTGCCTAATAAGCCAAGTTTTCCTTAATTAATATATTTTCTCTATTTTTTTTCTTATGAAATGATAAAGCTACCCATTTCATAATGTATGAGGTCAATTTTTTTTTATTGGAGTTAAAATTAACGTAGATATATGACCGAACCTAACCAACCCTACCTAACCTAACCTAATCTATCTTTATAGGTTAGGTTAGGTTAGGTAGCCGAAAAAGTTAGGTTAGGTTAGGTTAGGTAGGTTAGGTAGTCGAAAAACAATTAATTCATGAAAACTTGGCCTATTAGGCAAATTTGGCCATGCATAGTAGGCTGACAAGTGCGTTCTGGCTACTAGGTACGACATATATATATATATATATATATATATATATATATATATATATATATATATATATATATATATATATATATATATATATATATATATATATATATATATATATATTAATGTCGTACCTAGTAGCCAGAACGCACTTCTCGGCCTACTATTCAAGGCCCGATTTGCCTAATAAGCCTAGTTTTCCTGAATTAATATATTTTCTCTAATTTTTTTCTTATGAAATGATAAAGCTACCCATTTCATTATGTATGAGGTCAATTTTTTTTTATTGGAGTTAAAATTAACGTAGATATATGACTGAACCTAACCAACCCTACCTAACCTAACCTAACCTATCTTTATAGGTTAGGTTTGGTTAGGTAGTCGAAAAAGTTAGGTTAGGTTAGGTTAGGTAGTCGAAAAACAATTAATTCATGAAAACTTGGCTTATTAGGCAAATTTGGACTTGCATACTCGGCTGAGAAGTGCGTTCTGGCTACTAGGTACGACATATATATATATATATATATATATATATACACACACTGTATATAATGTACTTATATATTATGTATATATTTTTATTTATATATTATATTTACTATATATATTATTTATTTATTTATTTATTTAATTTTTTTTTAAGTGCAAGTTAGAGCAGCGATGCAATATTACAGTAATTGGTGTAACATACTTATTGAGTAAAGATGTGAATAATAATAAATTTGACTTAGTACTGATGCCTTAGTTCATGATTTGATGAAACAGATGTATTTACAGAGCATGCGTGCCCTTGGAGGAAGTGTTGGACCAGGGCACCCTCTTCGTTCTCATATGGATGTCATTGAGAACAAAATCCCAACAGAGCTGTTAGATCGTGTTATCCGGCAGGCTCCACTAGACTCGCCTCATGCCGATGTACCCTCTGAAAAGGCGTTGGTCAGGTTACACAAACAGGTGTGTAAAATTCAAGATGGTAATGTGAATGTTAATTTATGTTAAATTTATGAGTTAGTTTATGAAGTTTAACAATATGGAAATTAGATGGAGAATATTAAGCTTAAATAAGCTTTTAAGTTACTTTTAGTGAATAAAGAGACTAGTTTTGAAAAGAGCTAGACAAGTACACACGTTTATTTGAATTTGAGGTCTACCTCCTTCTTGGCCTCAAGAGGCCAAGAGACCAGAGACAGGAAGCCATCAGCTTCTCAATAGAACCTCTCATTATTCCTGAGGATATTTTTTCAACTCGATTTTAAGCTGAAGTACTCTCTTGGCATTTATGGCTTTGGTGGGTAGGTGATTCCTTGGGTTTATTATCCTATGGGTGAAGAGGCATTTTTTTCTTTTTATGTTATGAGGAATGATATTTTCACTCTGCATTGAACATTTTCCAAAGTAGCTATGTTCTTTTGAGGGTGAAGTCTCCATGTTTGGATGCATTAGTCCAGATGTGAGCACATGCCTTCTTAGCGTGTGCAGTACAGTACAGCTGAATTATGTACAGTATTCGGCTTAAATCAGTTTTATTCTAACTTCCAACACTTTCCTCATACTAGTGCAATTTCCTTTTTATCAAAAACAGGTCACAGTCCAACTTATTTCCAAAAATAAAAATATGTTTGATCATTCAAATTTAATGAACTTTTGTCAATGGAAAGACAGCATTTTAAATAAATAGTATATAATTTGATCATAGTTGCCTGTGGAAGTATTAGAGTTGAGAATTTTTCATAAATAAACTTATACTATTGTGCCACTTGATTTTGCCACCCTTTCAATAAATGCAGTACTGGTTTCTGAGGAAGCCCCGTCAGCTCCCTGGAGCTATCCAGGCTGAAAGGATATGTATAACTTTCTGGCATCAGTCAATGTGTATGGAGTTCTTGCCTACCAGGGACCACGAGCCAGAACCTGGCCTCCCTCAGAGAGGAGCAAGGAGCAATAGCCTATAGAAACTCCCATATGGTTGGGAGCATTCTATGTCTGCCATCAATTATGTCTGACACCAGAAAAGTAGGTGTCCCAAAACAAACCCCTATTCTGGTGAAACTATTGCTACTGAAAGCTGAATGAGTGGACAGAACTCCCCAAACGAAAATTAGCAAACAAGCATGACATCATCACGTCGCTGCACTGCTGTCTGCGCAACCCCTTCCCTCCCCGGGAGGGGAAAGGGGGAGCCCCAGACCCTCCATGCCGGCGATCCAACTGGCAGTTCTTGGCTGATGCGATTCTGGAGAAGTCGTGTGCCTCTGGCTCCTGTTTGGTCTCAGTTTTGTGCCTTGTGGTGTGGACTGTCTTTACAGGTGGTGTGTGAGCCAAGAGAAATATTCCGTGGTACTCGGGCTACATGCGCCTAGGATTCCCTGCCCTAGGTGCTCAGTAACTACTGCCCTTGGGGCCTCCTTCCATAAGTCACCTTGGGATCTTCCTTCGCTGTGTCCTTTACTGCTCGGTACTTGGCTGCCCTTGGGGTCAGCTGGGGTTTTGTTGCCCCTGTTTGTCTCATGTTCGTCACTGGTAGGGGCGTGGGGTACTGCACAGCTAGTTATCATCTATTATAGCTGCCGGCTCTGTTCTGCCTGGGTACGTTGTCCTCTTGCGGGGTTTTCCTTTTGTTTTTGTTTGTTCCTGCCTGGTGGAGGGGGGGGGGTCTGTCTTGTCCTCTTCCCCTCTGTTGTTGGGGTCGGTGTGTATTTTCTTCAGTGTGTTGGTGGTACCCCCTTGCTAAGCCCCCATGAGTAGGCACGTCCCAGGGGTTCAGCTTTTAGAAGTTCATTTGGTAAAATTTGACACTGATTCGCAGTACCCTGCTTGGGCTTTCCGTAGCGTCTAACCAAGGCCAAGGGCCCTAGGAAACCCCACAGGGGCTCCCGTGGTCTGATGGATGTGACCCTTGAGTCCTCTCTCGCTTCTTGCGAAATTGAAGGTTGCTCTGTCCCTATGTCTCAGGGCGACACTCACCGGTTGTGCCTCCGCCATTCTGCCTGTTGAGTCGGTGATTCTTTTGACCTAGAGTCGTGCGACGTTTCTTGTCTGTACGTGCTCCAGTTCACCCAAGCTACTGAACATGATATGTGGTGTAGGCAGCTGCTGCGTTGCATGCTCGGTTCGGTTGGTGCAGCACATTAGGTTGGTTGCGGCCCCGGATGCCCCGAGACTGCCTCGTTTTGGTTCTAGGGACCTGGACTTAGGGGTAGGAGTCGCCTCGGCTCTGGTTCTGTCCGCCTCTCCTGGTTCTTCCCATTCTGTTGTGCATTTGGTTCCTTCCCCCCATGCTTCCGGCATTGACACATCTGAGGGTTTCGGAGTTGGGGCAGGGTCTAGTTGGCGTTGAGACTTGGGCGGTCTCGGAGGTGCCCTCTTCCGGGGTGGTGGCGGAGGCATTCGAGCCTGTTCCTCCAGCCGTGGCGTATGGGTCTGACCAGTGAACTCCCTTCCTTAGTGTTTTCACGGCTGCCCCGGCTTTTTCTTCTGAGGCCAGGGCTTTGGGGGGACGGCTCGGCCCCGGGTCCTGTCGTGGAGGTTCCCGGGGCTGGGGAGGGGTTTACTGGTGGGGGGGGGGGCCTTGGCCCCGTTAGCCCCGCTTGGGTCTTGTGCCTCCCTCCCTCCCTCCCTCCGGTCGGCGGTGTTTTTTGCATATTTTGACATCCAGCCTAAAAACTGCCAGTTGGATCACCAGTGTGGAGGGTCTGGGGCTTTCCCTTCCGCCTCCCCCTTCAGAGGGGGGGGGGAAGGAAAAGACGGTGGCGCGTTGTGCAGACGGTGGCACGGCGACATGATGATGTCACGCTTGTTTGCTAATTTGCGTTTGAGGAGTTCTTTCTACTCGTTCGGCTTTCGGTAGCAATAGTTTCACCAGAATAGGGGTTTGTTTTAGGACACCTACCTTTCTGGGTATCAGACCCAATCAATGGCAGACATAGAATGCTCCCAGCCACATGGGGGTTTCTATAGGCCATTGCTCCTCGCACCTCTCTGAGGGGGCCAAGTTCTGGCTTGTGGTCCCCGGTAGGCAAGAACTCTATGCCATTGACTGATGCCAGAAAGTTATACATATCCATTCAGCCTTGATAGCTCCGGGGAGCCTCCGGGTTTCACCCAGAAAATGGCATTTCATTACATTCAACGCTGTTTTTTTTTATTCCTGTTACTGTACTTGGACCTATTCTGACTTTTCATGTTCTTTCACTTTGTCTCATTTGGCTGAACTTGTCAAGGGCAGTCGTCTTTCCTGTCATTAGCAGCTGCTTGTATAATACAGTATTTAAATCAGCATGTGAAATTATTTCTGACATATTTTGGATGCTTATTCAAGATTGAATACAGTGCTGTATTTAAAATGTTTTAGAAAAGATTCTACAATTGGAAAGATATTAGAGGAAAGAAGTCAACAAAGATGTATATGCAGTAAATTGGAACATGATTTCTAACCATTTAATAATCAAACTGTATCCTCTTCTTTCAATTTCTGGCCTGAGAAAGTTGAGATACATTTCATACTCTATGATGCATTTGAATTTTGTCAAAACATCTCATCTCTCCTTTCTCTTCTTTATATGACTCGGATCTCTTAAATCCAGCCCCTCTTTTATACCATATCAACATACCTTGTTGAGTTAAATTTTGTATCTTCACATATGGACTCTAAACCACTTGTGAATATTGTGCATGAGCATCTCTTCCTATGTACAAATGTGCATTACTGTTTGTTGACATAGTGTATTTAATATTCTTGTAGTCTTTATCCTTTTAAGTTATGTTCAATTTTATAAAAGATTCTGTATGAGACTGGAATTAATAACTTATTATAAAACAGCTGATCAAGGCACTACAAAATCAGCGGCGTGTAGAAACACAGTGGGTGTTGCTGGTGGAGAAAATTATGGCATTAGAAGACACACACCGCAATGCAATCTCCCATGATACCTCCTTCAAGCACTCCACACCACCTCGTAGACATTACATCATATCATACGTATATACACCAACAATGGGTAATATTTTACAACTTTAGTATATATATGTATATGTATATGTTTAATAATAGATATTGCTTTGTTCTCTGAATTCTGTGTAAGGCTTTTTCCTGTGTAGCAAATGCTGTATTTATGGGCCATGCCATATATAGTTTTGACTTAAGAATTTGTGCTTACCTATTAGTACATACCTAACATTGACTATAGGGAGTGAGATCTAGCTCTTTATCTCCTGCCTAATAGCTTTGTAATACTTGCTGAGTTATAATTTATTTTTCCTGATGTTTTAATTCTTTGTTAAATTTGGCCTTAAAGATGTGGATGGAAGTGGCTTCCACTTGTTGATCACCCATACATGATACAAATACATACTGTACTGGATTTCCTAACATTTCTTCGACTCTCTTGCATTCCCAGCATCCACTTGTGTCCTCATGTTCAACTTCCTCTCAACTCAGAGGCTGTCCATTTATATCATGACTATTCCTCTCGATATCTAATATATTGTGATGATGTATATTTTGTTTATTTTCTCCTAGAGGGTTGTGAGATTTTGTTTTCCTAACCTATCCTCATAGCTTAACTTTTTTTTCCAGCATTAATCTTGTTTCATACCTGTGCACTTTCTCAAATTTGGTTTTGTGCTTCACAACATGCCGATTCCAGATGGGTGCTGCATATTTCAGTCTACTGTGTAGATTGGCTTAACAAGAAATAAAAATCCTTATTTAGGATTTTAAAGGCCATTCTAATGTTTGCCAGCTCCCCAAATGCTGCTGATGTTACCATATTTATGTGTGCCTCTGGTGTTAGAATTATATCCACTCCTAAATCTATGTATCTTTCTGATTCCTTTAGATTCTCTTATGATGTAAACTCATCATGGCCTCCTTGTTTATCCATGATGTTACATAGTGTGAATGACATAAGAAATGGCCATGATTTCATTTAGTTATAGCAATCCTTAGTATAATATGTGGGACTCTTCAAAATTAAGAAGACTTCTAAAATGATTTTTCTTACTTCACTGAGGAATAATTTGTTTTTGTTTTGTTATATTTTCAAGAATGGCTTTGGCGGTGCCGTGTGAGAGGCTACCTCCTACGTGCCCTTGCTGTGTGCTTTGCACTAGTGTCAGTGGTGGTGGTGTGGTCGGAGTTGACGTTCTTCAGCACCAACCCAACCATCTCTCTATTTGCAGTGTTTGTCAACCTTGCCAAGACTAATTATGATTACTTTACAATTGAGGTAAGTGATTTAATTTTATAACATGCTCAAGAAAATAACCTGTCCCACACGGTGTTGAAAGACTGTGCTCAGTCGGTGCAATTCAGACCCTTTTGTTTGAAGAACATAAGGGTCATAACATTGGTGAAGCTAGGCGCAATAAGGGCTTAACACAACGGTCGGATGCCAGTGATACAGCACCTATGAGGATGATACAGCAAGCGTATCCAGGTGTAGCTCTGAGCCCCACCCTTGCCATCTCTAATGTATATAGATGATACGTAGATGAATCGTTTTCTGCGTTCAGTGATGATGCATCTGATACAAGTAGCATAGATTAACAGTGTTAGCGGCTTCCATGGTGGTGGTGTTCATTGATATTTTCAAGAATACCTAAATCTTTTCCTGACTGATGGACACTCTTTGAGGCTAGCTGAATCTCTTCCTGACTGATGGACACTCTTTGAGGCTAGCTGAATCTCTTCCTGTGTGGGACCTTACAAAGCGATCTTTTCAAGACTACCTTACAAATTGAGCTTTTCCTATAATCGTTTCAATACTACTTTATGCTTTACAAGCTTGGCTACATACCACCTACAAGTACTAAAGCCAAGGGTGCACGCAAGTGCGTTATTTGCAAGCACACATAACGATGAAACAGGAAGCAAAAATCTATCTGTAGCTGGTGCAAGGAGAGCAAAGTCGCGCTGTGTACCATGGACTACTTCGTTGACTATTATGCACCTCCAAAGTACTGAGTGTGTAATACAGTGTGTTACTGTGTAAATAGTATGTGAAACTGTACATATTGTAATATTAGTGAATTTTTACCACGTAATATTGTGACAATAAACATTTATTGTGGACACATTACTGACACATGTATCACAGTTTCATGGAAAATTATGAACATTCTACTGTATACATATTGTAAAGGTCACAAATATGCATCATATACGATAAATGAAACAAATAAAACCGCATTGGAAATGCATAGAAAAAATATTTGAAAATATATTTGTGGCAACACGCGGTGCTTGAATGGCCTGCGCGACCGTTTTGGTAGTGAGGAACATGAAGAATTTATAGAAATATAGAGAAGCACCAAGATGCAAGTAGATTTTTATTGTATACTAACTGTATACCCAGCCATGTGTTGCTGTGGCTCAGCAATGCATGTGCATTGCTGAGAGGGGACGAGGGGACCCCCGTCCCCTCGTCCTCTCCACCATTACCTCCTTTCCCCATCCTCTCGTCCTCCCCAGCATCTCCCACTTGACTGTTCCCTTATCCTCCCCACCATTCTCCACTTCCTCGTCCCCTCATCCCCAACATTCTCCCACTCTCTGTCCCCTCGTTCTCCCTGTCATTACCCCCACCCTGTCCCCTCATCCTCTCCACCATCCCCTACTCTCGTCCCCTCGTCCTCCCCCACCTTTCTCCACTCCCATCCCCTCGTCCTCCCCCACCTTTCCCCACTCCCATCCCCTCGTCTTCCCCACCATTCCCCACTCCTTCGTCCAGTGAGTTCCCAAATGATCTGATGTTCCCATCAGAAAAATGGGAACATCCAATGATCTGATGTTCCCATCACTGAAAAATAAGTAGAACTGTTAAAAAAATGAAATGAAAAAATAAATAAACTAAACTTACGAAATGAACAGCATAGTAAACAACACAGCTCAATTCCAATGCAATGTCACTCAAAATAATTTATCAAATTTAAAATAAATCGAAATCTATGAAAATTAAATTTATCAATGCAATTGGAAACATTGAAATGGAATCGTAACATATTTAGTACAGTGTGTAATTACCTAAGTGTAATTACCTAAGTGTAGTTACAGGATGAGAGCTACGCTCGTGGTGTCCCGTCTTCCCAGCACTCTTTGTCATATAACGCTTTGAAACTACTGACGGTCTTGGCCTCCACCACCTTCTCACTTAACTTGTTCCAACCGTCTACCACTCTATTTGCGAAGGTGAATTTTCTTATATTTCTTCGGCATCTGTGTTTAGCTAGTTTAAATCTATGACCTCTTGTTCTTGAAATTCCAGGTCTCAGGAAGTCTTCCCTGTCGATTTTATCAATTCCTGTTACTATTTTGTATGTAGTGATCATATCACCTCTTTTTCTTCTGTCTTCTAGTTTTGGCATATTTAATGCTTCTAACCTCTCCTCGTAGCTCTTGCCCTTCAGTTCTGGGAGCCACTTAGTAGCATGTCTTTGCACCTTTTCCAGTTTGTTGATGTGCTTCTTAAGATATGGGCACCACACAACAGCTGCATATTCTAGCTTTGGCCTAACAAAAGTCATGAACAATTTCTTTAGTATATCGCCATCCATGTATTTAAATGCAATTCTGAAGTTAGAAAGCATAGCATAGGCTCCTTGCACAATATTCTTTATGTGGTCCTCAGGTGATAGTTTTCTATCTAGAACCACTCCTAGATCTCTTTCTTTATCAGAATTCTTTAAAGATTTCTCACATAATATATAGGTTGTGTGGGGTCTATGTTCTCCTATTCCACATTCCATAACATGACATTTATTAACATTAAATTCCATTTGCCAAGTGGTGCTCCATATACTTATTTTGTCCAGGTCTTTTTGAAGGGCATGACAGTCATCTAAATTTCTTATCCTTCCTATTATCTTAGCATCATCAGCAAACATGTTCATATAATTCTGTATACCAACTGGTAGATCATTTATGTACACAATAAACATCACTGGTGCAAGAACTGAACCCTGTGGTACTCCACTTGTGACATTTCTCCATTCCGATACATTGCCTCTGATTACTGCCCTCATTTTTCTATCAGTCAGAAAATTTATCATCCATGTTAGAAGCTTACCTGTCACCCCTCCAATATTTTCCAGTTTCCAGAACAACCTCTTATGTGGAACTCTGTCGAAAGCCTTTTTTAGGTCCAGATAGATGCAGTCAACCCAACCATCTCTTTCCTGTAATATCTCTGTGGCTCGATCATAGAAACTGAGTAAATTCGATACACAGGATCTTCCAGATCGAAAACCATACTGTCTGTCTGATATTATATCATTTCTCTCTAGGTGTTCTACCCATTTAGTTTTGATTAGTTTTTCCAATACATTCACTATTACACTTGTCAATGATACAGGTCTATAATTGAGGGGGTCTTCCCTGCTGCCACTTTTGTAGATTGGAACTATGTTAGCCTGTTTCCACCCGTCTGCTACGATTCCTGTACACAGGGATGCCTGAAAGATCAGGTGAAGTGGAATGCTGAGCTCAGATGCACATTCTCTCAGAACCCATGTTGCTATTAACATGTAACAGATGGCACTGTTTTAAAAAAAAAAATCATGTTTTTACCTGTCACAGGTGTGGCATCTATATAGTAGGTACAGTATATAAAAACACGCGCGTATTCGAATGGAACGTTGTGTCAAAATTTCAAAGCAATTGGTGAAGAAGTTTCGAAGATTACAGCGTGTGTTGCTCTTACGTCCAACAGATGGCGCTGTTTAAAAAAAAAAAAAACATTTTTTTCCTGTCACAGGTGAGGCATGTATATACTGTAGTGGGGCCTCGACTTATGATGGTAATCCATTCCCAGAGACGGATCGTAAGTCGAAGCGATTTTTCCCATAAGAAATAAAGGGAATTGAATTAATCCGTTCCTCACCCTCGAAAATATTAACCTACAAATACACTTTATACTGAATACAATTTTTTTTCTAACTACAATACTGTACATATGGTTATCTTACCTTTATGGAGGATGCTTGATGGCATATGGAAGATGGTGATGAGGGGGAAGGAGGAGAGGTGTTACTGTTTGGAAGGGGAGTCCCCTTCCATTATCACATCAGGCAGTGATGTTTTCTCTGGGGTACTCTCTCTCCTATGTTTTGCCTGAATACCACTAGGACCTGGTTGTGGTTCAGTGCTTGTTTGTCTCACTAAAAATTTGTCAAGAGTCACTTGTTTTTGCCTTCGTTTTAACATTTGTCTGTAGTGATGCATCAGTATCATTGAATAGGTTAAGGCAAAGGCTTACTGCAGCTTGATTTGGGTGAGTCGTTTCAGCAAACGTTTGTAGTTCTTCCCATGCTGCACACATTTTCTTAATTGTTGAGGAAGGGACATTCGGTACTGGCACATCCTCCCCTGAAGAAATTTCCTCAGCTGCCTCTTCTTGCTGCTCCTTTTGAAGGGCTTGGAGTTCTTCGGTGATCAGTTCTTCATTGTTTTCTTCCACCAACTCCTCCACATCAGCATCATCCATCTCCAAACCCTATTGCCAACCCAGAGAAACAATTTCCTCAACAAGAGGCACTTCAGGTTCAGGCTCAAACCCCTCAGTCTCGTTCTGCAACACATTCAGGCCACAATTTTCTCCAGCTAGAGATCATGGTTCTTACAGTCACTTCTTGCCAGACTTTGTCTACAAGTTTTAAAGCACCACAAATGTTAAAATGTTTTTTCCAGAACTCTTTGAAGGCGAGTTGTGTGGCATCCGACACTTTGACACATCTCCGGAAAAGTGCCCTTTCATAAAGTTTCTTAAAATTGGCAATGATTTTCTGGTCTATAGGCTGAAGTAGAGGAGTGGTGTTGGGAGGAAGGAACTTTATTGTAACAAAACTAAATTCCTCCATCAATGAATCCTCCAAGCCTGGAGGATGGGCAGGAGTATTGTCGAGGAGAAGCAGGGCCTTGAGTGGCAAACTGTTCTGCAAATATTTTTTGATGGCAGAGTACACCACCTCATTCACCCACTCCATAAAAAATTGCCTAGTCACCCATGCCTTAGCATTAGCCTTCTACATCACACACATTTTGTGTTTCTGCACATTATATTTTTTAAAAACCCTTGGATTTTTGGAATGATACACAAGCAAGGGTTAATTTTCAAATCGCCACTCGCATTACCACACAACACAAGAGTAGACCGATCTTTCGTAGGCTTGTATCCAGGCAATGACTTCTCCTCCTTGGTAATGTATGTTTTCCTCGGCAATCTTTTCCAGAATTGCCCTGTCTTGTCACAATTAAACACTTGTTGCGGTAGGTATGTCTCATTCTGACAAAATCTTTAAATTTGCCAATGAATCTTTCAGCTGCTGGTTTGTCTGAGCTAGCAGCCTCCCCATGCCTCACAACACTATGATTGCCACTTCTTTTTCTAAATTACTCAAACCATCCCCTGCTCGCCTTAAACTCTTTCGCTTCTTGCATCACTCGTTCCAGGGGTTTTCTTTATAAGAGCTTCATGCAATTTTCTTGCCTTTTCACAAATGATGGCCTCTGAAACGCTATCACCTGCTAACTCCTTGCTGTGTATCCAAATTAATAACAACTGTTCAACATCCTCAAGTGTTTGTGTTCAATGTTTCGTGATTATTGATACGCCTTTTGCCACTTTAACACTCATAATGTCCTTTTTCTTAGCCAGTATGGTGGATATCATTGACTGAGATTTGCCTAGCTAGTTCAACAACCCGCCCACCATCTTCATATTTACGAATGATCTCTTGTTTTTGCTCTATGGTCATCCATACATGGGTTTTCATATGTTGAACCTTACCACTGACTTTCTTGGGACCCCATGGCATGATATATAATAATTACTTTTATGTTCAAAAAGCAAAAAATCACCACAAAAACAGAATTTCTTATAGGTGTGATCGTCACTAAGTGGGCAGCTGTAGTAAACTGAGGCAGGTCGGCTCGCATGACCAGGAACCACACGCTTGGTCAACCTAAACGTGTACCAACAAATATCTTTAGTCGACGACACCATCGTATTTCGAGTTGCATTTTTCTATCAAATTTACATCGTAACTCGAAATTATCTTAAGTTGGGGCAATTGTAAGTCGAGGTACCACTGTAGTAGATATATAAAAACACGCGTCTATTCGAATGCAATGTGTGAAAATTTCAACGCAGTCGGTAAAGAGATTTCGAAGATTTCCTTCACATGAAAAACACAGTTTTTCAAAAAAAGCATATTTTTTCTCATCACAGACGTAACATCTAGTACGTATATAAAAACCCGCTCGGATGCGAATTGAACGTTGTCAAAATTTCAAAGCAATCGGTGAAAAACGTTTAGAGATGAGCAATTTTGAACAAACGAACATTTACATTTTTATTTATATAGATGATATTACACATGTATTGGCCTAATAAAATCTGATACATAGAGCTAGTGCTATAAAGTGTCAAAACAGGAAAAGTCAGCAAGGTAAAAGTGAGACATGACTTATGCAATTGCTGCAACCCATCACAACCCATCCTCCGAATTGACAGTACGATTTAATACTAAGTGTAATAAGTACACTTTCTTACTGTAATAAGCAGTGCATAATTGCACTTATGGGGCTGTTACATTGACCCAACTCCCTCCCCGCTTTAATTCTTCTCGTTTTCTGTTAAGTCACTCAGAATTTTAGGATGACGTTTTCAATTTCGATTTGCAATACACAAGTTTTAAATATCAGGAATTTCTTTTTCAGGTTAATTAAACAATATAGACTTTATACAAAATTTTAAAATATCCTGAGTTACTTTACAATTTATTGATATATTTTAGTTTTATTAGTTTTATAAAACTGTAATATCAATATAGCTATAGGTTATGTACTAATTGTAATTAAGAAGCAATACAATTATTATCTTCAAAAACTAAGATGGTTAGGTGAGGGTGTGGTTTTCTATTCAGTTTTTCAGGGAAACTCAAATATTCACAATATATTTGACAGTACGATTTAATACTAAGTGAAAATAAGTACAATTCCTAACTGCTATTAATAGTACATAATTGCACTTATTTGTCTTCTTACATTTACCACCCCATTTTTGGAGGACGGGCTGAATTATATTATGTATTGTCTGTAACAATAAAATATTGTGTGTATAATTTATCATTCCTGGGGCTTTTACAAACTTTACATACCATCATTTGTCTTCGGTAAGATACCATGTACAGTACTGTACAATTTTAAGGAGATCAAATGTTTACTTCTTTTTCAGGTGATATCCTCCTTGTCAATGGCATACATAGCCCTGTGTGCCTATTCAACACTGTTCAAGATTCGTGTGCTAAACCTGTACTACTTGGCACCTCACCATCAAACAGATGAATATTCTCTCATATTTTCTGGTATGATGCTGTGCCGCCTCACTCCACCAATGTGCCTCAATTTCCTCTCCCTCATACACATGGACTCGCATGTCATCAAAGTGCGCACTGAGGAGACACATTATACACAGGTATGTGAAGCGGAGTATTATAAACTAAAGCAAAGGTATATTTAAATTGTGGGGGTGTAAATGTACGTTGATAGATTGGTGAATCTGTCACGACTTGATAAAGGGGTCGAGGACTGACTGAAACATTGTCACTTTCATCTCACGTCATGTGTGGGTTGGGTTATTAGATTTGTTAATATATGAGATAATATAGTTGAGTATGAAATGTAGTAAACTGCCTAGGTCCATTATTATTACCCCTGTTTCCCATTTTCATGGGGTGGGGAAGCATTAGTCCATAAAAGACTGTGAAGTATTATAAGAAGGTTGAAAATATTAAGAATGACATGATGACCAAACCCCACACCAGAAGATGAGACGACGACGTTTTGATCTGTCTTGGACCATTATCAAGTTGATTGTGATAATTATCATAATCGAGTTGATAATGGTCCAGGATGGACCGAAACGTCGTCGTCTCCTTATCTTCTGGTGTGGGGTTTGGTCATCATATCTTTAGCCATGTTATTATGACTCATTATCTGCATTAACCCTTGTGCTGCGCCAACCGAGAAATCTCATTCTGAGAGTTGTACTTTTTTTTTAATTAGGCTGTATTTTCATGCTTTTTATTGTTTTTGTCACTTTTTGTTTTGAAATGAAAATAGTTGAGTTTGGAAACAGTTTGACATTAACTTTACTTGAACATTTCTAAAAACAACAAAAATATGTCCTTAACAATTGCACTATGAAGTTTTTGCCAAAAACATGTGCGCAGTGCAGGGGTTAAGCTGCTAACGGGTCCTGAGGAGATTTACACCCCTGCGCAAGAAAAAAAAAATGATAAAAAATTATTTCGTCTTCTAAAAATGTTAATTTGTGTTCCCTGAGCACGGGAAAAATAAAAAAAAATCGTAGGTGACATATTTTGGTTGCAATAGGCCAAGGAAGTATGGCAAAATGTGGTCGTTGACAGAGCGGTCATCAGAGCTGGTCAGTGTCACCCGAGCTGACAGGTGGCAGTTGCCACAAAGATATTATTACCTAATTATTTCAATGTTTCTGATTGATTTTTTCTGAGTTTTTTTGCAGTAATATTATTCAATAGTGTGTATTGTGATATATTTATATAATAAAAAGGGTGAATCATCGCTATACTCAAAAGTATGGTGTGCATATTAGTGATTCAATTATTATGTTCATAAAACAATAAACAAATAGTTTTGCTGTTATTACACTCTATACACAGGTTATATATAAATATCTGCATGTTTTGTTCACCATAACGAACCACCAAGTTAGTATTGAGTCGAAAAGCAACGAGGAGTGACCGCCACACACCAGCCAGTCACTCGGTGCCGCTCCCTCAACAACGTCTCACTCACCCACTTTCTCCTCCCACTATCCTATTTTTCTGTGGGGAGCCCCTACGGCTCCCTGGAACCTATCGGGCTAATGTATGTTATGTTAGACCGGGACATTAGCTATGGAGTTCAGACCTACCAGGGACCAGCGCCAGAACCTGGCCCCTTCAGAGAGGTTTCAGGGAGCAGTGACCCTGGAAACCCCCATTATGGTTGGGGGTTTTCCTTATCTGCCATCGACCGGGGTTAGGCACCCTGAAAGGTAGGCATAACAAAACAAACCCCACATGGTAAAAAGCTACAACAAAAAACTAAACAGAGAGGTAAAAACTCCCTACAATCCCAAGGATACAATCAAACAATCAATTTACTGCTGTGCCGGTTGTCCGCCTAGCCCTCCCCTTCCCAGGAGGGGGAGGGGGGGCCCGGACCTCACCGCGCCGGCTGCCTTCAGTTCGTAAGCTAGTGTCAACCGGGATAGACGCTTCTCTGGCCTCAAATTCCTGGGTGGTGTTTGCCTCATGTGGCGTTCTCTGCTGTCTTTGTGTGGTGTGCGGTGGCCAGGAGTACCTCATCAGTGCCGGGGCTGCATGCGCTTAGGGGCTTCCTTCCCTAGGCGCCCTGTGAGTACTGCCCCTGCGTGTCAGGGTTATCTTCCTTGGGGCGTTGGGGAACCGCTCCTGTAGGGGTCCTTGCTGCTCGGCATTTGCCTCGCCCTTGGGGCCAGCTGGGGCTTGGGGCCCTTGTTTGGCCTTGGGTAGGGAGTGGTATTGTGCTGGTTAGGGCGTCAAGGTGTTGCACGGCCTGCCACCTAAGCGGCGCCCAGTTCCTGTTGCCTCTGGGGACGGTGTACTTTTGCGGGGTTTTTCTTTTGTTTTGTATTTGTTTGCCTGGTGGAGGTTCTGCCTCGTGGATCTATAGTTCCCCTGATATTGTTTTGGTGGCCCTCTGCTAGACCCCCGTGCTTGTACACGTTCCAGGGGTTTTCAGTGTTATCATCTACCCTTGTTTGTTTGGGTTTCTTAACCGGTTTCTTCACCTTGCCCGGGCTTCCCGTAGTTGTTACCCTACAGGCCCTGGAAACCCCTGTCGGGGTTCGGTAGACCCATGGATGCGTCTCCCGAGTTCCAGCCTGCCTTGTGCGGGTTTGAAGGTTGCAGTGTGCCCATGTCTCAAGGTGACAGTCACCTGTTTTGCCTCCGTCATGCTGCCTGTTGGCTCAACGACACCTTTGACCCGGAGTCTTGCGAGTCATGTTCTCTGCTTGTGCTCCAGTTTTACTCTGAGGATGTTCCTGTTAGGGTACAGGCAGCATCAGCGTTGCATGTTAGGTTTAGGTTATTGCAATGCACTAGGTTGGTTTCCCACCCGGATGCCCCGAGGCTGCCCCGTTTTGGTTTTAGGGACCTTGACCTGGGGAGCGTTAGTCGCTTCGGCTTTGGCTCCTGCCGCGCCCCCTGGTCCTTCCCCTGTGGTTCTTCCTGCACCTTTCCCCGTGTCCGGCTCCAAAACGTCTGAGGGTTTCGGCCTCGGCACATGGTTTAGTTGGTGGAGAGACTCGGGCTGCCTCGGGGGGCTGCCCCATCCGGGTCGGGGACGGAGGTATTTGAGCCAGTTCCTCCTGCTTCTGGGTCCCACCAGCAGACCCCTTCTTGTTTGCCTTTTCCTTGGACTCTGCCTTTTCTTCAGGGGTAGAGGGTTTGGAGAACGGCTCTGCCCCGGGTCCCGACGTCGGGGATCCTAGGGCTGGGGAGGAGTCAACCTGGGGGCCTTGGGCCCCCTTTGACCCAGCTTGGGTGCTTTTGCCTTCCTCACAGGGCTTATTGTTGCAGGGGGAGGGTTTTTCTTACCCCCCCCCCCCCTGTACGAGTATGATTTGGTTCGGCTCCTCCCTGGTTTCAGTTCCGGGCACCTTTGGGTACCTCGGATTTGTCTTTCCAGAGGTTTTCTACTTCCCGTATCTCTGCGAAGGTGGCTCGGGAAGCCCTTGTTGCTTACCTGTTGCGAGACCCGGGTTATGCTTCTGCAATGGATCCGTCCTCGTTTGAGTTCGGTTCTTCTTCCCGTTTTTGGGTGTGTTTGGAGGTTCCGGAGTCTTCCTGGCTGCCCTTTCTTTTCGTTGGGGACGTGGCATGGGTTCTGTTGGACCCGCACACTTGATTGGCGGGAAACTTCTACTTTTATGCAGGTTTACCTGGGGGCGAGTTTGAGCACCTTAATGCGTGCTTGTTCGCTCCTGTGCTTTCTCGGGATGTTGGCCTTTTCCAGCTTCACGTGCAGGTTCCTCAGCTTTCAGCTTCATTGGTTGTGGAGGAGTTGCGCGCCCATGGGCATTTGGCTTCAGTCTTGCGTTTCTTTTCCCTTCTCGAGCTGTCTTCTGCTTGGCTTGAGGAGGATGTGAGAGCGTTGAGTGAAGGGCCTTCATCTGGGGCGCTGACTTCGGCAGCTAGGGCGTTGGCTGCACCGTTGAAGTTCTTTGCGCCCATCCTGAAGGAAGCGGTGTCTCTGTTTTTTGCTTCTCGCCTCGCATGCCGTCAGGCTGTGCTCGCCCTCTCTTTGGACTCCACTTGGGCCCTGGCTCTTAAGTTTTCGTCTCCGTTTTGTCCGTTGCTGTTTGCAGAGACTGCGGTCTCTCAGTTTCTGCACGCGGCTTCGTTTAGTTGTCATCCTATGGCGGACTTGTTGATTTTTCGAAGCGGTCGTTCTCAGCAGTTTCGCTGGGGTCGTGCCAGGGTTCCAGGTTCTGTTGGTCGAGGTGGGCCATTGGTGCCAGTTTCTGAGCCGTTGTTTCCTTTGGGGCCAGCGTCGTCTGGTCGGTGCATTGATCGCTCTGTTCGACGTTTGGGTTCTTGTAAGGGGCGTCGGCCCTTTCGCGGTTCGCCCCGTTGATGGGGTGATGGGGGGGGGAGGCTCACTCTGTTTGCCCACGCTTGGTCCCACGATTTGTGGGCCTTTTCGGTTGTATCATCCGGCCTGCAGTGGCGTTGGGCGACTCATCCTCCTCTGGGGGGTTTGGGGCTAACAGGGCAGGTTTCTTCTCCTGCGCTTCGTCAAGTCATCTTGGAGTGGGTGCGCTTGGGCGTGGTCGAAACGACTACGTCCCTCAGGTAGGTTTCCCGTCTGTTTCCAGTGCAGAAACGGGACTGGGCGGATCTGAGGTTCATTCTGGACTTGTCCCGTCTGAACCCCTGGATTCTTTGCCCCTCCTTTCGGATGACTACTCTGTCTCAAGTACGGCTTCTGTTGGAGCCAGGTGCCTGGATGGTGTCCCTGGACCTCAAGGACGCCTATTGGCACGTTCCTATTCATCCGGGGTTTAGGGACTGGTTAGGTTTCGTGGTGGGGCGTCACGCTTACCGTTTTCAATGCCTAGCTTTTGGCTTGAATCTGGCACCTCGCGTTTTCACACTTCTGACCCGGGTTGTGGTGACCTGTCTGCGTCTTCTAGGGATTCGGGTTTTGGCCTACCTCGACGACTGGTTGGTGTGAGCTCCCAGTCGGTCAGCTTGTCTGGTCGCCAGGGATATGGTTCTTTCCCAGCTCGTCAGATTCGGGTTCCTGGTGAACTGGAGGAAGTCCCATCTGCTTCCGTCCTAGGTTCGGACCTGGCTGGGTCTTGTTTGGGATTCTCGGACCGCTTCCTTGTCGCTTCCTCCAGAGGCGTTGCTGCGGCTGCGGGACCGCCGTTGGCTGTTTCTGATGGGGTCCCGGGTCACTCCGTGGTTGCTCGAGCGGTTGTGCCAGCCTTGGTTGCTCCCACAGTACTGTGGCTCTCACACCGGAGAATATTGCCCATGATTTTTTTTAAACATGGCGTCTGTTTACATGAGTCCTGAGGAAGCTAATGTGAACCCCATGTAGCCACGGGCCATTTGAATCGTGCCTGGCACCCTATGGCGTATATATACGCCATGCGCACAGTGGGACATAAATTCAATGGCAAATTATGTATCTTTGTGTATTCATTCCAGCAAAAGATTTATTCTATATACCACAAGCCAATAAATACTTGCTTGCAGTACAGTATTGTAAAACTTCCTAGGGTATCGTTTGCTGTAGAAACTACTGATAACTTGATGCAAGGAGATACAGTACTATGTGTGTAGGAATTTTGGTAATTACCTAAGTGTAATGATTATGATAATGATTATGGTGTTACAATTGTTGTGCAATCTGCCACCAAGGGGTTTTATTACCCAGTAATATTAAGGACATTTCTTGCATTGTTATACACAAGTCATAAAAGCACCAAACTAATGTGAGACAGTGTTCAAATTTTACATAAACATCTTAACCCTTAAATAGCTCAGCTAATGAAAGGTCCTATACTGTGGTGCACATCACAAAATAAGAAAACTCATTTTGTGCAGTAAATAATCGCAGATGGCGATTAAACCCTTTCAAGGATTAAGTGATAAGAAAAAACTATTACGTCTTCCCAAATCCACTAGGAATCCCTTACAGGAATACCTTGTAAGCTTGAAACTTCAAAGTGTTTTATTATGTTCATGTTTGTGATAATATTTGTTTTTAACTACTTTGGATTTTTCCATAGATAATGGGCCATATGGATGTTATAAAGATCATCAGTGATGGATTCAACATTTATTTTCCCATGATGATCGTGGCACTTTGTCTGGCTACCTACTACAGCTTAGGATCCAGACTACTGTCTGCTCTAGGCTTCCAGCAATTCATGTGTGATGACGATCTTACAACAGATCTCATTGAAGAAGGCAAAACGCTAATTAGTAGAGGTATGAAAATTAATTATTTTAGCCAGGCTAATCTACTTTTCATGTTACTAAGATTTAAAGATAATTTTATATTTAAAATATCTAATTGAAGAATAATGGTACTCTGTATACATGAAGAATAATGGTACTCTGTATACATGAAGAATAATGGTACTCTGTATACATGAAGAATAATAGTACTCTGTATACATGAAGAATAATGGTACTCTGTATACATGAAGAATAATGGTATTCTGTATACAAATACTGTACAGAGGTTCTGTATTAAAAGATTTTCTTTATAGAATCTCGTCGTCGCCAGAGAATGGAAGATAATGCTGCCCGTCGAAAAGATTTTGCAGAGAGATTTGGGGGTGGAGAATCTTCTGCCAGTATGTACAGGTAAGATGGTGACCCCTTAGAGAATTTGCACCTGGTTGGGTGATATTATTTAGTGTTCTTCCTTGGAACTTATAAAGAGAACATAAGGATGCCTGAATTGTTGTCTATCAAGGTCTATCTCACAAAGGAATATTTATAGGGTGAGTGGGAAGGGGAACTATCAGGAAAAAGCACCAAGCCATTACAACTATTTAGCACTTGGAAGAAATCAGGATAAGGATTTGGGGTGGGACGAGGAGGGAAGGAATAGTGCCCAACCATTTAACCCTTAAGCTGCTAAGGGGTCCTGAGGAGATTTACACCCGTGCGCAAGAAAAAAAATTCTAAAAAATTATTTTCGTCTTCAAAAAATGTTAATTTGTGTTCCCTGAGCACGGGAAAAAAAAAAAAATCGTAGGTGACATATTTTGGGCGCAATAGGCCGAGGAAGTCTGGCAAAATGTGGGCGTTGACAGAGCGGTCGTCAGAGGCGGTCAGCGTCACCCGAGCTGACAGGTGGGAGTTGCCACAAAGATATTATTACCTAATTATTTCAATATCTGATTGATTTTTCTTAGTTTTTTGCAGTAATATTATTCAATAGTGTGTAGTGTGATAGATTTATATAATAAAATGTGTGAATCATCGCTATACTCAAAAGTATGGTGTTCATATTAGTGATTCAATTATTACGTTCATAAAGCAATAAACAAATAGTTTTGCAGTTATTACACTATATACACACATTATATATAAGTATCTACATGTTTTGTTCACCACAACTGTACAACTAAGCTGATATAGTTAGTTCAGGCACTAAGAGACATCGCTACACACACAGTCAGCTGGCGGCTGCCTCCCTCACTCATTCAAGGTCAGGCGCACTAAAATTTCTCCCCCAACAATACTGTTTGTGGTGTTATTACACTATATACACACATTATATATAAGTATCTACATGTTGTATGCACCGTAACTGTACACCTAAGCTTGTAGGGTGCCCAAAGAGCATAGTGGCCACCCTCTACACAGCTAGACAAGTCATGCAGACGACGCCACCTCCGTCACCCAAATGGCTCCTCCCAACATAATCCTTTTGCTGTTATTACACTAATACACACATTATATATAAGTATCTACATTTGTGTTCACCATAGAGAACCACTGAGCTGGTATGGTGAATGCAGACAATAACAGGTGGCCACACAGTCAGTAATCTCCCTCCCTCCCTCAGCATTACTCCTCCCACACAGCGCTAATTATCACAACAATCCTGCTATTATCACAATCCTGGTCATTTTTATCACAGTCAGGGGTCATCTGTAATACTGTCATCGCTAAATAATAGCAGTTACATATTTATTTTGACATTTTTAGGCGATGCTGTGGTCACAAGCTGAACAGCAATGCTGTTAGCTCATGCTGCATGCACCAGCCTTGGTTGCTCCCACAGTACTGTGGCTCTCACACCGGAGAATATTGCCCACGATTTTTTTTAAACATGGCGTCTGTTTACAAGAGCCCTGAGGAAGCTGATGTGAACCCCGTGTAGCCGCGGGCCATTTGAATCGTGCCTGGCACCCTATGGCGTATATATACGCCATGCGCACGGTGGGACATGTTACTCATGGCGTATATATATAGTTAATATGGTGAGAATTGGCAGATATCACCACCCTCCAATTTCTAATTATGGGGAGAGAGGAAAGTATTAAGAAAAGATTATTTTGATTACAGTAATGTCTTTTATGCTTTGTATTGTCATCAGAAAAATAGCTATGCAGCATCACATATATTTCATGTACTAAACATAAAGTACTCAGTTTGAATACTGTAGTTCCAAGTGAAATTCCAAAAATTTCCTCAGGCATTTTCCACTTACTAGTCCTGTGTGTAGTATTCTCATTTAACTTGTGTTATATTCCTGTGCTTACAAAATTTTCTCCCGTGGTCATTATCTCTGACCATCTTCTTAGTCTTCATCCTCCCCTTAGATTCATTTGAAAATGTATTATCCTTTACCACTTGACAATATAAGTAACATGTATATTCGGTTTTAGATCGGCTCGACAACGGGCAGAAGAGTTAGTCCGACCATTGAAACGAGATGATTCTTCTGAATCGGCTCAGCTAGAGCTTCTCGGGGGTTCAGACAGCATCGCCGACTACTCGTCACGAACAACCACCTCCTCTCTTACCATGGATGATGACCTGGAAACTGGTCATGGAGGTGGCAGGATGTCCGGGCTGGCACAATATTCAAGAGCTCGAACTCATAAGCCTGATAAAGGACTGTTTGATGATGTATAAGTACTACAAGATCCCAGAAAAGCCTTATTTAACTTATTTTAAAAATTGATATGATTCTCAACCTAATCATTGTCATATGACATTATATTAATATAATAAACTGTTCTTAAATTTTTTTTAATTTTAACAGGTTTCCAGGTCAATATGTTTGTTTGGATTAAGATTCCTTTTCTTACATTAGCATGTTCCATTTGTAAAATAGTTATATACAAAATATTTATCATATTTTCATTGCACAAATGTTTAGAAAAACTCATAGTACTGTAAATTAAATTGATTTTTTTTCTGTGACCCAAGAAAAGTATCTAAGTAAAGATATATACCCAAAGGTATACCCAAAGGTATACCCAAAGGTTTGAGAGTAAATTATGAATAACAAGATCTGTAATAATGCTGATATTATCAAGGAGTTCTCAGGTGTTTACCTAGTCAGTTACTCAGTGACGAATTAAGACCCAATTGCCGTGAAACCTCGGTGTTGGTATCCTTGTAATACATGGTATGCTCTATGTCTAGTACAAGAGCTGGGACACTAGAAAAACAGCATATTAGTAATATTGTAACTAGAAATATCTGTACTGTACCTTGAAGTTATCAGTGGATGTAGCTAATTAAATCACAGGTTGTATATCTACAGGTATTTCATATAACAAGAATGCCACATTTTAGACTAGAAGGGTATGAATGCAACTGAATTAACATCTCGTGTAATTTCCCTGAGAATTATGTACATCTTTAGTGTGGCTTCAATTAGACCAGAACCTTAACTTGATGGTGACCTAATTTTAGCCTGCCATTGTTAATAATACAGTGCAAATTGTCTAGCTGCATGACAACCTGCCTCTAGAACTAGTTACTAGGTCATGTGATACTCGTATGATGTTTTGATCTTACCCCATCAGCTTGAGTATATTAATGACAATTTTGGGCATATCATGCACTGTATAACTCATGAGTGATGGAAGCTAACACGAGGAATAATTAAGAATTGTTGTGGTTAAAGATAATGCACTTGGCATGTGTGTGTCTAATACAACATTGGTTGTTTGAATACTAATAAATCTTAAATTGAATATCAAAGTTTTCCTTCTGTTATCAAATACAGTACTGCAATTTAAGACTGAAATATTTCAGCCTTGCTTGGTTAAGTATAAATTTTGATTGAAATTCAGTACACTACTCAATTGTATGTTTCCCTTGGCCTTTTCTGGGGCCAAGAGGCAGACCCAGAGGCTCCCTGGAGCTATCCAGGCTGATATCCATATCAGCTTTCTGGCATCAGTCAACGTGCATGGAGTTTTTGCCTACTGGGGACCACGAACTAAAACCTGGCCCCCTCAGAGAGGCACGAGGAGCAATGGCCTATAGAAACCCCCCGTGTGGTTGGGGGCATTCTACGTCTGCCATCGGCTGGGTCTGGCACCCAGAAAGGTAGGCGCCCCAAAACAAACCCCTATTCTGGTGAAAATATTGCTACCAAAAACCGAACGAGTGGACAGAACTTCCCAAATGAAAATTAGCAAACAAGCACGATAGTCATCTGCGCAACCCCTCCCCTCTTACCGGGAGGGGTAAGGAGGAGCCCCAGGTGGTGGTGTGTGAGCCAGGAGTATTATTCTTCGGTACTCGGGCTGCATGTGCCTAGAGTTTGCTTCCCTAGCTTCCCTGTAAGTACTACCCTTGGGGCTTGGGGCCACCTTCCACAAGTCGCCTTGGGATCTACCTCTACTGTCTTTTTTACTGCTCGGTACTTGGCTGCCCATGGAGTCAGCTAGGGTTTTGTTTGCCTTTGTCTCTGGGTAGGGGTTAGTTTTTGTCACTGGTAGGGGCACAGGGTACTGCACAGCTAGATGTCACCTATTATAGCGGCCCACTCTGTTCCGCCTGGGTACATTGTCCTCTTGCAGGGTTTTTCTTTTGTTTTTGTTTTCCTGCTTGGTGGGGGGTCTGCCTTTGATTGGTTGCTCCCTGTCTATATTTAGGATATATATGTACTCATATTTGTGTTCTTGGTGGTAATCCCTGCTAGGCCCCTGTGAGTGGACACTTCCCGAAGGTTCAGCTTTTAGAAGTTTGCTTGGTAGTCTTGGGTGCCAGTTCGCAGTAGCCTGCCTGGGCTTTCCTTAGCGTGTTACCATTGCTAAGTGCCCTGGGAAACCCCGCAGGGGCTTCGTGGTTCAATGGATGCAACCCTTGAATCCCCTCTCGCTTCGTGCGAGGTTGATGGGTGCTCTGTCCCCTTGTCTCAGAGTGACAATCACCGGTTGTGCCTTCGCCATGCTGCCTGTAGGGTCGGTGATTCTTTTGACCAGGAGTCGTGCGACTTTTGTTGTTTGTATGTGCTCCAGTTCACCCTAGCTACTGATCATGATATGAGGGTGCATGCTAGGTTCAAGTTGCTGCAACGCGATGGGTTGGTTGCTTCCCCGGATGCCCCGTTTTGGTTTTAGGGACCTGGCCTTGGGGGGGGGGGGGGGGGGGGGTTGCTTCGTCTCGGCAGCAGTATGAAGTTTCCTGGCGGTCTTTCAGGTTTTCCTATCGCTGTGTATGTACTTCGGTCTCTGATAGTGTTGTTTTGTCCTTCCTTTCATGGTTGTTCCAGGACAGTCATCTTATGCTGCATACTGTCGCCTCGTGTTGTGCGGCGCTGGCAGGGCCGCTCCAGCTCGTGTACGATATTGATGTTACTCTGCTCCGTTCCACAAGCTGTCTCGTGAGTTGTTTCATCTCCGGCCTGCTCTTGAGCCATCCTGGTCTTTGGACCGGGTGCTCTCTCTTCTCCTTGGTTTGTGGTGGCCCCTTCGGTTCAGGAGGTATATGCAAAATATAACACTGCTCTCTCCTTGGGCTTACATTCTAAATACAGTAGTCTCGAGTAATTATCAAAAGAAGGCACCAAGCCGGGAAGACTATGTAGCTCCATCAAATGTGCGGAATAATCATAGGGTGCTAAATATCACCAAGGATGCCAATATGATAACAGAAATGCACAAGGCGAACGATATCAAAAGTATCTGATTCACCAAGAATTCTATCAAGGGACGGTCAGAAAGAAAGACACGATCATCCTGGAAGTCAGGACATTCAACAAGAATATGCTCGACTGTAAGAGGGACAATGTAGTTTGGACAATAAGGAGCAGGGTGGTGCTCCATTAAGTGTCCGTGAGATGTGTGTATGGCCAATACACAAATTTGCCAGAGCCGTTTCCCACCGCCGGTTATGGTGGTAGGAGGAATGCCACTGGGACACACTAACTACTCTTAAGAGTACACAGTTTGTTACCAGTAACAGAAGACCAACAACCCTGCCAACAGGCAAGGATGGAGGAATGAATAACGGTAAAAGTCGGAATAAGAAATATCTTTACAGGAGATGGGACAGGTGCTGATAGCTTCCTAAGCGGTAGCGGTAGCACCCTCATTTAAAGACACCAATATGGCTGGAAACCCAGCAAAATTCTACTGTCTTAAATCCACTGGAGATAAGAAACAGCCAATGTTGAATCTGGACTACTGCCAGATGGACTGGATTAAAGGACTCCAGAGCCATGAGGGCACTTCGACAGTCAGCTACAACCACAAAGGAGGATTGACAGCGAGAAAGCAGTAGACGAAGAGCAGAGAGAATAGCAAAGTTCTGCTGTGAGGATGCTAGTCTCTGGAGGCAAGTGACACATATAAGTGTGGTCAAGAAAAGTATCAGAGTAGCCTACACCGTCTGCAGACTTAAATCCATTGGTGAAGATAGAAATGGAGCGGGAGTGTGAAGGAAAGTGTTCAAGGAAAAAACGTTTCAGAACTGTAGGAGGGGTAAAAGCTTTAGTGATGTGGGTCAGGGATTTACAAAATTTAGGAAGGGGGGACCCTCCACGGGGGCAAAGACGGAACAACATAAGGAGAAATATTGGTAATACGAACCGAAAGATAATTTTGTAGGCGAGACAACCGGACAGAATGAGGGAGACGGTGAAGGGGAACAGGAACTAGTGTACCTCCATTTGTCTCTAGTGACCACATGCCATAAATCCCCTTCATACTTTAAATTTTTATAATTAAAACGTACAGTATACTTATTTCATAATTTTATTGACAGGCACTTAGCAAGGCGAGCCACTATGGCATTTTGCTAAAGTGCAAGCTCATGAAGTAAATTTTGATAAAAGCTCACACTTTAATTAAATAATCATAGGTTCACCTTGCTGTGTCCATGTACACATACTTTGCACATTACTCATCTAATATTGCTTTTATTTTTTGTCTTCCAGGAAATTAGCTTTACACATGAAAATACAGTAATTATCATAAGAAAGCACCAAGCCAATAAGACTTTACTTCCATTATTCAAAGGGGTCTAAATATCACTCAGAAGGCCAATACTAGAGCAAAAATAAGACAAGCAATGTCAAAGGTATCTGATTCAGCAAGGATCTTGCTGAAGAACTCAGGGATAGTGGTAAAGCAAGATCTACACTCATACTGAAAATCTGGACATTCTTCAAGGAGATGCACAACTGTAAGCAGGAGGATGAAGTTATCAACATGAAAGTTAGGATATATATTTAGTCACATTTTAGTGCATTGTAGCACTACTAAAGTAACAAGGTAAAGAATGAATTTATACCTTTAATTAAATCTTTATTTCTTCACACTTTATACATTAGTTTTGTTAACTATGCAGGAAAATATTCCAATTGCATTTTTCACACAGACAAAATGGTTTTAATATCTTCTAATCACTACATTTTGTCTTTTTCTTCTTGAATGGTCCAATCATAGTCTCTGGCATCGGCTGGTAAGGCTTGCTGTCAAGTCTAGTGGTATCTTTAAGAATTCTTGCACCTAAAATCAATAAAAACCACTTAATAAGAACCACTTCAACATAAAACTAAAATCAAACATTTTAAACATTAGGCTTGAAGCAAAGTTGGCTTTAATTTAAAGCTTAGGAAAATTAAACAAAATTAGTTTCAGAAACTATACAAATTTTTCTCTGACATTCCTGTACAGTACATGCTAGTCAAATGTAGATTCTGGTTTCTTTGTTTGCAGTGTAACCAGTCCTCCCAATTTCTTGAATGTTAGGACAGTCAGATCTAGCCAATGTTAGGACAGTCAGATCTAGCCAATGTTAGGACAGTCAGATCTAGCCAATGTTAGGACAGTCAGATCTAGCCAAACTCAGTCCCACTAAAATACTATTGCCCCACGTGTGGGAAATTACCAAAATTTCGGGAAGGTGGGAAATACTGTACAAGTTCGCTTATTCAAATTCCACTAAACTAGATATTTGGGTTAGCCGGCCAAAATCGCATCCAGATAATTTTCTGGCAAAACTTCTCCATATCCGGGGATTAGGTTATGTAAATTTTCAATAATTACATATTTCAAGATCTACATTATCGAACAAGAAAGCAAACTGCAACAAGGTAAGCTTTAGTTTCTCTTTTAAATTATATTTTTGATATAATTTTTTTAGTGTGTTAAAGTTCAAATTATGTTGGTTGGGTACAACAAATTTTGAATATGGTCATTTTTTAACTTATCCTGTAAGAATTCTGCTTACCTGGATGGGGGACCTTCCCATATAGTCCGATAATTCAAACTTTTTCTATATTACAACACAATGTGAAAATTCAAAGCCTTAATTTAAACAAGATATATATGAACTAACAAATAGGTACTATTGCAGGTATATATGAAGTGGAAGTTGTGACTTACTCCCCCTCCCACCCTCTTGAAGATTATGGCTGGATAATTGTGGGTAAACAATGATTTCAGTGTTAAGTTTTTGATTAAAGTTTTGGGTCCATGTTATGCTCAATTACCCAAGTTATCAGACTGGTAAACTGGTAGGTAAATGCAACATTTCATTACAACACCAAGAAAATAGAACAAAAGAATGCAGTATAAATTATTTGGTCGCGTATAAAGAAGGATGAACTAAGATATGAATGATAATACAGTGACAGGGCCCCAAGGGAAAAGCTTGACTGTGAGAAGTTGGAAAGCAAATAAAATATATTTAATTAGTTACAATACAAAACCAGATGTCAAGATCTGAGAGAGAAGGTAGAGAAATGTAGAGTATTTTACAGTACAAAAAACTGAAGTATGTCAACAGAACAGTTCAGTTTGATATCTCATACACAGTAATGTAAAATGAGTAGGTAAGTATGTAAATGGATGGTTATACACAGATGCAAACAAAGAGTAAAAATACTGTAGGTGTATATAAAAAGCAACCCCCCCCTCTGAGCAGGCCACTTTGTTGTTCTCTCGGGTAATGGCCCGTCCTCCCATGGCCAGATAGATCTACCAAATAACAGTCTGGAAATGGTAACAAGTTCCACTTCCCAGTTCAATAGTCCAACCACTTGGACCAGACGACAGTGTCTGGTCCAGTTCCAGTTACCTTCCCAGTTCAGTTTATCTTTGCTATAATGGGGGAAAGGAGAAATGCTTGAAATTTCTCTGTCAAAGACAGAATGACTTCTAGGAGGTTCATTTATCTACAAAAAAAATTCTCCAAGTGATACTCTGCCTTTAACAGACTGCCAAATTGCTCTGTTAATTTCTAGATGGCCCGCCTAACTGATAATCCAGATTGTCATCAGCTGTCAGTACTTGAGCTGTTAACAGTTGCAAGGAGCTGTCCACCTTACATTTATCCTTGCTCTACCTTGCTGAATATTCCTTAGTAACTTTTCCCTATCCTGGTAACCGTTTCCTGTAATATTTAGTCAAGTAGCTTGCAAAGAACCCTACTGCACTTGGAAATGATTGTCAACATGGCCTGTATATTTAGGTTATGTTCACAGGAGTGGATCTAGCTCAGAAGTAATATACATTATCTGGATGCTACAGAACATGTGCAGAATTGAATGAAAAGCAAGTGACTTTAACCACTGAACTGCGCAACGCGCTTGCAGGCGCTCGACGGGGTGTGCGCAAACTGCCTCCGGGATCTTATATTTTTAGCATATGATTCAAAACTCCCATGGCTACATGGGGTTCACATCAGCTTCCTCGGGGCTTTTGTAAACAGACGCCATTTAAAAAAAAAATCGTGGGCAACATTCCCGGGTGTGAGAGCCTCAGTACTTAGTGAGCAACCAAGGCTGGCGCATGCAGCATGAGCTCACAGCGCTAGCCACAGCCCCACAGCATTATTTCGTCCATTTAGGAATCTTCAAACGACTTCTTACGTTACTTTACAAAATAAACTTGTGGTCAATTATTCAGTTACAGGATTTAGTGACCAGGATTGTAACAATTGCAGGATTGTGGTGATAATTAGCGCTGTGCCTAGTATTGTGGGAGGAGGAAGTTTGGTGAGGGAGGGAGAATCCAGGTAGCGTCACTGTGTGGCAGCCAGGTAGCGTCACTGTGTGGCAGCCAGGCAGCGTCACTGTGTGGCAGCCAGGTAGCGTCACTGTGTGGCAGCCAGGTAGCGTCACTGTGTGGCAGCCAGGCAGCGTCACTGTGGTAGCCAGGTAGCGTCACTGTGTGGCAGCCAGGCAGCGTCACTGTGTGGCAGCCCCTCTTGTTTTGCTCACCATCCTAACTTAGTGGTTCGCTATGGTGAACACATATGTACATGGGTATATACAATGTGCGTATATAGTGTAATAACATCAACAGGAGTATGTTGGGAGGAGCCATTTTGGTGAGGGAGGTGGCGTCATACTCGTAGCGTTGTTTGCTGGCTGCTGTATGATTTCTCATGCAGTGTATGGTGGCCACTGTGCTGTTTGGACAGTACAGTGGTTAAAGTCACTTGCTTTTCATTCAATTCTGCACATATTTTGTAACATCCAGATACTTTACTTGCATAGTTATGGTGAATAAAACATGTAGATACGTATACATAACATGTGTAAATAGTGTAATAAAAACAATAACGGTGTGGTGGGAGGAGGAATGTTGGCGAGTAAGGAGTAAGCTAGGTGTTGGAGGGGTGAGGGAGGGCTGGCTGGGTGTGGCAGCTCACACTCGCATAGTTCTAAGTGTGTTGATGGTGAATGTATATAGTGTGTGATAGTGTATAGTGTGTAAATATGTTGTAAATATACATAAATGAACATGAAACACTGGATATATGAGCAATATATGTGGACACATCTGTGACACATAAAATACAGTGTTTTGGAACAGTACGGATGTTCTACTGCCATAATATTGTGTACATGTTCATTATACATAAGATTGGAAAGAAAAAAAAAATGTATTTGGAAATGTAAGCAAAAAAAAAAAGAAAAACAAAATATTTGTGGCAACTCGCGCATGTTGAAGCTGGTGTGTGACTGGCTTCGGGAGTCTACGCCACGGGCGACCACCAAATCGTGACATCACATGCCATTTTCCGGACCCCATTGCAGCCAAAAAATAAGTACAATTTCAATTTTTTTTTTTACATATCTGTGATCAGGGAAGGGTATTTAACATTTAAAAAAAAAAAAAAAAATCCAGAGAATTTATTTCCTGCGCACAGGTGGGGGGGGGGGTATTTGCAAGGCGAGCAGCACAGTTGTTAAAAAGGAAGCCAGGCTTAAAAAAAATTGGTGTACAAGTCTAAAACATTATTTTTGGTTGTTTATACAGTAAATGAATACTGTAGTCAGGAGTAGGGATGTAAGCAACAGTAAGAAGTGAACTAGCAAGGATAAACAAATTTAAGATATTTTACCTTTATAGGGACAAAAAGGTACTGGTAGACAAGCCCCCTGCTAGATCTTTCTGGATTGTGGGAAATAGTTTTAAAATATTTATTATTGATAAATATTGTCGGTGGAGGGGGGGGGGCGGCCCCCTCAGCTGTCAGGGGACCTGACAGCTGAGTGGACAGCGCTTTTGATTCATAGTCCTGAGGTTCTGGGTTCAATTCCCGGTGAAGGCAGAAACAAATGGGCAGACTTTCTTTCACCCTGATGCCCCTGTTACCTTAGCAGTATATAGGTACTTGGGAGTTAGACAGCTGCTACTGGCTGCTTCCTGGGAGTGTGTAACAAAACGGAGGCCTGGTCCTCGACCAAGCCGCGGGGACGCTAAGCCCCGAAATCATCTCTAGATAACCTCATGAAGATATACTAGCCCCTAGTAAGTTGTAAGCTATATTTAACGGAGTGAAAGGTTTAAATATTTCCCTTTGTACAGTAAATTCCTATACAGTATTTGTCAAAATATTAGCATTTGAGGAGTGTGTGAATTCATTGAAAAGGGGGTTGCAGCTACTTACCCAAGACCTCATGTTTCACTGACAGGCTAACTTGATAACCACGAAGCTACACAACTTATTCCCCAGAGTTTGCATTTTTTTTAAATTAGAAACTGATAATATGGTTAACATTCATAACAAATCTTAATGTTGAATGAATTGTATAATATTTTATTGTTAAATAAAATCAGCTCAACTTACTGTAATGTCCATTTTCTTTCCTTACAGCTTGTATAACAGTTGTCCGTAGTACTTGCTCCACTTGTTGCCCAAATGTTAAGAGCTGAAAAGGTTACAAGAAAAAAAAAAAAAAGACACCTGTATTAGTACTGCACCCGGTACTGATCTGGTTTATAAATTCAAAAGCTATTTCAATGTTTTGTTCACGGAAAATCAGACAATGTAAGGTATTCAGTAACCAACACAAGTGCTTGAATTACACAAAATAGGCAAAGAATTTGTTGAGCAGTTGCAGAGCACTGAAAACTAGATAAATCCCAGAACAAAATATTAACCTCCAAAAATACTTCAACTTCCTAAATTTTTAAGTGGAACATGGAAAATAACTAAATATGCTTCAACTACACATGGGCAATCATCAAAAAGCATCTTCAGGCTAGCATATCTCTGGATTCAAGCACAGTGGTTCCTATCAGGTACAGGGAATACAATGATTACAGGGTGCTGTTATAAACACAGGGTGCTATAATGTGTACATCAAGTTTAATGAACTTAGGATGTAGTGAGCACAGGCTATTATGGCCTGCATAAATTAATAATAAATGTACAGTACTTGCATGTTTGTACACTAAATGAATTATAAATTCATAATTACAGTACAGTGTACTTACAAATAAAAGTATACTTTATATGGTGTATGTGGCAATTGTGGGGGGAGAGGGAACGTTAGATTATTAGATTATAGAAGGGCAATGGTATGGGGAATTGGATGGAGGTTTCAGATACCAAATTCATTATTCTATCCATCTAGACCTAATCTGATATCCAGGTTACAATATGGCTGGAGAGAAACACCATTATACAATTCTTTTTATTAAATTATTATTAAAAGTAAAACTCATAAAATCTTTAAAGTCAAGACAAGAAATTATACAGCACTGATACCACAGAGCTTAAAGTGCCCATGTAAGACTATTGAAGGTGGCTGGGAATCACTGAAGAAAGATCAATTCATCCAGATTAACAGAAGTCAGAAGGCCAGCATCCAAGGAATGGGATGTGGTAAACCACCTTTGTTTAAACAATTAACTGTTGTCATGATGTGGGAATGCAACCAAACAGAAATGACCCAGGGTGGAGCTATTATCTTGAATGAGAACTTATATACCCATAAATTCCTTCACATAATAATATGTTTACACAAGAGCCTGGAGCCAATATTCCTGGCCAGAAGAACAGCAACCACAAAGCCCCATTCCCTGAAATTGGTGAAGTGTAGTGGCTACATTATCGGCAGTATTGATAGCTGCTACAATGCCATCTGCACCTTACCCCAGACCAAACCACTTCTCCCTGCTTAGCTGCTAGATGATCAAAAAGCAACATTGGTCTGGGTAGCAGGCAGCTGCAGACAGGTACTGTATATAAGATGACAAACCAATACATGACCAGCCAATATACACACAAAATAATGTCTTCCTGTTGTTCTCTCTTGTAAACCACAGAGGCACAATAATCGTGCCTATTTGTCTAGAAATCTCAATTTATATTGCTTTTGCTACCCAGCCACTTTGACTGGACGGAAGATTGATGGTCTCACTTCATGCAGGTCATCATTCAATCCCTAACCATCCAAGTGGATGGGCACCATTTCTTCCCCCTATCTCAACCCAAATCCTTATCATGATCCCTTTCCAGTGCTATAAAGTCGTAATGGCTTGGCACTTTCCCCCTGATAATTAAAAAAAATTAAAAAAAATGAAGTGTGAAATACCTCTTCTACTGCATCAGCACTGGACACGTGTTTATTCTTTGCAAATTCAGTATTGATTTTCTCGCGAGCCTCTGGAAAGATTAGATAAAACATTTTAACAAAGACCTAGAAAAATTTAAAAATCATAGTAATATAAATCTTCTATCAAATGTTTTATTAAATTTTACATCTCAGAAGTATAAATTGTTAGGCAATAACCCACCTAATACTAGACAAAAGTATGTTTCATTACATTCAACGGCCTTTTCTAGTGGGCCACTCTGTGGCTCCTGAGCTGTGACACAGGCTGTCAAGCCTTAGGGAATTGCACTGGTCCTTTGAGGCTTACCTAAGCCTATTGGAAGACAGGACCAGAACCTGATTCTCTGTACAGGGTAAGTGGAACTTAAGAGATCCAAGAGACACTCAAAACCAAGAAGAAATCTGCCAGAAAGTATTAGCACAAATCCATCAGAAAGTATAAGCACATCACAATAAGCAAAATCCTGAAGAAACTTTGAAACCCAAAGGAAAATGAGGCAATCATTATTGTTTATAAGAAAATAACCCAGCAATGATGCATCCAACTGACATCAGATGGTGTTATGACCCCTGGGTTCTTAATTGGCACTGCCTGGAACCCAGGCTCAAATAGGGTTCTGTTTTATATTCATGCAGGGATCATTCACTTAAGTATTTTGGTAGTGGTAGGCCCCTGACAGTTAGGGATATGTGTGGGTTTTTGAGTAAGTAAATATTAGAACATTAATTGATAGGTTGGGTACATAGGAGGGAGAATTAGCTAGCAATACAGACTTGTATTTAAAGGGGACCTGAAACTTGCTTGGTTGATGGTTCCATTTCTCTACCAGACATAGGATTAACCTTGTTACTCACAGAGCTGGTGTACTCTGAGTTAATTATTAGTACAGTGTGTCCTGAATTGAATGAACTATATGGGGCGAGACCAATTTGTTCTACCCGTTAGCCCCAGGCTGTCCCTCCCCTCCGTGTGAAAATAACAGAGGTCCTACATCCACTATCAACAAAACAAAAATCACAGAAAATCTATTATGTACAATATTTATCATTTTGAACATGGCACATGATAGAACAATCATTGGTAAACAATTCCTTATCAAAATCATAACTGTGACCGTTATTGGTGGCTGCAAATATGATGTAATGGCCAGGATTTCCATGAGCCATCTATATCAGTCTCTATATAAATATTCATACAAAAATCATTTATCAAGAATTCTTCCTTTTCACTATGGTATTTGATAGAACAATCCTTTACAAACAATTTGAAATAAAAATGCTACATATATGAGCTTATTGAATCCAATCAAGAGAAATCACCTAATTAATGCAACAAACCGACAAGAGGATGGGGCAGTTGGCGGGCCACCAGTGATAGGGGAAGAGGGTCGGGGCCGGCCGCTGGTTGTCAGGTGCGGTAGGGGGTGGGGGGATTGTAGCATGTCAGCAGTAGAGGAGGGGAGGGTGGCAGCAGTCAGACTGGCCAGATCAAGCCTCGGGCTAGACCTCGGGCCAGACTCTAGTAATGTTGATCGAGTCAACATTGCCCGAGTCACAGGCACAGGCGGAGTCACAGGGAGGCAGGTACCACCTGCCTCACCTGACACCACCTTCCACCACTGACACCACTTGCCTCCCAACACCACCTTCCACCACCAGTCTTTTCTGACAACCCCCAATGAGAATAACTTCCACCACCTGACACTTAACCACTTGCCCCCAGACTCCAACCCTCACCAATGACAAAATCTGCCTCTTGTACAACTGTTTACACTTTAGTGAATCATAGTGGCACAATAATCGTGCCTATTTGTCTAGAAATCTCAATTTATATTGCTTTTGCTACCCAGCCACTTTGACTGGACGGAAGATTGATGGTCTCACTTCATGCAGGTCATCATTCAATCCCTAACCATCCAAGTGGATGGGCACCATTTCTTCCCCCTATCTCAACCCAAATCCTTATCATGATCCCTTTCCAGTGCTATAAAGTCGTAATGGCTTGGCACTTTCCCCCTGATAATTAAAAAAAATTAAAAAAAAATGAAGTGTGAAATACCTCTTCTACTGCATCAGCACTGGACACGTGTTTATTCTTTGCAAATTCAGTATTGATTTTCTCGCGAGCCTCTGGAAAGATTAGATAAAACATTTTAACAAAGACCTAGAAAAATTTAAAAATCATAGTAATATAAATCTTCTATCAAATGTTTTATTAAATTTTACATCTCAGAAGTATAAATTGTTAGGCAATAACCCACCTAATACTAGACAAAAGTATGTTTCATTACATTCAACGGCCTTTTCTAGTGGGCCACTCTGTGGCTCCTGAGCTGTGACACAGGCTGTCAAGCCTTAGGGAATTGCACTGGTCCTTTGAGGCTTACCTAAGCCTATTGGAAGACAGGACCAGAACCTGATTCTCTGTACAGGGTAAGTGGAACTTAAGAGATCCAAGAGACACTCAAAACCAAGAAGAAATCTGCCAGAAAGTATTAGCACAAATCCATCAGAAAGTATAAGCACATCACAATAAGCAAAATCCTGAAGAAACTTTGAAACCCAAAGGAAAATGAGGCAATCATTATTGTTGTAAGAAAATAACCCAGCAATGATGCATCCAACTGACATCAGATGGTGTTATGACCCCTGGGTTCTTAATTGGCACTGCCTGGAACCCAGGCTCAAATAGGGTTCTGTTTTATATTCATGCAGGGATCATTCACTTAAGTATTTTGGTAGTGGTAGGCCCCTGACAGTTAGGGATATGTGTGGGTTTTTGAGCAAGTAAATATTAGAACATTAATTGATAGGTTGGGTACATAGGAGGGAGAATTAGCTAGCAATACAGACTTGTATTTAAAGGGGACCTGAAACTTGCTTGGTTGATGGTTCCATTTCTCTGCCAGACATAGGATTAACCTTGTTACTCACAGAGCTGGTGTACTCTGAGTTAATTATTAGTACAGTGTGTCCTGAATTGAATGAACTATATGGGGCGAGACCAATTTGTTCTACCCGTTAGCCCCAGGCTGTCCCTCCCCTCCGTGTGAAAATAACAGAGGTCCTACATCCACTATCAACAAAACAAAAATCACAGAAAATCTATTTATTATGTACAATATTTATCATTTTGAACATGGCACATGATAGAACAATCATTGGTAAACAATTCCTTATCAAAATCATAACTGTGACCGTTATTGGTGGCTGCAAATATGATGTAATGGCCAGGATTTCCATGAGCCATCTATATCAGTCTCTATATAAATATTCATACAAAAATCATTTATCAAGAATTCTTCCTTTTCACTATGGTATTTGATAGAACAATCCTTTACAAACAATTTGAAATAAAAATGCTACATATATGAGCTTATTGAATCCAATCAAGAGAAATCACCTAATTAATGCAACAAACCGACAAGAGGATGGGGCAGTTGGCGGGCCACCAGTGATAGGGGAAGAGGGTCGGGGCCGGCCGCTGGTTGTCAGGTGCGGTAGTGGGTGGGGGGATTGTAGCATGTCAGCAGTAGAGGAGGGGAGGGTGGCAGCAGTCAGACTGGCCAGATCAAGCCTCGGGCTAGACCTCGGGCCAGACTCTAGTAATGTTGATCGAGTCAACATTGCCCGAGTCACAGGCACAGGCGGAGTCACAGGGAGGCAGGTACCACCTGCCTCACCTGACACCACCTTCCACCACTGACACCACTTGCCTCCCAACACCACCTTCCACCACCAGTCTTTTCTGACAACCCCCAATGAGAATAACTTCCACCACCTGGCACTTAACCACTTGCCCCCAGACTCCAACCCTCACCAATGACAAAATCTGCCTCTTGTACAACTGTTTACACTTTAGTGAATCATAGTTGATGACAGTGGCTGTTGTCAACTATGACCGCTCGGTCTCAGTGATCGCTTGGATGAACAATCCTCACTTAATCGAACATTTGTATGTTCCACTGAACATTTAGTACCGAATTCAATTTGTTCAGATCATCCCGTAATTCGATAGAATGGGGTTTGTTAGAGTGAGGAGATGTTAGTTATACTTAGACCTGTTCAAGTAGCAAGTACAGTAAAGGAATGTCTTGGAAGACTAGAACTTATTACTGTACGATCAGTTATTTACTCCGGCAGCAACCGCATGGCTGAAAGAGAGAGCTCCTCCTGTTCAAGTGATCGGTGCTGAGTGGTTGTGGGTCTGGAGTGGCATTCCTCTCCCTCTTTGTTTTCCTCCTCCTCTTCCCTTATCTTTTCAATACCAAGTAGTGTATCATGCCATTGTAGTCTTAGGGTATTCTTTTGTGTCCTCTAAGCCAGTGTTTTGAGCCCAAGTGTTACCTCCGGGGTGGCTCAGGGTGACCACGTGTTGTGTTAGTTACCAGTGTATGTTCTGCCCCTTAAGGAATGTAGTCTTACCTCTAGCTGCTGTTTGTAACCCTCGTCTCCTGCCTATGTGGAACGCAGGGAATTAACGCAAGATTGAGGTGGTAAGAGAATTATTGTACTTGGGGGATTAGGGTTAATAAATTATATATTAAGGTTGAGAACCGGAGTATCCTTTTAACATTGTTGTAGTGGGGTGGTTAATCTTCCCGGATTACAGACCAGTTATAGTATTTAACATTTGCTGGGAATTGTGTTCCCTGGGGACCGGGCCTTACATAACCCCACTGTTTAGTAACTCCTTGACCTTAGATATTGACCCCACAGAGCAAACACTAGTCAATTGTAACAGATGGCATGCTAGGTCATTTACAACCACACAATTCCCCCTCCCCTCCCCTCCCCTTTTTTCCACAACTCCCATGGGCAAAAAGATATGGTATGAGGAGCTCTCAAGTGGCCCACCAGAAAATTGTTTCATAACATTCAATGCTTGATTTCTGGAAGTGACCCCTCAGTAGCTTCCCAAGCTAGCTTACAACCTGCATCTTGGCAGACGAGGTTGTCTTTAATGAAAGGGGGAAAAAAAAACAGAAAAGACGGAGGGAACGGAAGGCCCTGCTGTCCACAGTGATGCAGAACCCACTACAGGGGTATCCCCTTATGAGTCGGTGCCTACAGGCCTCTAGTCTGAGGCTGAGTAGGCAACCTGTTCTCTTGCTAAACACTACATTTTTTACACAATTGACCCCAACATAAAAATGCAGTGGTTTAGGGAAATTAAAATCCCCATAATATTGATGCTTCATAAGCCTGACTATCAGTTCCAGTATTTTAGGTGGGTAGCACAGGTACTGATGCTTTTAGTTAGGCTAAAGTACTGCATTTTTTATGGAGGGGAACTCAACAGAACAGGCTTAAGTAGGAGCCTGTACTAATAGAAAAGAAGTCAAGAGGCCAGGAGCAGGAAAAGTACATAGGATTAGTACTTGAACCCTCATCATAACCATTCATCAAAAGGCTGCATATGCAGCAACAGATAAGAACAATAACATATATGTGACCAAGGTGCACTTCTGGCTGAATAGCAGGACTCTACCACACATAGGGAGCAGAGCTAGATACAACAGCCACACATGCACACAGCTAACTACTATGAGTCCCCATCAACAAACATTGTAGTGGAGAGCAAACACCTAAGTTACACGAGTGAGATGACTTGAGAGGATTCGACTCAATGAGGAGGAAACCCAAACCCGCAGAGCAGATAACTCTGGTGGAGTAAGGAAGACATAACTGGCTTCCAGGGAAAAGAAATCTCATATATACCTGGAACACACAATAGGCAGGTGGCACAAAACCCAATAGAGAACCAGGTAATCTATATAAATAAAAATGTAAATGTTTGTTCAAAATCGCTAATCTCCAAAAGTTCTTCACTGATTGCCTTGAAATTTTCACGCAACGTTCCATTCGTATCCGAGTTGGTTTTTATATACATACTGTACTATATAGATGTCATGTCTGTGACGGGAAAAACATACTGTTTTGAAAAACTGTTTTTCATGTGAGGGAAATCTTCGAAACCTCTTTACCAATTGCTTTGAAATTTTGATAACATTGCATTCGAATACACGCATGTTTTTATCTATTATATAGATGCCACACCTGTGACAGGTAAAACGTGCTTTTTTTGAAAAACGGTGCCATCTGTTGCACATAATAGCAACACACGCTATACTAACCATGTTACGATTCCATTTCAATGTTTACGATTGCATTGATAAATTAAATTTTCATAATTTCAATCTATTTTCATTTTGATTTAATTTTTTGTGTGACACTGCATTGGAATTGAGCTGTGGTTTTTACCATACTGTTCATTTTGTGAGTATAGTTAATTTTTTTTATTTTTTCATTGTTTTTAATTTTGTTTTTTAACTGTTCTACTTATTTTTCAGTGATGGGAACATCAGATCATTTGGTGTTCCCATTTTTCTGATAGGAACATTAGATCATTTGGCAGCGCATCGAACAAGGGAGTGGGGAATTGCGGTGAGGACAAGGGGACGGGAGTGGGGGATGGTGGGGAGGACGAGTGGACAGGGAAATTGGGGAATATTAGCAACAAGGGGATGGGGGAGTGGAGAATGGTGGGGAGGACAAGGGAACAGGGAAGTAGGGGATGGTGCAGAGGACAAGAGGATGGGGAAGGGGGGGGTAATGGTGGAGAGGACAAGGGGACGGGAGAGTGTGGCATGGTGAGGAGGACGAGGGAATGGAAAATGGTGAGGAGGACGAGGGAATGGAGAATGGTGAGGAAGACAAGGGGACAGTGGGATGGGGGGGAGGACAAGGGGACAGGGAAGGGGGGAATAGTGGGGAAGACAAGGGGACAGGCAGAAATAGGGAATGGTGGGGAGGACAAGAGGACGGGGGAGTTGGGTATAGGGGAAAGAAGAGGGGACAAGGGAGTGGGGAATGCTGGGGGGGGCGAGGAGTGGGGGATGGTGGGGAGGACTAAGGGAGGGGGAATGGTGGAGACGGGGGAGTGGGGAATGGTTGGGAGGACGAGGGGACAGGGGAGGGAGGGAATAGTGGGAAGGACAGGGGAGGGTTGCTGTGGCCGGGTACAGCTAGTCTATATAAATAGAAATGTAAATGTTCGTTTGTTCAAAATCACTACTCTCCAAAAATTCTTCACCGATTGCTTTGAAATTTTGACAACATTCCATTCGCATACGAGTGTATTTTTATATACTGTACCTACTGTATATAAATGTCATGTCTGACGGGTAAAAACATGCTTTTTTGAAAAACTGTTTCATGTGAGGTTTTCATGCGAGGGAAATCTCCGTAACCTCTTTACAGATTGCTTTGAAATTTTGACAACGTTCCATTCGAATACGCGGGCATTTTTATATACCTACTATATAGATGCCACACACCTGTGACAGGTAAAAATGTGTTTTTTTTAAAGCAGTGCCATCTGTTGCATGTAAAAGCAACATGCTATACTTAATATGTTACGATTCCATTTCAATGTTTCCAATTGCATTCATAAATTGAATTTTCATAGATTTTTATTTATTTTCATTTTGATTCAACTACTTTGTGTGACATTGCGTTGGAATTGAGCTGTGTTGTTTACCATACTGTTCATTTCGTGAGTATAATTTATTATTTTGTTTTTCATTGTTTTTCATTTCATTTTTTTAACTGTTCTTATTTATCAGGGATGTTGGAACATCATTTGATGTTCCCCTTTTTCTGATGGGAACATTAGATCATTTGGGAACGCATCAGACGAGGGAGTGGGGAATGGTGGGGAGGACGAGTGGATGGGGGAGGGGGTAATGGTGAAAAGGACGAAGGAATGGTGGTAAGGATGAGGTAATGGTGGGGAGGACAAGGGGACGGGGAAGGGAGGGAATGGTGGAGAGGACGAGGGGACGGGGGAGGGGGGGAATGGTGGAGAGGACGAGGGGACGGGAGGTGAGGAATGGTGGGGAGGATGAGCGGACTGGGGGTGGTGAATGGTGGAGAGGACGAGCGGATGTGGGAGGGGGAAATTGTGGGGAAGATGGGGAACGGGAGGGCTGCTGAGCTACAGCAGCGCGTGGCCGGGTACAGCTAGTGAAACAATAAAACTGTGTGGAATGAAACACTCCAGAGATAGCCAAATACCACTTATCTGAATGTGGGCCCAGTAAGGGGAGATTCAACTCTGGCTGCACCAGGCAACTGAATGAGGAGGGTGCCTAATGGGGAACCCGTATTTACGTGATTACCCAAGTGCAATTACAGGATGAGTGCTACACTCACGGTGTTTAGTCTTCTCACCACTCTGTCATATAATATTTTGAAACTACTGAGTTTTGGCCTCTACCACCTTCTCACTTAAGTTGTTCTATCTACCACACTGTTTGCAAAAGTGAATTTTCTATTTTTTTTCTGGTCATCTTTGTTTAGTTACTTCCCCATAGTTCTTATCTTTCAGTTCCAGAAACAATTTAGTTGCATGTCCTTGCACCTTTTTCCAATTTGTTGATCTGCTTCTTCACTGATACACCATACAACTGCTGAATATTCTAACTTTGGTCTCGTAAAGATTGTGAACAATGTTTTTAGTATTTTGCCATCCATGTCTTTAAAAGAAATTCTGAAACTGGAAAGCATAGTATAGGCTCCTCGCACAACGTTCTTTATGTTATCATCAAATGACAGTTTTTTTTTTTAACTAGAACCACCCCTATATCTCTTCCTTTATCAGTATTTTGTTATTTTTTTTTTTTTTTTTTTTTTTTACATAATTTGTAGGTTGTGGTATATTTTCTCCTATTCCACATTCCATAAAGTGGCATTTATTCACATTAAATTTAATTTGCAAAGTGCTGCTCCATACATTTATTTTGTCCATGTTTTCTTGAAGCGCATGACAATCGTCCAAGTTTCTTGCATTACCCAGTATCTGCAAAAATGTTCATATAATTCTTTATGCCTTCTGGTAAATTGTTTATGTAGACAATGAACATTACATGTGCAAGAAATGATTCTTGTGGTACCCACTAGTAACATTTCTCCAGTCTGATGCATTGCCTCTGATTACTGACCTCATTTTTCACATCACAAGGGGGAAGGGGCGGGGGGGAGATATTAGGGTATTTACCACACATCAGCAATGGTTTGCCTAGTTTTCCTCAGGGTTACTAATTTCTTTCAAGCAACTGCTTGTTTTGATGTGCAGGTACTTAAGATCTATCTTGTTTGGGTTAATCTCTGATCTCCAAGTTCCACTCACTTCAGAGAAAACCTTGGCTTCCATTAAGCTCAGATGGGTCTCAGATCTGGTGTGATTCCCAAGGTTTGGCAGTTCTGGGGCTATAGCTCGAGAAGCTACCCTCTCAAATAATTTTAAATGTCTCACCGGCAAGTGCAGTTGTGTCCCCCTGGAACACAGTCAAGCGTGTACGATGCAACTGTTTGAAGCACATAAGTACCTAATAATTAAAGAAAATTATGCATTTAGAAAATTAAATAATCTATTATCATCCATATATTAAACATTTCACCTTTCCTAATGACCAATATGATGTACAGTATTATTAAATTTTATATTAATACGGTACCTACCTAGTACTCGTGTGATACAAACTGATCATGTTAAAATTAAACAAAAGGCATCATGATTAATGTATTATGTATAAAATAGTTATTTATTTATTTATGTATTTATTTACAAGAAGCTACATTGGGTTTGTGAGAATACATAGCATAGTACAGTATTTACAATCTTGTAAAGCCACTAGTACGCACAGCGTTTTGGCAGGTCCTTAATCTAACAGATAATTTTAAGTAGGTAAATTCTAGCAGAATTAATAAAATAACAGATACATTGCAAGAAAAAAAATGAAATGAGAGGGTATAGGTATAGGAGATAAGGTACATTGTATATATTAAAGTACATTGGTATATTGAAGCTTTGATTGATTACATTGACAACTTGATTGGTAATTTAAACAAGATTAATAGGCACCATACAGCAGATTGATAGCACATATAAGAAGACAGCAATGATCACAATGGTAAAGATGTTCGGATTCGGTACATAAAGATTGGGAGATTGGGTAGCAATAGATACAGTGCAATTTTAAAGCAACAAGGTAAAAAACTATGAAGATGAAATTAGGTACTTTAGTTTTTCTTTGAATGACGCAAAAGTTGGACAGCTTTTCAATTCACTAGTTCACTAGGGAGTGAGTTCCATATACTGGGTCCCTTTATTTGCAGAGAGTGTTTACACAGATTAAGTTTGACTCTGGGGATATCAAAGAGAGATTTATTTCTGGTGTGGTGATAATGGGTCCTATTACATCTGTCCAGGGATAGTTTCAGAGCAGGATTTGCATATAAGAACAGGGTTTTGTAAATGTAGTTGACACAAGAGAATTTGTGGAGTGAGATTATGTTTAGCATGTTTAGGGAGTTAAACAAGGGAGCTGAGTGTTGTCTGAAAGCAGAATTTATTATTCTGATAGCAGATATTTGCTGGGTGATGATGGACTTGAGGTAGTTTGCAGTGGTTGAACCCCATGCACAGATACCATAATTAAGATAGGGATAGATTAGTGCATAATATAGAGAGATGAGAGCAGAGGTAGGTACATAATATCGGATTTTGGAGAGTATACCAACTGTTTTAAAGACTTTCTTAGTTATGTGTTGTATGTGGGTGCTGAAGTTGAGTCTCTTGTCTAGGAATAGGCCAAGAAACTTTCCATCATTTTTATTGCTAATGTTTACACTGTCTATCTGAAAACGAATTGCATTTGTAGATTTGCTTCCAAATAAGATGTAGTAGGTCTTTTCTATGTTAAGTGTTAGTTTGTTGGTTGACATCCATAAGTGGACTTTTTTAGTTCATTATTAACAACATTATTTAGTGTATATGGGGTTGGGGTTAGAGTAGATGAGGGTAGTATCATCAGCAAACAATATAGGTTTCAGAATGTTAGAGACATTAGGCAGATCATTGATGTATATATAAGAAATAGGAGAGGTCCCAAGATGCTGCCCTGTGGCACTCCAACGGTTATTGGTAGAGTGGGAGAGGTTATATTATTGATGGCTACACACTGGTGTCTATCACTAAGATAGGATTGGATATAGTCCAGTGCATGTTCTCGGATTCCATAAAGATGGAGTTTACATAAGAGGTAATTGTGATTAACAGTATCAAAGGCCTTTCTCAGGTCAATGAAGAGTCCAATCGGAAACTCATTTTTGTCAAGGGCTGAGTAAATTATATCAAGGAGACTAATAACTGCATCGTTGGTACAGTACTCTTTTGGGAGCGGAAGCCAAACTGACAGGGGCTAAGAATGTCGAATTTTACGAGGCAGTAGAGCTGTTTGTAGATAATTTTTTCAAATACCAGTATTTTTTATAGTATGGGTAGGTTTGATATTGGTCTATAATTATTTATGTCTGCCGGATTACCTCCTTTATGAACTGACGTTACTTTTGCTTTTTTAAGGATATCAGGGAAGGTATGACACTTGAGGGATTTGTTGAACAGCAGAGCTATAGGTGGCACAAGGGCATGGGAGGTGCTCTTGTATACAATGGATGGAATTTCACTGATATTCCCAGCTTTGGTTTTTAGCAAGTGTATGATGGACAACATCTGTCGGGCTGACTGGTGAAAGGAGAAGAGAGTTTGGATAGCTGCCCGAGAGATATGTGTTATGTGTCTGAGTCTGTGGGATTTTACTGGCAAGGTTAGCACCAACCGATGAAAAAAAGCTATTAAATTCATTTGCCATTTCTAAATCAGTTGATGGTGTAAAGCCATCCTTAAAGAGTTATCTGGTTGTGGGAGTGTTTAGTTCCTAGGATATTAGAGATGGTATTCCATGTGCTTTTCATGTTGCCTTTTGCTTCTTTGAATCTAGTCTCATAATATGAAAGTTTAGCGTTTCTTATGATACTGGTAAGCACTGATGAGTACCTTTTAACTACTTCCTTTGTACCCTATAGTATCATATAAAATAGAGGGAGGAGGGATGATTACAAGCCACAGGCTGCTTGTTCCTGATGAACCACTAGACATTATAGCTGACTAGTCAATACAGATACAGCAACTCAACATTTTAGCCGACCAGTTATGCAAAGAAACGTAAACAGTCCCACTCCATTTACTAATACTATTTTCAGCTATTATGACACCACATACCATATTTAATTCCTCATTGCAGTTTGCTCTTATGGTTTTGTCCTTTCTGAAAGATGAGTGTGATCTCAGAAGATGAAATTCCTCCTTTAATTATGTATTGTGTCTTCATGTTTTGTTGAACCCAAAAAGCTGGCATTTTCAACCTCACAATATGTCAAATTTATTTACCTGTATAATATTAGGATTCTGGCATTGGAGTAGCAGTAATTTAAATTGTCATTGTTCCTAGGAGGCTGAAAAAAGTGATCCTGTATTCTGAAAATTATTCTGTTGCAAATGTTAGTTTACATAAGAGTATTAACAGTCAACAATATATACTGTTACAGTAAGTAATTCATGAGTCTGGATAGTGTTGAATGCAAGGCAGCAAGGCAAGGAGCAAGAGGAGAAGAGATGTTCATTGACTATTTGGTGAGGAAATGTCTTCTAGTAGAATTCAAATTCACACACAAATTTTTATTCTGAAAAAGTACATACATAGATGATGAGTTACAAGCATAATGTTGGATTTATTGATAGAGCTAGTACATACAATACCTAAAGCCACTAATATGCATAGCATTTCGGGCAAGGTGTGGGGGAAAAAAAAAAAACGGACTAGAATTCTGAGTATACTGTTCTTGCTAGATGTCTTCCATCTTTTGCACTGCCACTGCCAGGATCAGCAGAGTCCAGTGTGGTGTGCTTATTCCAGATTAGATGCCTGTGCCAGGTAAGTCCACTACGGGCTCACCATAGCCTGTGCTACTTGGAACATTTTGTTCCGAGTAGCTGAATCTAAAACAACATGCTTACTCTATATTGTAGAGTGGTAGTAGTTTGTAATTAATTCCATTTGTCTGAGGACAGGCAGCCAGTGTATGTATACATATTAGGCTGATATCGAGGTCCCTGCCTCCCTGACGGTCAAACTACTGACTTCTCCAGGATGCAACTCTAGAACAGTTGACTAACTCCAGGGCACCTATTTACTGCTTGGTGAATAAATGCATTAGGTGAAAGGAAACGTGCCTAACCATTTCTGTCCCACTGTAGTATTCCAACCCGTCCTCGACTCAAGTCCATTCCATCCAGCGGTCAACCCCACAGACGCATTCATAAATTTTAACATGCTGTTCATTCAAAACGGGAATTTTCTCAAGTATAAATTAATATTATAATATATTGGCATATTGTGTATATATAGGCATTGGATAGGTTAGGTTAGGTTAGGTTAGGTGTTTATTTATTTATTTATTTATTTATGCATATACAAGAATGTACATAAGGAATGTGAGGATACAATTATGGTAATTACAGTCTTGTAAAGCCACTAGCACGCGCAGCGTTTCGGGCAGGTCCTTAATCTAAGAAAATTTTAAGGAGGTAAATACTTGCAAAATTTATATACAAAAAAATTATAACAGATTAAATGGAATGGAAAAAAAAAAAAAAAAAAAAAAGATGAGAGAAAATTATAGGTACAGTATATTAAAGCACATAGGTAGCTATGATTGATTGCAATGACAGCTTAAAATGGTAGTTGACAACAAATTGGTAGGCACAATACAGCAGAAACAATATAAGATTGATTGCAATGACAGCTTGAATGGTAGTTGACAAAAATTGGTAGTCACAATACAGCATATGGCTAGCACATAAAAGAAGACAGCAATGAACACAATGATAAGGTTGTTTGATATTACATAAAAATTAGGAGATTGGGTACCACTAGGTACAGAGCAAATTAAAGCTCAGTGTAGGAAACTAAATAGATGAAGTTAGGTACTTTTTGGTTTTGCTTTTAAATAAGGCAAAAGTTTTACAGTTTTTCAATTCACTAGGGAGTGAGTTCCATAGACTAGGTCCCTTAATTTGCATAGAGTGTTTACACAGATTAAGTTTGACCCTGGGGATATCAAAGAGATATTTATTTCTGGTGTGGTGATAATGGGTCCTATTACATCTGTCCAGGGAGAGTTTCAGAGCATGGTTTGCATTTAAGAACAGGGTTTTGTAAATGTAGTTGACACAAGAGAATGTGTGGAGGGAGTTAATATTTAGCAAGTTTAGAGATTTAAACAAGGTTTAGGTTCTGTTGGCGATTATTTGTATTTGTAGTACGTGGGTGAAGCATTTATAGCGTTGCGATTCGAACAAAATTCGTCAATGAAGCACTTGTTCCGGATATGTTCGAACGTCAGCAGTTGTGAGTCGTGTGTAAACCGCTTTTCATTCATAAACAGGGGGTTTGGCGGGTGCATGGAATCACTTTTGGATCTTTGTTTGGAGGACGGGCTGAGTATTCGAACCTGGAATTCCAGATTGTGAAAAGAACGAACCAAACTGTTACCGAGACCCCCATTCTAGAGGCACGCTACAATCATTTCAATTTAATGCCGTACTTGTTTGCAGAAATATATTAGGTCTGAGTCACTAAGTAGTTATCAAAAGCATGCACTAAAACAGGAGCACTATGTAGTGATTCACCGAGTAAATGGCTTAAGAAATATCTGAATTATGAACCTAACTACAGTACAATAACTGAATTATGAACCTAACTACAGTACAATAACTGAATTATGAACCTAACTACAGTACAATAACTGAATTATGAACCTAACTACAGTACAATAACGTTCTAATTGTAGACGACCAAGACAAATTCCCAGACAATCCAATCAAGACATGAAACAAGTGATGTAAGGAGCCCGAAGAATGAATGACTAGTACTGTAATGAGTACAGTAGGATGGAGGAACGATACGATCCTACCCGTGAGTATGCAGTTCACAGTAAACTTCCACCAACACCAGGAGTATGGGGTGCACAATCAACTAGCTATCAGGTGCAACACAAGTCACACAATACCTTCTTCCTCAACTCCTGGTTCATCGTATACTGAGCACTTGCAGTTCAAGGTGTCAGCAGATAACAGACGGGAGTCAGCTGACCGTCAGCTGCTCAACAGTATGGTCAGGCGTCCGCGACCCGTCACCCTACTAGTAGTTGGGTTAACCCATGTGAGGTCAACGTTTACAGCCCCGCACCTGTGCCAGGTAAGTCCATTACGGGCTCAACATAGCCGGTGTTACTTCCAACTTTTTATTCTAAGCTGAATCTAAAATCACTACCATGTGAGATGTCCCAAAAATATGTAACTATTGTCATTAAAAAAAAAAATACAAAATTGTAATCTACATATTAAATTTGTTGTCATGACAATATCCAAAGTGGAAGCGAAGATATATGCATTTCATAATGAATACCATCGGAGCCCGCCGCCGTAGAACCGCAGAGGGCCAGGGCAGAACGAAGTTCAGAGAGAGAGAAGGGATCATTATAGGGAAGCTGAAAACGAGTGCAGAAATCTAAAGGACGAGACTCAAGGACAGGTTTACGAAGAAGGAAAGATTGGGGAAGATGAAGACCAGAGCTAACAGAAGAAAAGTGGGAACCCAGTACGGAAGCGACCTGCAACGGGTCCGCCACAAGAGTATCATGGAGGTGGAGGACCGGTGAAACATCGGGAACGAACTTACCCGCTATCTTGCGGATACGCTTCCAGATCTGGGGCAGAGGAGTTTCGGACGTAATTGTTGAGACATAAGATGCCCAACATTCACGTTTAGCCGTACGGATGGCCCTACGGGCCACCGCACTCGCTTTCCGAAAGAAAAGAAAAGAATTGGTCGTCTGCCTACGGCGGTGCCTCTTCCAGGCTGCACGCTTACAGCCCGAGCACAGTCTGCATTCCACCAGGGAACGCACTTCCGTGGACCCCGAGAGGAAGAGCGAGGAATAGAGCGGAGGGCAGCGTTGAAGACAGTGTCATGAAAAAAGGAGGAGAGCGCGAGAAAGAGGCAGAAGGGAGAGGTCAGAGAGAGCAGCACTGAAGGTAAATAGGGTCCAGTCCGCCTTAGCAAACTGCCACCTAGGGAAAGAGAGGGAAGGGCGAAAAAAGAAAAAGGAAACAAGGATGGGGAAATGATCACTGCCATGGAGGTCATCAAGAACCTGCCACGTGAAATCTAAGTAAAGAGAAGAAGAGCAGAGAGAAAGATCAAGACAAGAAAGGGTGCGAGTCCGAGAGTCCAAATGAGTGGGCTCACCAGAATTCAGAAGAGACAGGGAAGAAGAGAGGAGAAACGGCTCAAGACGACGACCCCGGGTATTCGTCAGAACGTCACCCCAAAGAGAATGACGTTCAGGCAAACGTCATTGACGTCATGACGTGGCAAAGAACCAGAACACCCTACTGCTGTTAGCTTCCTCAACTGTATGAATTCCTGCCTCCTCATACCCTTTATCACTAGACCTACTAGAATCACTGATAGCACTGCCACGACTCTAGATCACATCTGGACCAACATAACCTCTCCGCTTACTTCAGGTATAATCACCGATAGCACTACAGACCACTACCCCACATTTCTCTTAACTAACATTAGCAAACCACCTCTAGAAACAAGGGAGTTAAGCTTTAGGCTGCACAATGAAACTGCTATAAACAATTTTATAACTGCTGCTGATAATGTCAACTGGGAGTCCGAGTTAGGTAACATAGGGGACATCAACCTAGCAGTGCAATCTTTTCTACAAACAACTCTTAGCCTTTATAACACCCACTGTCCTAGGCTTACAAAACAAGTCACAAGCAAAAGGCTTAACAATCCTTGGCTTACAAAGGGAATACTGAAATCCATTAACAAAAAACACGACCTTGAGAAGAAGTATAGGTTAGGAATTGTCTCCAAAGAATTCTCAAAGAATTACTCATTATTGCTATCTAAGATAATTAGACGAGCCAAAACTAAATACTACGAAGATAAATTTACTCAAATAAAGAGCAACATTAAACAAACTTGGAGCACAATTTCACAAATATTGGGATCAAAGAAATCTTTAAATAACAAACCGACTCTCCTGTCTAATAACGATGGTCAGCTTTCAGCCTCTGATTCTGCTATTGAGTTCAATAGGTTCTTCTCTTCCATTGGTTCATCCCTTGCAAATGATATTCCATCTTCCAGTACTGACATTAAGGACTATCTTACAGGTAACTATCCACAGTCTCTGTACCTAAAGCCTATTAACTCCACTGACGTCAATGAGATAATCCTTTCCCTTAAAACCAAGTCTGGTGCCCTTGAGGAGATACCAACTTTAATTTACAAAAAAGCCTCCAGATCTTTAGCCCCTGCTATTGCTTTGCTCTTCAACAAGTCACTTGAACTCCAAACCTTTCCAGATGTTCTAAAAAAAGCGAGAGTAACGCCTGTCCACAAATGTGGTGACCCCACAGATGTTAACAACTACAGACCTATATCAATCCTGCCAAACTTGTCAAAAATTTTTGAAAAACTTATATACAAGCAGCTTTACTCATATCTAGCCAAACTCAATATACTTAGCCCTTGCCAATATGGCTTCAGACCCAAAAAAAGCACTAACGATGCACTTATTAGTATGCTTAACTCGATTCATACAGCTCTTGATAAAAAGGAGTTCCCTGTTGGGTTATTTGTGGACCTGCGTAAAGCTTTTGATACTGTCAACCACCATAACCTTCTTCTTAAATTACATCATTATGGAGTCAGAGGACACTCCCTACAATACCTCGAGTCCTACCTTACTGACAGGCTCCAATATGTTTCTGTGAATAATACAATTTCTCCCACCCTACCCATCAACATTGGTGTTCCTCAGGGCAGCATACTTGGCCCTCTCCTCTTTCTCATCTACATTAATGACCTTCCAAATGCCTCCCAACACCTCAAACCAATTCTATTTGCTGACGACACAACCTTCATTTACTCCAGTCCTGACCCTCTTGCTCTAAATGCCACAGTAAATACTGAGCTAAATAAAGTCCATCTTTGGCTAACTGCCAACAAACTCACCCTTAACATTGACAAAACCTTCTATATTCTGTTTGGCAATAAATCCTCTAGTCTTATAAATCTCAAAATAAACAATACCCAAATTTGTAACAAATTAGATGGCAAATTCCTTGGCATTCTCATTGACCACAAGCTGAATTTCCAGGGACACATTCTAAATATATCAAAAAAAGTTTCAAAAACTGTGGGCATTCTTTCTAAGATCAGATATTATGTACCACGCCCTGCCCTGGTGACTCTCTATTACTCCCTTATCTATCCTTATCTCAACTATGGTATTTGTGCTTGGGGTTCTAGTACCCAAAATCACTTACGTCCTCTAATTACCCAACACAAAGCCGCTATTAGAACAATATCCAACTCTGGCCCCAGACATCACTCGGTACCCCTACTCAAATCTCTTAATATGTTAGATATTAAGTCACTGCACATTCTCTCATGTGTATTATACATATATAAAACGCTAAACTATAATGCCAATCCTGATCTTAAAAGCTTCATAGAAGGTTGTAACAGAACCCATGAGCACCACACCAGAAATAAATACAGTTTTGATATTCCTAGAGTACGTCTTAATCAAACTAGAAATGCTCTGCAAATCAAGGGGCCCAGAATGTGGAATGACCTTCCCAACCATGTTAAAGACTGTACCTCTCTCAACCAGTTTAAGATAAAAACTAAACACTACCTAATAAATTCCCTGTAATCTACCTCACTCCTCTATTGTCAACCCATGTCTGTTATTTTTTTTTTTTTTTTTTTTAATCAACACTGTTTGTCAATCTATTGTATTTGTGCTGCTTTTTCAGTCATGTTCCCCCTTTTTTTTTGTTCTCAACATCTTTTATTCTTTATGCTCAATTAGTATTAAGTTCTAGATATTAATGTTTTTCTTGCCCGAAACGCATTGCGTAATAGTGGCTTTAGGCATTGTATGTACTAGCTCTATCTATATATCAATCCATTAATGTAACATCACTTGTATGTATATACCTTACCTGAATAAACATCTGAATCTGAATCTGAATCTGAATGACGACAATTGAAGTCACCCAGCAGGAGCTAAGGCTTCAAAAGAACAGAGAACTGTCCCATGGAGCATCACACTCCGGCAGCTGCCCACCAAGCCCCCCCCCCCCCCCCTCACGACGACAACGGACCGGAAAGGGAGGGGGGGGGGGATTACTTCCTATAAAAGACCGCAGTAATTAACAGAAGGCATTTGCAAGAGAGAACTTAACGTCATGTTTGGCAGCCTAAGACGACACAATCGATTGCAAGGCCCCACAGCCGCTACCACATCATACGGTAGCTGCCAAGTAAGTAAGTAATTATCAAAAGAAGGCACCAAACCGGGAAGGCTATGTAGCACCATCAAATGCGCAAAATAATCAGAGGGCGCTAAATATCACCAAGGATGCCAATACGAGAACAAAAACGCATAAGGCGAACGATATCAAAAGTATCCGAGTCACCAAGAATTCTATTGAGGGACAGGTGACCGCGAGGGGCGGTCGGAAAGCAAGACACGCTCGTCCTGGAAGTCAGGACATTCAAGAAGGACATGCACGACCGTAAGAGGGACAATGCAACTAGGACAATAAGGAGCAGGGCGGCGCTCCATCAAGTGACCATGGGTTAAGCGAGTATGGCCAATACGCAACCTCGCCAGAGCTGTTTCCCACCGTCGGTTACGGTGGAAGGAGGACGGCCACGAGGAAACACAACATTTAAGAGTACGTAGTTTGTTACCAGTAACAGACAACCAAGAAGCCTACCAACGGGTAAGGACGGAGGAATGGATAACCGGGTAAAAGTCGGAATACGGAAGACCTTTACGAGAGATGGGACAAGAGCGGACAGCTTCCTTGGCGGCAGCATCCGTACGCTCATTTAAAGACACACCAATATGGCTGGGAACCCAACAAAACTCAACCGACTTAAATTTACTGTGAACAAGAAACAGCCAATGCTGAATCTCGACAACTACTGGATGAACCGGATTAAAGGACCCGAGAGCCATGAGGGCACTACGAGAGTCAACAACAACTACAAAGGAAGACTGACAACGAGAAAGCAGGAGACGAAGAGCATAGAGAATAGCATAAAGCTCTGCTGTAAAGATGCTAGTCTCCGGAGGTAAGTAACACATATAAGTGCGATCAGGAAAAACAACAGAGTAGCCAACACCGTCCGCAGACTTAGATCCATCGGTGAAGACAGAAACGGAGCGGGAGTGAGAAGAAAAGTGCTCAAGGAAAAGGCGTTTTAGAACCGTAGGAGGGGTAAAAGCTTTAGTGATACGGGTCAAGGATGTACAAAACTGCGGAAGAGGGACTCTCCACGGGGGCAAAGAAGGAACAACACGAGGAGAAACATTAGAAATATGAACGGAAAGAGTCCTGTAGGCGAGATAACCAGACAGAAAGAGGGAGGTGGTGAAGAGGAACAGGAACCGCAGGAGGGGTAAAAGTTAAAGCACGACAGAGGCGAGAGGAAGGATGTTGTAAGGACCACGCAAGATAGCGAAGACAGTAGCGATCACGGCGGTCTTGGAGAGACAGGAAGCCAGTGTCAACATACAAACTAAGGACGGGAGTCGAACGAAAGGCACCAGAACTAAGGCGCAACCCAGTATGGTGCAAAGCATCAAGACGGCGAAGAGTAGAAGGAGAAGCAGACGAGTAAGCAGGGCAACCATAATCGAGCTTAGACAGGACGAGAGAGGAATGTAAAGCAAGGAGAGTGCGCCTATCTGCCCCCCCAAGAAGTATGGGACAAGACCCGAAGGGGGGGGGGGGGTAGCTGCCAAGGGGAATGAAAAGTGAATGAAAGAAAATATATAGTTTTTAGAGGATTTATTATTGTAAAGAGTTTATTTTGCTCGCAGTAGGTCCATTTTCTATGCAAAAATTACCTACCAAAAATTATGGTATTTAAAATTAAATATGTTTGGCACACAAATTTAATGAGAACTCTTTTTAAAGATGATTTAAATAATATATTTGACAAGATGTGAAACTAAATTTAAAAGCAGATTTAACAACATTGAAAAACACACATTATTTTCTCAATTGAAAGGTTCCCAAATAGATTATGGCACGACCCAGTGAGCAGAATATCCAAGAGTAACGTTGAATCAATACTGAATCTAAGTTACTTTGATATTGTGCCATGGGATTGCACATTGTTGCTAACAGCTCGTGATTCTCGGTCATCAATTCAAAGAATTTATGACCGAGATTCATAAAACATTCAGAGAACAAATTCAATCTAATTCTTCCGCTGTTTTGCATTTGAGGAAACTGTAATTAAATCGTGTTTTTATAAACAGTTTCGTGTTTATGCAAACCCAACCATCCACAATACTTTACTCCCTCTCCCATTACACCCCCCCCCCCTCCTCCGCCAATGATCTCTGTTCCTGCAAAGGATCACACATACTGTACTTTTTCGTAAAACCTTATATTAAAATACAGGTGTTTGTGTATATGCACATTGTTACAACACTAATTTGTAAAAAATTATTCTTCATAAATGCCTTTGACTCTAAGATTATTGGGATCAAATGGTGGACGAATGTGGACTGTAGCATCAAGTCGCTCGCCCATGGATTCCAACTGCCAGTCTCCAGTTTTTAGAAAGTCATTTGTCACCTTCCCTCCACTAGGGCTTCGTACATACCCATAAGCAATGGCACAACCTAAAGCAAATGCATACTCTGCTCTTCGAATGTAACCCACAGGTTCCCCGTCACGCCAAATGCCCTCTAGGCCCCAGAGAGGTCGTTGAGGGTCATTCAGTGTAAAGGTTACAAGTTTCTTGGCGATACCCTTGCTCTTCTGCATTTCCAATGCCTCACGACCCAAGAATTTAATGTCGGTCTTGAGTTTGCAGGTAAAAGCAAGACCAGCTTCAAGGGGTGTATCATCTGGCCGGGCGTCAGCATGCCAATGGCGGTAACCTTTCTCGCAGGACAACGAGTCAATAGCTCGATACCCTGCATCAGCAAGACCCAGCGGTGCCCCGACGGCCGTCACAGCCTCGTACACTGCAAGCGCTGACGATTTGGGGACATGCAGTTCCCAACCTGTTGCAGAAAGACACTTATGAGCAATACAATAATTTGCAGGGTCACGAACAACAAAACTATAGAAGAGCCTTTACAACAGGAAAATCTTGTAATTCTAATATTTTTGGTTACATTTCGAAGACAAAAGGTGCATCAGGTATCAAGCCTTTACTACGTTCATATTAAATATTATTATTATTAATTGTATTCTGCGCAAAAAGTTTGCGAGTGTTTTTGCCGTGCAGTAAAGTGTTGCACACAACTTTTACTGAAGTACTTAGATGCTTTGAGCTCTACTCCATACACTCACGAATATTGGAAGATATTCTTCTACCCAGAGTTTGTTAGTGCAAAATTAAACTCGCATTTCATGCTCTTTCCTGACTTCCTGTACGACTAAACACCTGTGAGATGAAGATATTAGATGAACTCTGCTAGCCTTTGATCTACACTCTGTAATCCCTCATATATAATAGGGTAGCACATCATTGTTGTGTTACATAAGACTTAATAAAAATGAATGGAATAAAATATAGTAATCTCATGATTAAATTTAAGGATTTTATGATCAAGGACTTATGAATTAAGGATCACGATTAAGGACCTGCCCGAAATGCTACGCATGTTAGTGGCTTTGCAACAATGTAAAAATTACCATTCTTGTGTAATCTCACAAACCCATTGTACCTTCTTGCAAACTATTATTTATTATTACTATTAATTATTATTAAATTGATACCCAATGCTAGTACTGTACATTTGTACATTCTACTATCCACGTATGTTATGCTAACAAAGAAATCCTCTATACGAAATGTGGTAAACTATAATATAATCCATCTGGTCTTGATTATATTCAGTATTGCAATCTCAAAAGATCTATCAATCATGCTTTAGATAAAACAGTTTTTCAAGTTATAAAAACATCTTGGCATTCAAAGCCAAAGATAAAAACCATAGCTAGCTGTCCACTAGTTAATCGTGCAAGCACGCACTGAACAAAAGGAAGAAACCAGATGAAACAACTCTTTAGCTATATTAAAGAGTTAACATGACGTAAAGCACATTAATTACCCATTTCTCCAACAAAGGAAAGTCTGAGGGCGCGAGCCTTGTGTCCAGCAATATTGATGACTTTGTGAGTTGAGAAGGGAAATGCTTCATTGCTGAGGTCTTCATCAGTTAGCTGCTGCAGAATAGCTCTACTAAGGGGCCCTTGCACCGACAACATGGCCATATCCTCCGTGTGGTCCAGCACCTGCACATCCCAGTCATTGGTTCTTACTTCCTTTAAAACATGGGCCAAGTTTTGGAGGGCCGCTGCTCCACCAGCAGCCAGATAGAACCCTTTACCTGTGAAGGCGGGGTCACAGGCTGACCCTTGGCCTCCTTCGCATATGCTCTGTGTGATACACAACAAAGGGATAAACACACATTTTTATACATATAAATAGTTCTATTATATACCGTGAAACAGACAAACTTATTTATGGAGACGATCTGTACACCTATTTGAGTGAAATCACAAAATTAATCCATATTCTTTCAGATTTTCTTAAAATGTGTAAATCTGCTCTCAAACTACATGTGAACATCCCGGAACATCACAAACACCACGTTGTATGGATCCCTTCACTACTCACCACAGTGAGGTCCGCTTCAACGCCACCCTTATGGTTCAACATGCAGGTATACACTGTAGTGCCGGGCGGTCTAGATACATCCGCTGAGAAGATCCAGTCGGCAGCCTTTTGGGCATCACGACCCGTTATGTAGAACTTTCCAAAGTAGGACATATCAAATATGGCAGCTTTCTCGCGGCATGTCAAACATTCTCTCTGTATCTGTTACAAATTCAGTTATCTTTGTAAATCTATAATTACAGGGATGTTCAGTACAGTAACCGAATAACAGTTATATACATGTATGAAACACACACACGTCTCTAAAAAGAGATGAAAGCTATGCCATAAAGCGGAAGATATGGGTCCACTTACTGTGTGATGGTGTGATGGAAAGTCAAAGGAATAATCTGCCACAAGCAGATTCTTATAACAGTCGTCAGTATTTAGGGGAGTATCATAGGCACCATACCAGTCATATGTCTGTGGAGGTGCTGGCCGGGTGCTGAACCATCCAGGTCTCTCCCAGCCATGACGCTCCTGGAACACACACCCCTTACTCTCCAACACCTGGTGGGGAACAAACGTTACTTATTACAAACTGTTCCATCGTGCTCATGTAGAGAATATAATCGTTATTTAGTAGGTTTCCTCTGTTAGTCGTTCTCAAACAGAACAATCAGTTGCTAACGTAACTGACTATTATGTACTTTTGAATCTTCGTCAAACTAAAAAAAAACAGGATAAAAAGTGTGGACCAAATCCATGTGATGCCAACAATTTACGAAAACAAATGCATGAAGAACCACTATTAAACCTAATAAACTTATTCATCTTAAGTATCTTAATCTTTTAAGATTTGGGGGTTCAGTTCCTGAGTCCCCTAATGTGCCTCTAACCTTATACACTACCGCTCACAGGATGGGTATGAAGTGTATATCATACATACATGCGCCACACACCTGATGGAGAGGAGAGCGCCTCTGCCCGCGACCAGCCAGGGGTTCATCATGAGGGAACACTATACTATAGTTCTTGGCATACGACTCGTGCGAGCGAGCCAGCACCCAGGCCTTGTTGGCGTTGAGAGCGGGGTGAAACCTACGAATGTCGTAACCAAACATATCAAGATCTGGGCGGCCATGGGCCACCCATTTGGCCATCTGGTCACCACAACCACCACCCAACATCATACCACTGCTGTTAAAACCACAGCAGTGGTAGAAACCTCGGACGTTGATGTCCTCTCCTGTGGTAGTGAAGGACGAAGATATGAGTAACTTTCTTACACTTAGATTATACACCGACACAGTATAGCAACAATTACACTGCCATCAAGTATAATAAATATTAATCCTGCAGTCCAAAACAGCATTTAATTATTTTTTACTAGAAATTTACAGTATATACAAATTGTGTTTGTATAAAAAATATGTTTAGTGCATTAGTACCATTTATCAGTATTAGAGAAGAAACGTGAATTTATGAAGGCAAGATGAAAGCAAATTATGATAAAAATAGCAGAATATTATATTATATATATATATATATATATATATATATATATATATATATATATATATATATATATATATATATATATATATATATATATATATGTAAAATACGTGTTAATTAATATATATATCAGATTAGAGGGATGGTTATAGTTCAGACTGCCTGTTGAGATTTTTCTTGCCACGTTTCTAGAACTATTTCAGAGAGAACTGACCCATGACTGGCTTGTGATCAGGGGTGAAGGACTCGGGTCCACACACGGTCGACTTTATGCCTATAGTCTCCAGCACAGGCACGCGGTTCACCGCCCCGTCGATGTGGGCGCTGAACGTGTCCCAGTCCAGCTCGTATAGTCCAAAAGCAAAGTCCTTGTCCAGCTGTCGACACACAAACGTTATACTTCTTTCTGGGTACACATATCAAGCACATTGTTAGTATATAATAGGCAATATATAAGGTTTATAATGATAACAGCTTTAATTTAACATGCTATAAAAATATTTAAAGATTTGATCAAAAAAGACAAAAAATCAAAAAGACAAAAAACAAAAAAGATTTGAACATCTTTACCATTGTGATCATTGCTGTCTTATATGTGCTGCCAATCTGCTGTATGGTGTTTATAAATCTTGTTTATCTGCATCTTTTGCTACCCAGTCTCCCAATCTTTATGTACCCAATCTGAACATCTTTACCATTGTGATCATTGCTGTCTTATATGTGCTGTCAATCTGCTGTATGGTGTCTATTAATCTTGTTTAAATTACTAATCAAGCTGTCAATGTAATCAATCAGAGCTTTAATATAACAATGTGCTTTAATATACTTACTAAGCTCTCTCATCTCATTTTTCTCTTGCAATGTATCTTTATCATTTATCAATTCTGATAGAAATTATCTACTTAAAATTATCTGTTAGATTAAGGACCTGCCCGAAACGCTGCGCGTACTAGTGGCTTTACAAGAGTGTAAATACTGTACTATCCAATGTATTCTCACAAACCCAATGTACCCTCTTGTATATATATAAATAAATAAATAAATTTACGTGTCCTAAATTCAATTTGTGTTTGAACTAGTGACAACAGATTTATGCAATCGTCATTTTGCTAGAGAAATTTCAATATATAAAAATAATGAATTTTATTTATTTACTCAACTTGCATATAATCACTTCACCTACACACTAACCAAACCAGTACAATACATGAAATTCGTCATCAGTCTACATCATCAGGTGTGTCGAGGTGGCAGAACTATGCATAATGTTTTTACTTCAACGATGCAAACTGTTTTCTTTAATCGAATAGTAAGCATGTGGGACAAGTTTACTAAATTATATATTTCAGTGTAAAATTTAGAAGACACTTAAACACAGAATTGACAATTACTTCCCCCCCTCAAATTTACTCTTTACAGTGTAACTCCATATGTTTTCCACAAACAACCTCGTTTGGTTGTGTGTTTATCACTCAATGTTCGGTAATGTGCTTACTGTTTGTTGTGTATGTATATATATTATCTATGAACACGTTGTTTTGAACGGGCTGAGAATAGCTTGAGCTACCTCATCCCTTGTATATTTATACCTCAATAAATTTATTTAATTTCTATTTCAATTTCACCTAGTTTGGATTTAATGGTCCGTCGTTTCAATTTGTATAAAACACAATGCAACCCATGAAAGAAAAATTACCATCGAAAGCAAGGCATCAAAATTGTGTTTGCTACTAACATACACTGACATTTCTCACCCTGTCAAGAAAGATGGGATTCCCTTCGTAGCCTCCCACGGACAGAGCATCACCCTGAAGTCTCAAATAGACAGAAGTGTCGTGGTCTCGTACATTGGGCATATTCTCAATTCCTGGGATCTTCTCAGTTACCACATATGCATGTTTCATGGGAGCAAGCGGCACCTCCACGCCTACCATGCCCGTTATATCATTTGCCCAGCAACCTGAAGTAAATACACACGCACTACAACACAAATAGTTTACGTTAGAGTATGGATATAAACAGACAACAATGAGATCCTTTTAGTACGAGCATAGAGACAAGTAACGACGTTCCGTTCAAGTACAAGTGTAGCCTAGGATGGATCGACACACATTAGCATTTAAAATGGCAATGCCTCTACATAAAGACTAGACTTTAGCACCCACATACAACACTGCCAAAACTCAAAAATGTTAGTATACTCACTAAAATCCTATGTTCCTTACTTTGTTCTTCTTACACTTCTAATCTCCAATCTATTCCTAACACGGTATCTGTACATAGGGTTTAACCGCTGCAAATTACCTCAAGCCCATCACCCAGCAAAAATCTATCAGAACTATAACAAACTAAACATGCTGAACATACACAACTCCACACATTTTCTTGGGCTATTTACATGTATAAAACTCTATTCCTAAATGCCATTCCTGATCTGAAACCCTTCCTTGATAGATGTAATGTAACCTATGTGCACCACACTAGAAATAAATATCTCTGATTCTCCTAGTCATATTAAATCTGTACAATCACTCCATGCAAATAAAAAGACCCAGTATGTGGAACTCGTTCCCTAATGAATTAAAAAATTGTCCAACCTATACTTTATTCAAAAGTAAAACCAAAAAGTACCTAATACCATCCTCACAGTTTCACACCTTGTGCTACCAGACTCGCCCAATTTAGTACTTAAGACATTAAACTTCATCAATATAATATATTCTACCAATTTGTATTCATTATATTTTAACTCAAATTCTGTTACCTTTATTGTTTAGCTTAAGGACCTGCCCGAAACGCTATGCGTGTTAGTGGCCTTGTAACAGTGCAAGAATAAGAACTTTGCAAGAACGCAAACCCCCAATGTCCGTCCGTCCTTTCAACCCAATGAACCATGTTTTAAATAAATAAATTGTTCGACACCTGACTGAGTATAAATAAGAATTCAAGATGCATCCTTCTCTTAGGCTTCATATCTTGCACTTAGTTTTTTTTTTAATTAAATTGTTGGCAGTCTACTTGCCATTTTGACATTATTCGACAAAGTATTGAGGTTACGGTGAACAAATGTTAAACCTATTAGATGAGATACCCCTATACTCGGCTCATATGCTCCATGTTTATTAAGTATACAAAATTACAGTATCCCAAAATATGCATATAAAAATATATAATTAGCTAAGTACAGGCAATTAATTGCATTTGTTACGTTGCCTAATAAAAGACAGTCCTACTTTAATCTGCATATCTTGCTGAAAGCTCAGGAGGCGGCTACGAGATGTAGGTACCTGTAGCATTGACAACTGCACTGGTCTTGATGACTCCGCATGGCGTGTGCACCTCGCTCACCTCGCGGCCCCCCAAGATGGTCTCCGAGGTGCGAATGTCAGTGACAGGGCAGTGTTCCACCACCAGAGCCCCCGCCTGCGTCGCCCACCGGGTGAGTGCTGTACACAAGCCTGCAGGATCCATCGTGCCTGTGGGACAACCAGGGTCAAGTCCAACAACTGGCAGTAATGTATTAGCAAGTGTTCTATAATTAGAGTTCCCATCAACACCCAATCCCTTTACGAAATGCAAAATTATAACTAGCTCTCTCTCACAATTATAAAAAGACTGACAATAGCGCATAGGCAGCGTTATCTACATGTATATACCTTTAACACATTACTAAGTACTTTAATTCTCTCCTTACCATCACCAGGACAGTAAAGAGTGCCAGTAAGGTCGTTAACGTTCAAGAGTGGGTAGAGTTTCTTGGTCTCTGCTGGGTCTAGCACGTAGCTCTCAATGTCATGGACTCTTCCAAGAGTCATTAGTCGCTTGTATTCGTTCAGTCGTTCCTAAAAATATAATGACGTACAGACTGCAAATATCTTTGTTATATATAAAAATTCTGATTTTCCTCTATTTACCAGTGTTTAGACATGACCAAATTAGCTCCATAATTATATAGCTAAACAGAGTATGGCAGTCCAAGCACAAGTGTGTGTTTTCTTTACGGTAATATAAACAAAAATAAGCTTTGCAACACTCTTAGTTTTCGCTTCCTTTCTTCCGAGTGTATAGACAAAAAAAAGTCCAGAAGTTTGCAACGAGGAGTTACGAGAGATGGGATCTGAAGAGCGCCTGAAGGAACTGAACCTTACGACACTAGAAAAGAGAAGGGAGAGTTGGAATATGATAGGAACGTATAAAATACTCAGGGGGAATTGACACAGTGGAAATAGATGAAAACGTAGATGTTCACATGTAATATTAACAGAATGAGGGGGGGGGCATGGATGGAAGCTGGAAACTCAGATGAGTCACAGAGATGTTAGGAAGTTTTCTTTTAGCGTGAGAGTAGTGGAAAAATGGAATGCACTTAAGGAGCAGGTTGTGGAAGCAAACTCTATTCATAATTTTAAAATTAGGTATGATAGGGAAATGGGACAGGAGTCATTGCTGTAAACAACTGATGGCTAGAAAGGCGGGATCCAAGAGTCAATGCTCGATCCTGCAGGCACACATAGGTGAGTACACACACACGTACGTAAGTGTGCGTGTGTCAGCCACGGCTCACAGGGGCCCTGACTGAATGGACTGTGCTTGGGACTCTTAATTCCAGGATCCGGGTTCGATCCCGGCCGCCGTCGGAAAATGATGGGCAGAGTTTCTTTCACCCTGATGCCCCTGTTACCTAGCAATAAATACGTACCTGAGAGTTAAGACTGTTACGGATTGCTTCCTGGGTGTATGTGAGGAAAAAAATTAGTAGTTAGTAACAGTTGCCTCAGATGTTACAAAACGTCTAATGATTGACAGTTGAGAGGCGGGCCGAAAGAGCAGAGCTCAACCCCCGCAAGCATAACTCGGTGAATACACATACTTTCGTCGAGGCGATAAAAAGACCGCCATTGATGATCCAGCCAGGGTTGACACCGGTCTCCTTCTCCAGTCTAAGAAGCATCTCTCGTGTGGTGTTGATGAGCTGGATCTCTGTATCACTAGGCCTCAGGCGCCACAGTAGGCCTGCTGTGTGCCACGTCGTTCCTGTGAGATCAGTTTTGGTTTGTATTTACAATTAGGCTTAAGATTTGAAAACTGACTATCACCTTGACTAGGGCTAATGTGTCTTTAGACCACTTCTCATACCGCTAAAGAATTATACATCCTGAAAGAATGTAATATTGTATTTATTGATTGCGTCTAATGCCTCACTTTAGGAATTATGACTTCGTATTTCTAAACTCAAGTTACAACTTACTAAATAATGTGTTCACACTATTAGAAAACCGAGATGAAAAAGTTGTCACTAACAATTTAACTCATGCAATAAGACATGTCATTCCGTACGTTTAACAGAACAATGAGTACATATTGCTCTAATCTTCCTTAACGTCAGAATACCAATAAAGAAGGACGATCAAATTTAATTTGCGGCATACGACACTAATTAAATTATAGTTTTGAGACATTTATGTTACCTTTGCCATAGCAACGTCAGTAGTGAATACCTGCAGTTAATTGGTGGGACTCTAGAAGAACTGTGTTGGTGATGCCTAACTTAGCCAGGTGGTAGAGGGTGCTGCAGCCTAGGGATCCCCCACCGACCACCACCACCTCCACCTCAGCTGGTACGGCCGTCGGCGTAGCAACCTTCTGCTCCTGCAAACACAGCACAAGGTTATAATGTAAACACTTGTATTCTCTGGTCCCACAGACACGATGCAATCTAATGCAACGTTTTGTTCTTTACACACACAAAATGGCTTTTTAACTAACAAATTTCATAAACTTGCGACATTAGACATGGTGAAATAAGATGCACCTTTGACTATTACATCTTTGTTCTAAATTATATTATTTATCTGCAACGACAGTTTAACTAATTAGCCTAACTAAATATCAATCTTCTATATGAACACTTAAATAAAAAAGTATTAACATATGTGCATCTAGTTTGTTTGCAAACCTATAGGTATATCTACCTATATCTATATACAAAAAAATGTCTGTCCACTGAGGATGGAGGCCAGACAGGTGGGGCAGCCTCGCCCAACTGGGGTATACCAACCACTCCCATACCTACACATGAAGCATGTGGGGTATGGGAGTATCATAGACCAGTCAGGGTCGACTCCAGAGCCACATTTAGAAATATTGGCATTGACCCAATGCCCCCTATGTGATTATCATAAAGGTAAGGTAATTACCGGGAGAAAGAACAGTCATTACGATTATATAGCACTTGTAAGGGATATGAGGATAAGGGTTTGGGATAGGACGGAGAAAAGAAATGATATCCAACCACTTGGACGGTCAGGGATTGAACGTCGACCTGTATGAAACGAGACCGTCGCTCTACCGTCCAGTCCAAGGGGTTTGGCACGACATCATGAAGTTCGAAACAGTGAAGTTCCTCGACCAGGCCTCCACCCCCAGGAAGCAGCCCGTGATAGCTGACTAACACCCAGGTACCTATTTTACTGCTAGGTAACAGGGGCATAGGGTGAAAGAAACTCTGCCCATTATTTCTCGCCGGCGCCCGAGATCGAACCCGGGACCACAGGATCACAAGTCCAGCGTGCTGTCCGCTCGGCCGACCGGCTCCCAGTACCATGGTTTTAAAATATTGTCATCTTAAGGGCTTCCTTGCGATTTTTATGGTTTGAAATAAAATCAGGGATGGGGGGAAGAGAAGATGGGAAAAAGGAGAGGGAGAAGTGGGGAGGGAAGTTGAGAGAGGAGGAGATATACCTGGACGCAGCCGGATGTAGTAACCATATAAACTCTGTCATGTGATTTTTAACATTCACTAGTTTAATAGCATTCACCACTTTAGGTGGCCCGAGTCTATATAGCCGCTGACCTTCATAGTGGTTTGGTATGGGACGCCTTCCATACCGGTGCTAGCCGCCTGGACACCGATCCTTGAACTGCTCAATGGCGCCAGCAGTTTCCTCCAGTGTCTTACGGGCGTCGCCATCCTCTCTAGTTTTTACTGTAAGGTAATACATAATTATTGCTCAGCTACAGTGTCTAACAGGTTTAGCTAACTTTTTTTTTTTTTTTGGGGGGGGGGCCTTGGACATGCAGCATTCACGTTAGTCATTTATTAAGCACCCTATACGAAGCCTGTGGGCGATAGTGGGTTACAAAAGAACAGCGGTGGGTTAACCGTCTCTGGAACCAAGACCAAAAAAGTCGTATAGGTAAGTTACAGAATTAACCGTGCATACCAAAGTACACAGCTTGTTAGTGAATTATGGGCATCATACCCAGCCAGTGGGCTAAGACAGTCAAAGTCAGACAATTAGTTCCGGAACGCACTGTGGAGAAATGCACAACAGACCACTGGAACATTATCTAACACAGTGCAGAGTTACAAACCTATTAAGATTTCAACTTAGATTCAACAGAGCAGAAGTAGTTGTTAAACACATGGGGCAAAATCTTACTGAAACGACCCATACTAGTCATAAACATTCATACTCCACCAAAGTAAAACAGAAACAAGCAACACTTAGTGCTCTTAACTCTTTAAGACATAACTAACATGCTCGTGTCCGAAGCTAGACACAAATACAACAAAATTATTAAGGATGGTAACAGAGTCCATTTCATGTGGTCTCCATCTCATGTTGGCCTCCGAATGCATGATAGAGCTGATAAGTTAGCCAAAGAATCTGCCTTTAAAGGAGCCGTCGAGTGTAACCTTGGATTGCCAATGAGCAATCTGAGAGCAGCAGTACACCGAGAACTTCAACAAGATCTTGTAGATCTGAGGCAAAGTGAAATTGACACCAGTAATCCCATCTATCATCATACTATCATGCAAGAGGAGCCACACATCTATGGATCATCAATAAAATCAGCAGACTTCTAGATGTTATTACTTCTCGGTTACAAGTATCTCTGGGAATTCTCATTATCTGCTGATGTAGACCTGACCAAATGTAAACTGTGTCAACAAAACTATTCGCACACCTTCCGTCACTATGTGATGGAGTGCGAAAAGATACGTGAATTTAGAGACAATTCTATAACCAATGTTCCAGCGATGTGTCAATATTTCATTCAAAATGATCTGCTACCAGAAATTTTAGCCAAATATCCCCAGTTTGCTAACTGTAGGTAGTAACTTAGTGATTGTAACCTATCCACCGCTGCCCACTGGATGGGGGGCGGTGTGCAGGACAAACATATCAATTGTGACACTAGCTCTCCACATATGTCAGTTGCTTAATTTAGAACCTGTACTTGAGGTCGATCTCGAACCCAATGTTGATGTGACGACTTATATTGAATTTTGTAACTAGCTCATCAAGATTGTAACTTGCTTAGCTAAATGAATTGTGGGGTTCAGTCCCTGAGCCCATTATGTGCCTCTGCAACCCTTTCCACTACTGCCCACAAGATGGGTATGGGGTGCATAATAAATGAACTAAACTAAAACTTGAAAAAAAGTTCCGGAACTAGATTCCCAAATTCACATTAATGCATCAAACTTCAGGCTTTCTTTGTAAAATATTTTCACTCAAAGGGCTTGGACACTGAACCCACATTTGTTAAAATACATTATCAAAGTGTGTGCATTCAGTGCTCGGTAAGAACACGACTAATTTTTATCTTTGTAAATTACTTAGCTGATATTATTTCAGTGTTGGGTTATTAGTTTGATTTTTGCTCTGCCTCGGGGCCGCTGGGCAACGTGTCACGATTTTTGTGCGGACTGCCGGCAAGCATTACTCCACGAGTCTGGGTTTATATAATGCCTGGTGTGCATATTCCCTTGGCTCTTTAAAGTTAATCGATTTTATTTATTTCCGGTTAAATCTTGGACGAAGAACGGAGGTCCGGCGACCGGCTTGATCGTGAGGTGTTTGGAACCGGTTAAGTGTGTGTGGTCATGATAGGCGTCTCGCTCCGCCGGAGAGGTCGCAGGATGCCCGACGCTAATGTCGTGTGAGTCACTAGGTATCGATAGTTAGACTTCCATTTGGTCCTCTGTACGTGGTTGGAGTCCATCGCTCGCCTATAGGAGGGGGGGGGGGGCGTAGCCGACTGCAAGGCAATGTGGTTTTCCGCAGAAGAATGGAACACCGGAAAGGAAATCAAAACTAAAGCCAATATCCCGAAAAAGAACAAACCTTTTCGGGGTTTTTTCCGGACCCACACGGATCCACCGAATCCCATCACCTCAAGCTCGGTGATGGAGTCACCCATCACCGGACTCTTGGTGATAGAGCCGTCGCCAAGCTCGACGCCCAATTAAGGTCAGGTCGGAAAACTTAGATTTTATCAACTAACCTGGGACCCAATTAGGTGACGTGTATACGGCTCCTGTGCAGCCGTAGCCTCTAAATCAACACTAACAAGTTGTAAATAAATATTTATAACATTTGAAATAAAAATCACATACAGATCTACATATAATTTACAAGCACATGATTCGGAATCCATCACGCAGAACGACGAGTGCATTACAGGTGCAGGTGGTCCTGTCAAGATAAAATTTGCTGGAAAATAAATTTAACCGGTCGATTTTTAGTATTTATTCGATATTTGCGCTGAATATCACCATTTATATTTAAACACATTAAAAACGCGAGGAAGATAAGGGACGGGTACCGGCACCTGTTCTCTGCCACGTACTCACATATTTGTACTCGCCTATTTGTGCTTGCGGAGGTTGAGCTTTGGCTCTTTGGTCCCGTCTCTCGATTGTCAATCAACTGATGTACAGATTCCTGAGCCTACTGGACTATCATATCTACATTTGAAACTGTAGGGAGTCAGAATCCACCACATCACTGCCTAATGCATTCCATCCGTTAACTACCCTGACACTGAAAAAGTTCATTCTTACCTCCCTATGGCTCATTTGGGACCTTAGTTTTCCACCTGTGTTTTTTACGTTGTAAGCTGGTTTATGTTCATGGGCTACGAGTATTAAAACCATTAATAATAACTATTTTGTATTAACAATGTGCCTATGATACTCACAAGAACTATGGTGAACTTACATCAGTTGCTAAGTTGACCTATTAACATATTCGTTAAACTGTTGAACAATATTAGGGACGTCAACCTACACGTTATATATAAACGTACTTACAAGGTCGTCGCAGCTGTATGTACAGGTTCAAGGTCACAACTTAACTGTACTTAACAGTGTACACTAGGTCACTGTACTCAACTAGGTGAGTACAAGGTGAGTAAGACGACCAAGCAGCCGGCCCACACGCCTCATTGTATTCAGAGAACACTGCTCTGGAACTAAATAATCTCACGAGGCTTGGCATGTCTCGGGGCAAGCTTGAGTTACATCACGGACTCGACCACACGTGAGCTCCCCACCACATGACACACCTGTTACAGATGTTAACGAGCTGCTAACCAGCAAACACCTGGGTTCGTACACCTGTCACACGTGTTTTTTCAAAATTGTGTTGCATGGTTTCAGAGTAACTTGCCTATACACAAGTTTTGCTTTCATTTTGTACTCAAGTCACTATAGAAGTTAAATGATATTATAAGTCAAAATCCACACATGCACTGTAGTTTCTACCAATCGCTGCGCAATGTGATGTTAAGTTATATAATCGATTTTGATAACCCGCAAACAGACGATATCAATGTTGGCATCGTCCACCAACGTCACAAATAAATATTTAATAGACTATTCCTTGCAAAAATGATCACATTTAACAAAAATATGCCAAGTACATCGACGGTGCGAGAGCCACACGTTCACCCCATGAGCTCCAAGCACCGACTGACAGTCGAGTGAGTCGATCACGTGCTGCAGCTGTAGCTTCCCGTCCTCTGAACAGTGACGGGGAGACTACTCTATATCTCTCCACAGTTAGTATTTTAGATTCAGCTATTCGGAACAAAATTTCCATGTAGCACGGGCTCCCCATAAACCCATAAATCTCTCCACAGCTTCAGCAGGGCTTATATCTTCCTCTTCACCTCATTATTATAAACACGTTTATTCAGTATTCTAAATCTGTTTTGAATTGCATCCTTACATTTCTCGGCATAAATGATCATGGAATTTTGGTAATATTTTAACAAGACCATCGCCCGCTTCTTAAAATCTTGGCTGTTGATTGGTCGAAGGGTTTGTTGTGCACCCCATACTCATCGTGTGAGTGGTAGGTTATTGTGCACCCCATACTCGTCGTGTGAGTGGTAGGTTATTGTGCACCCCATACTCATCGTGTGAGTGGTAGGTTATTGTGCACCCCATACTCATCGTGTGAGTGGTAGGTTATTGTGCACCCCATACTCGTCGTGTGAGTGGTAGGTTATTGTGCACCCCATACTCATCGTGTGAGTGGTAGGTTATTGTGCACCCCATACTCGTCGTGTGAGTGGTAGGTTATTGTGCACCCCATACTCATCGTGTGAGTGGTAGGTTATTGTGCACCCCATACTCATCGTGTGAGTGGTAGGTTATTGTGCACCCCATACTCGTCCAGTGAGTGGTAGGTTATTGTGCACCCCATACTCATCCTGTGAGTGGTAGGTTATTGTGCACCCCATACTCGTCCAGTGAGTGGTAGGTTATTGTGCACCCCATACTCATCCTGTGAGTGGTAGGTTATTGGTACAGTGGTCTGCGTCCTCGACTCACAATCGAGGATCCTGTGTCTGATCTCGTGGAAGAACTGAAATGGTTTGGCACGTTTCCTTTCACCTGAGTTGGACTGCATCCTGGGGAGGGAGGGCCAGTAGTTGGCCCAGACGAAGTCTCCCTATCAATTAGACATTTCATATCTTATTGATAATAAAGCTATCTTGACCTTATTAGACCCCCATTTAGATCATGCAGAACTGCAGATCAGCTTTATTTACATCCTCTTCAAAGACGATGAGAGAGGGAATGACATGATTGAAGTACAAAGGGTAAAAGGGTATAACATAGGTGAAATAAACGAGCTTTTAAATGTATCAGCACAAAACAGAACTGGAAACGATGGATATAAACTGGAGAAGTTTAGATTCAGGAGAGACCTGGGTAAATACTGGTTTGGAAACATGGTCATTGAAATATGAAGTTACGGAGTAACATAATAGATTATTAGTAACATAACTGTTATAGTTACGGAGTAACATAACAGACGCGTGATCGCTGGATTACTTCAAGCTCAAATTAGACATACTCTATATATGAATGCGTTTGGGTGGATATAAATAGAAGCTGCCTCATTAAGGCCAATAGGCCTCTTGCAGTTTCCTATATTCTTATGTTACTTAGTGGCGATTTTGAGGGAAAAGTGCTGAAAAGTACTTAGCATGATACAACACTTTTGTTAACGTTGTTTCAGATTCAGCTACTGGGAACAAAAAGTTGCAAGCAGCACGGGGTATGGCGCGCCCGTCGTACTCACCTGGCACAGGTGAGTACGACGGCTGATTGGTTGAATAATGAAGATTAAGCCACCCAAGAGGTGGCACGGGCATGAGTAACCCGTAAGTGGTAGTTTTTTCTGCAGGGATATTCCTGCGCGGGCCCTAAGACTCTGGCTGGCCCACTAAGTGTTAATTGTTCCTTGTATCTGTTTTACTTAGGCGGGGTATGAGTATTTATGACTCGTATGTTTGCTTCAGTAAGATTATGCCCAATGTGGTTAACAACTTCTTCTGCTCTGTTGCCACTTACAGGCATGAGTAAGTAAGTGGTAGAAGTTTGTTTTGTTGACATGTTGTTGTTTTTTAGATTTAGCTACTCAGAACGAAATGTCTATGTAGTACGGGCTATGGTGAGCCCGTAATGGAGTTTGGTTATTCGCGATAACCTTGTTACTCTGATATTTGGGTCAAAGTATTAAATAGAGGTGGGGTTTCCTCCTTTTTCCTTGTTTCTTTTTCGCTTCTGTTTTAGTCTTGTTTTAATAACATTTTCTTGGTGGCGGATGTAGGTGCAGAATGTTCACTAGTGAGTCCCATTCTTTAACGGCTTTTCTAATCATTGTAGTGGCTGTGGAATGTGCATCTAATGCAGCTGCTGTCGATGGATTAATGTTGAGTTTGATGCGCAGGGCTTCAGTAGCTTCACATTCCAGTAAGTAGTGCAATAGTGGCGCCTCTGCTTCTGTTTCACAGATATGACACTCTTTAACTATTGGGTTCATTACCTCCCAGCATCACTTGTAACCAAGTCTGAGTCTGTGTATGGCTACTGCAATGTCTCTGGATATCTGGACGTCAATGAGCCTGGAGCCCAATTCCTTGAGAAATCCCAAGGCACTCTTTCCCCAGGGGCCATGCTTCTCAGACGCTATGGGAACAAAGGTGTATCGACCTTCCAATCGCCTGTATTTGGCTAATTTTGCTGTTTCCCTGTGGTTGGCCGTCCCACCTGCTTGATCAGCTCCGAGGTGTACATAGGTGTCAGCCAGGGTGGATACACATGTGTAGTCCCACACCAACTGTCTACCCTCCTTCCAGGAGTATATGGTGATGCCATCAGGGCGAAGTGCGGGGAAATCCGAGTTTAGGACCCCTATAGGATACGAGGTTCTCTCTCCGCTGGGCACCTAGCTGAGACGAGGCTTCTCTTGATGATGCAATTGACCTCGTTGTGTCTTGCATGCCAGCCCTTTGTGCTTCCGCAATGCAACCCATGCAGTCCATATTGGTCTGCCTCCACCCTGTTGCAAATACACTTGTATTCAGTGTGAATTGGGGCACCAAGGCGGAGGGCCACTGCTACACTCTTCACCCATGGATGGACCCCATTTCGCCAATTAACCTTTCTGCTTCCGCCCAAGTCAGCATTGGCATATGAAGCATTATAACAAACTAATTAGAAAAAGTATATAACTGCAACTATGAGGAAAAGAGTTTCACTAGATAACCATGTGAAACGTGAGTCTAACGATGATAGATGGTGTCAAATGACTGCACGCATATGTTCTATATTAACCTTGAAACAATATAGTTTCATTTAATTCCCTGAAAGCCAATGTCCATGTCCTTACAGGACAGAGTTGGGAAAAGTTAAAGTACTGCATCACTCATATAATATATGACAGCACATTAATGTAGGTGTACAAGATAAGCGTAGTATGCTGACGATTGGTGACTGATAAGAGTGTGGGGGGGGGCAAGGCGCCAGGAGCCGGTTAGCACGAGACTTATCTAGTTCGGAGGTCCCCCACCTGTTCATGCCCACACCCACCACACCTATTTTGTCATTATTAACAAGCTTGGGTACACAGCATTTTGTGCCTACACTTTCATACTACCATAACACCAATAATTATTTGTATACGTGGGAAACGAACTCTGAAAAACAGAGTTGGCAGGTGGCTGCAGGTAATGAATCCCCCAACGGTGAACATTCCAATTGTAAACTATGTGAACAAGAGCTGGGACATACTTTTCAACACTATGTTTGTGATTGCTCTCTTATCAATGACTTCAGACCAAATGATATGAGGTACTTTGTGCTCTGTAACTATTTTCCCAACCACTTGGTTTGGACGGTAGAGCGACGGTCTTGTTTCATGCAGGTCGGCGTTCAATTCCCGACCGTCCGAATGGTTGGACATCATTCTTTCCTCCGTCCCATCCTAAATCCTTATTCTGACCCCTTCCAAGTGCTATATAGTCGTGATGGCTTGCCACTTTCCCCCTAATATCTCCCTCCCTCTGTAACTACTTCATATACTCCCTGTCCTGTGTACACTTATGTACACTCACGAATATTGGAAGATATTCTTGTGCTCTACCAAGAGTTTGCTATAAGAGAGAATGTCTGTTTGTCTGTCTGCCTAAAGTTGCATGTTAGGCGCTTGGGCCTTGCTTCATCCAAATTGACAGATTTTGAGAGAATTGACAGTCTGGGGTCCGGGATGAACATATTGGCTGGTCGGAGTCAACAGAATTCAAAAGGGAACTGCGTGCCAAGGTCACAGTCAGACCCCCCCCACCCCACCCCACCCCATGATGATTTTGATCAGTAAATATATACTGGGCATTAGGAAACTGTTTTCTTATTAAGTAGCTTATGTATACACAGTAATATGCTGTAGATCAAGATCAGTAGATCAAAAGCTAGCTGTGAGTTCATCTAATATTCCCATCTCGCAGGATGGTTAGTCATACGTGGAGTCAGGAGAGAATGTAGCGAGTAAACAATATACTCGCTCTAGTCTCTCATTAGCTTAATTGCAAAACTCAGTAACATTAATTACGAAGCTATATTCTTTTCCATAGTTACAGGTAACATTCTTTCCATCCTTCCAACCTATAGGAGGATAGTGAGGTGTAGTCCAATCACATAAGCAATCGACAAGCGATTAATCATCCTTGGACACATTCAGAGGTCACGACCTCTCCGTAGGGTACAGTCGCACCTTACGGGTAGGGTGCAGTTGCACCTTGTTTGAGTGCAAACACTCAAACGACAAGGCCGACGGGTACTTATCAACTGGGTGCCAAGTCATGTGGGAATAATAGGAAATGACATTACAGACGAAGCTGCAAAACTTGCAACTAAGAGAAGAAATGTAGACATTTACATACCACAGTCTGTCACAGGTTAAGAAAGTAATTGCGAACAGAGCAATGCAAAAGATGTACGGTGACCACAACACAGCAGTTGCAACATCAGGATCTGCGAGTTGGTACAAGAATTCAACCAACTACGAACCACTTAGTCTGATGAAAGGGAGGAGTAGATCAACAGAAGTACACTTACATCGCATCAGTCTTGGATACCCATGTGCATGGGAAATAAGCTTACAGGTTCCGGAAGATGAGAGGAAATGTCAGCACTGTAGGTAGAAAGATGCCCGACAGACCACTGGAACATTATCTAATACAGTGCACAGTTACAAACTTATTAAGATTTCAACTTAGATTCAACAGAGCAGAAGTTGTTAAACACGTGGGACAAAATCTTGTCCCATGAATGAAGCGACCATACGAGTCATAAATACTCATACTCCGCCCAAGTAAAACGGAAACAAGCAACACTTAAACAAGCAACACTTAGTGCGCCAGCCAGAGGCTTAGGGCCCGCGCAGGAATATCCCTTCCAAAAAAAAAGTGATTACGGGGAAGTGAGGGTCTAGCTTTTAATAATTATGCTTCGCCTAGTAGTCTTGTTGTACATGCTGAGGTATAATTTAACCATTCTGGCGCTCTCCGATCCTGTATACAGTACAGCTAGTCCTGGAGCTTGGCACTTAATTAATGTACAAGAATGTAACAACTCTTGTATATATCTAAAAAAAAGGTGTGTGATTGTGGAGGCTAATAGATCAGCCTGGCATTTCATGTTCTCACCGTTTTTAGCCAGTGTTGGTTTGTTTTTGTATTGAGATTGGTATTTTCTCCCCTGTATGACTAGCCATCCTGTGAGATGGGAATGTTGGATGAACTTATAGCTAGTTTTTTATATATACACTCTAATCTTTCATATAGAATAGGGTAGCAGCACATTGTTGTGTATACCTAATCTTGTTAACAAAAAAAAGTTGATGAAATTTTAATCTGTGTCTTCACTGTATTTTTAACTGCAGACTGATAGTAATTGATCAAAGAAAGCATCAAGCCGGGGAGACTACGCGGGATATTCGCAAGGCGCACCACTGAGCATGCCAATACGAAAACAAAAGGACAAAAGGATAGGGCGAGCGATATCCAAGGCATCGGAATTACTAAGAATTCTATTCAGGGACAGTGCCCGTGGTTATATCCCCCAGTACATACATGAGGGAAAGCAAGACAAGCTAATCTCCTGAAAATCGGGACACTCTACAAGGAAGTGGACAAATGTATACTGAGTTGCTAATAAACAAAAAGTCTATATCTTTTTTTTGATATGCATGTGATGTAAAAAAAGTACAATCATTGGCAACGCAACTACTATGGTTGCTCGGTATATATACATACTATAAAACAGTAATAAAATATGATATTTCTTAAAACTTTAATAAAAGAATATAATTATAATAATAGAATATTAAATATTATATCAAGATATTATTTGTGTTTTATTCATATCAATGAGATCCTTGGAGACGAACTGTACCAGCTGTCCATTACACGACCAGGAAATACGACTCTATGTTGTTTACGTTTACAACAACAACAACAAACACGAGCACATGGAGTGAAGGAAAGTCTTAAGTTATTGTTAGTATCTTTATGAGTACTGTTTACTAAACTTATGTAAATAAAGAACATGTGTTTCGCGTAGATGGTTTTTCTGGGTTTTACCCCGTTCGAATGTTGATGACAAGCATGTGTTTCAGAAGGAGAGACAATAATGGATGACTACGAGCAAGACGGCAGCGAGTTACGGCTGCCGGAGCTGCAGCTTCCTGAAGGCTTGACGGCCGACACCCTAGCTGACGTAAGGATGTTTCTAAACTGTTGCAACGGGGTCAGAAAATGAAGGGGGGAATACATTCAATTTCCGTGGCGCAGTGGTAAGACACTCGCCCGGTGCTTCATAGGCGATTGATTGATAAAGATTAAGCCACTCAAGAGGTGGCACGGGCATGAATAGCCCGTAAGTGGTGGCCCTTTTGAGCCATTACTAGTATCAATAGATGATACTGGAGATCTGTGGAGGTGCGACTGCACCCTGTGTGACGGGAGATGTTTCCGTGCTTCATAGGTGCTTTAGCCTGGGTTCTTATCCTGGTCGGGGAGGATTGACTGGACACCAATCCTGAACTGTAGCCTCTGTTCACCCAGCAGTAATGGGTACCTGCTTGTTAAACGATTCGCTGAGGCTTTGTTATATTGTGTTATATCAAAACCTAACACAACCGTACCTTATGCCCTACCCTGCCTTACACCCTTCCCTGCTTTATACCTTACCCTGCCTTATACTCCTTCCCTGCCTTATACCCCTGCCCTATTCCCCTACCCTGCCCTATACCCCTACCCTGCCCTATACAACTACCCTATACCCCTACCCTGCCCTATACCCCTACCCTGCCCTATACCCCTACCCCTGCCTTATACCCTAACCTGCCTTATACCTATGCTACTTTATACCATAACCTGCCTTACACCCTAACCTGCCTTATACCCTAACCTGCCTTATACCCTACCCTGCCTTATACTCTATGCTGCCTTATACACTATACAGCCTTATACCCTGTGCTGCCTCATACCCTACCCTGCCTAATTCCCAATGCTGCCTTATACCCAATGCTGCCTTATACCAAATGCTACCTTATACCCAATGCTGCCTTATACCCAATGCTGCCTTATACCCTACCCTGCCCTATACCCTTCCCTGCCTTATACTTTATCCTGCCTTATACCCTATCCTGCCTTATACCCTATCATGCCTTATATCCCCACCATTCTCCATTCCCCCATCCCCTCGTCCCCAGCATCCCAAACTCCCCCATCCCCTTGTCATCCTTCCCCACCATTACCCCCTCCCTTGTCCCCTCGTCATCCCCACCATTCCACACTCCCTTGTCCGATGGCTGTGGCTGTGTCTACCGGGCTGTGGTGGGTATGTGGACCTGCGGGCCGCTCCAAGCAACAGCTTGTTGGACCAAACTCTCACAAGTCAAGCCTGGCCTCGGGCCGGGCTTGGGGAGTAGAAGAACTCCCAGAACCCCATCAACCAGGTATCAACCAGATGCCTTCCCAAATGGTCTGATGTTCCCATCAGAAAGTTGGGAACATCAAGTGATCTGATGTTCCCATCACTGAAATATAAGAAAAACAGTTAAAAAATGAAATGAAAATATGAACAAATAAAAAAATAAACTATACTCACAAAATGAACGGTATGATAAACAACACAGCTCAATTCCAACACAATTCACACAAAATAATTAAATCAAAATGAAAATATATTAAAATCTATGAAAATTCAATTTATCAATGCAATCAGAAACATTGAAATGTAATTGTAACATATTTAGTAAAGCATGTGTGTTACTCTTACATACAACAGATGGTGCTGTTTTTCAAGAAAAGCATAGTTTTACCTGTCACAGGTGTGGCATCTATAATTATACTTACGAAATGAACAGTATGGTAAACCACTCAGCTCAATTCCAACACAATGTCACACAAAATAATCCAATGAAAAATAAAATAAATCAAAATCTATGAAAAAAAATTTATTAATGCAATCTGAAACATTGAAATGGAATTTGTGACATACAGTATTTGGTATAGCGTGCATGTTGCTATTATGTGCAACAGATGACTCTGTTTTTCAAAAATGCATGTTTTTACCTGTCACAGGGATGGCATCTATATAGTAGATATATAAAAAGACGCGCCTATTCGATTGCAACTTTGTGTCAAAGTTTCAAAGCAATCGGTGAAGAACTTTCGGAGATTACAGCATGTGTTGCTTTTAAGTCCAACAGATGGTGCTGTTTTTCCAAAAAAGAATGTTTTTTCGTGTCACAGGTGAGGCATGTATATAGTAGGTATGTAAAAAGACGAGCCTATTCGAATGCAATGTTGTATCAAAATTTCAAAGCAATCGGTAAAGAGGTTTCGAAGATTTCCCTCATGAAAAACACAGGAAAATACAGTTTTTCAGAAAAAGCAATATTTTTTACCATCACAAACGTGACATCTATATAGTATGTATATAAAAACCTGCTCGAATGTGAATGGAATGTTGTTTGAAAATTTCAAAGCAATCAGTGAAGAACTTTGGGAGATTAGCGGTTATGCACAAACGAACATCTCCATTTTTATTTATATAGATTGGGTGATTTGCATGAAACTTATACACCTTACTGAATGTATACCTATCTGTAAGGGTGTCAATTTTGGAGGAAATTGGTTGATGTCAACTGCAGCCCACAGGTGGCAGAATCTTAGGCTTCATTTATTGTCAATAAAAGTAAATTAACATAAAAGTATTTCTACTTCCATTTTTTATTCAATTTACATGAAACTTACACCTTATATGTAGAGTTTATGTCTCTACAAATAATATTAGACTTTTTCCCCTAAGTTTATTTATTGATTTTATAAATAGTTTTAAACGTGATATATTTGCATAAATTTTTGGGGAATGTTGACTATTTGTATTAGTAAAACTAAATATATTTTGGATAATCCTGTGAAGTAAAATCCTTTATTATATGCTAATGTGATAGATGAATGTCATAGAAATGATTTAATTTGAAACTTGTGGTTGTGAAGTTTAATTGAAAATGTGGAAAATTCACAGGAAAAAAAAATATAAATTCTCCCTTTCGATTTAGGTTGCAATATTGAAACATGGAACAGGTGCAGCCCTTTTCATATACAATTAGTAAAAAAAGGTTTGGTTGACATTGAACAACTTTGAATGTATCGCATTATGACCCCTTAAAGAGAATTTGATCTAACTGAAAACCCCCATTTCTGTGGGGAGCCCCTACGGCTCCTTGGAGCTTATCGGGCTAATGTATGTCATATTAGACCGGGACATTAGCTATGAAGTTCAGACCTACCAGAGGCCAGCGCCAGAACCTGGCCCCTTCAGAGAGGTTTCAGGGAGCATCTACCCCTTGTTAGCTTGGGTGTTAACCGCTTATCAACACCTTGCCCGGGGCTTCCCATAGCAGTCAGCCTATGGGCCATGAAAAACCCTGTCGGGGCTCGGTGGACCATTTGATGTGTCTTCCGGGTTCCATCCTGTCATGTGCGGGTTCGTTGGTTGCTGTCCCCTTGTCTCAGGGTGACAGTCGCCACTTTTACCCTTGTCTCAGGGTGACAGTCGCCACTTCTACCTCCGTCATGCTGCCTGTTCGGTCACTGACACCTTGACCCAGAGTCTTGCGAATTATGTTCTCTGCTTGTTCTCCAGAACTCTCCTGATGTCATTACTGTTCAGAGTACAGGCGACATCCGCATTGCAAGCTTGGTTTAGGTTGCTGCAACGTGCTAGGTTGGTTTCCCACCTAGATATCCTGGGGCCGCCCCATTTTGGTTTGGTGCCTAGATGGTGTCCCTGGACGTACGGGTCCCTTCTTGGCTCGTTCCTCTCCAGGGTTCCAAGACTGGCACAGTTGGTGGTGGGGCTTCAGGCTTGCCACTTTTGTTGCCTTCCCTAGTTTGTAATTGGCACTTAGTGTATTTATGTATCTTTACCGGATCTTGGTAACCTGTCTGCGTCTGTTCTGGATTCGGTTTCTGGCCTACCTCAATGACTGGTTGGTGTGGGCTCCTAGTCGGTCCGCTTGTCTGCTCGCCAGGGGTGTGGTTCTTTCCAGTTTGCCGGGTTCGGGTTCCTGGTGATCTGGAGGCTGTTCCATCTGGTTCCATCCCAGGTTTGGACCTGGCTGGGTCTTTGTTTAGGACTCTTGGACTGCTTTTTTGTCTTTCCCTCCAGAAGTGTTGCTGTGGTCCCGCCTTCGGCTGTTTATGAGAGGGGGGGGGGGTCCCGGGTCACTCGGCAGTTGCTTGAGCGGTTGTGTGGGAGTCTGAACTTCGCCGTGCTGGTCTGCCTGCCGGGTATGGTTTGGCTTTGGTGTCTGCTGGTTCCTTCGGGGACTCCCTTTCCACCTCTCTCACGATCGTTGGGTTTGTCCTCTGGGGATCTTGTGTTGGTGCTGCGTCGCCAGGTTTCTCTGGGGTTTTCGGGGTTCCGTGCCAAGGCATGGAACCCCAAAATCTCCCGCTGGTCCCTGGTAGGTCTGAACTCCATAGCTAATGTCCTGGTCTAATATAACATACATTAGCCTGATAAGCTCCAGGGAGCCTCCGGGGCTCACCCAGAAAATGGTGTTTGATTACATTCAACGCTGGTTTTTTAAGCAATGCTGTAATTCTAACCATTTAGATTAGATATTGGCTTGGTAGACCATGTTTTTAAACATATTTGAGATTATTGCAGAGATAAATTTGAGATCTGAATTTTGTAAATTAATCCTTCAAATTTAGTGGGACATTTATGCATCTTTGTGTTTCAGCTAATGACAGCGGTACTGCTTCACCAAGCCTATTGTCAAACTGATCCTTGGGCTCAGTGGCTCATTGTAGCAACAGTTGAAATTATACATGGCCGTCCTGTTCCAAGGTTAGATCAAGAGATGCTTAACTTGCTGCAGGGCATAGCTATGACAGAAAATCCAGAGAGAAGCCCAAACTCTTCCCACACTTATGATCAGGTTTTGGGAGAAAGTTCATCTGTAACTTGCTCTGATAAAGAGCAAAACCCAGGAATGGAAATGACAAGTTGCAAAAGTGAAGTTGATACAGATAAGGAAATGCAATTTAAACACAACAAAGAACAAAAGAATATTAGCTTAATGAAAAGAAATGAAAGTGCTAACAAACTGGCTGAGATGACTTCATCAAATTGTTTAGAAGGTTCTCGTGATGTAACATCAGAAAGAAAATCAGAATTAGACAGTTTGGCCACTGGTGTTGATGTTAGTGTACAGATAAGCCCAAGAATCATGGGTATAATGTGTAACAAATGGATACAGGTGAAAAAAGTAAAGAAAATTGCACAAAGTAGTCAGACTGAGAAATTATTGTATAAGGATCAAGAATCTCAAAGTGAATATACTGATCATTTTATAAGATTATTTGAAAACAAATGTGATAAAGAGACGCAAACAATGATTATTGAAAAGGAAAACTCAAGCAGTAATAAAGAGACGCAAACAATGATTATTGAAAAGGAAAACTCAAGCAGTAATAAAGAGACACAAACATTAGTCTTAGAAAAGGAAAAGCTACACTGGCATTTAGGACAAACAAAAGCATCTTTGAATAATGAATGGCAGTTAATTCATATGTCTGGTTTGCCTGAACTCAGAAAACACTGCAGTAAAACCAGTTCTGATAATATTAAGAAAAAACACACATCAGAAAAGAAAAAACATATAATTCCATGTGGTTCTTCCATTCGGCACTCTTCTCAGAAACCTTTGATGAATAAATATAATAAATCGGTAGATAATGAAGAGAGGATAAATGATTCAAAAGACATGGATCTCCTTTCAGGTAATTCTGATAACAGTGAAATCAGTATTCCACTGTTTCATGGTAGACCATTAATACAGTCAAAGAGTAAAATGACTGCTGCTTTAATTCCTGTGGATCCTGTTAGCGAATTTGCAATCATAATGCTTGAGGATCCTCGCTGCACTTAATTGTCTTCTGTGTAGACAATTAAGACTTCTGTCTTCAGAACTTTAGTTTCTCCTTTAACTATTCATGTGCATTAATCCAATGATCACAGTTGGTTAAAACAACGCTTCAGGTATTTCATTTCTGTAGATTTAAAAGTGCTATAGATTTTATATACTGGTACTCTGTATTATTCATTATTTTTGTTAATCCTTTGTATCCAGGAGATCATCAATAATATTGTGCCTCTTAACCACTGTATTGCACAGAGCTCCCTAAGGCACTCTGAGAGATTTTTTTTTTTTTAATTAGGCTATATTTTAATGTTTTTTAATGTTTTCATCACTCTTTGTGTTTTGAAATGTAAATGGTTGAGTTTGGAAACATTTTTACATTAACTTTGCCTGAACATTTATAAAAACAACAAAAATGTGTCCTTGACAATTGCATTATGAAGTTTTTGCCAAAACAAGGTGAGCAGTGAGGTGGTTAAGGAGATTTCAAGATTTTTTTTCTTGGTTGGCATCAAGAAGAAAAATATTGTGTAAAATGTTTATGCACATGATTAGTTCTCTAAGCATTGTTTCCTTTCTTTTTTTGGGCCTTTCATCCACCTTCCTCTCCCAGCTTTGCTCTTTGGGCACCCTACAAGCTTAGGTGTACAGTTACGGTGCATACAACATACAGCGCCCGGGAAGCGTTCGGCCGTGCGCTCGACATGGTGGCTGCTGGGTAACTGATGCCTCTCACGCGATGGTAGCGTGAGCTGGATTTTTTTTACAAAATGGAGGCTGTTTACTATAGCCCCTGGGCAGTGTATGGGGGCCCCCCTCTACCCCGCAGGCCTTTCAAATCTAGTGCGGTTATCTTGGTTATCTTGAGAGGATTTCGGGGCTTAGTGTCCCTGCGGCCCGGTCCTCGACCAGGCCTCCACCCCCAGGAAGCAGCCCATGACAGCTGACTAACTTCCAGGTACCTATTTACTGCTAGGTAACAGGGGCTTCAGGGTGAAAGAAACTCTGCCCATTGTTTCTCGCCGGCGCCTGGGATCAAACCCGGATCCACAGGATCACGCGTCCAGTGTTCTGTCGCTCAGCTGCCAGCTCCCTTAACTCCAATACCTCCTTAACTTAACTCCGCGGTACTCCAATACATCATATGATGTGGAGCGCAAGTTACTGCAAGTCACTCAACACATCATATGATGTGTTGCGCAATTAAAGGGTTAAAATTCGCTATGATTTTCTGGTCCATAGGCTGAATTAGAGGAGTGGTGTTAGGAGGAAGGAACTTTACTGTGAGAAAATTACTGTATCTGTGCAACAATTCATCTTCCACGCCTGGAGGATGAGCAGGAGCATTGTCGAGGAGAAGCAGGGCCTTGAGTGACAAATGTTTCTCCTGCAGATATTTTTCTATGGCAGGGCACACCACTTCATTCACCCACTCCAAAAAAAAATCCTAGTCTCCCATGCCTTATTATTAGCCCTCCACATCACACACATTTGGTGTTTCTGCACTTTATTCTGTTTGAAAACCCCTAGATTTTCAAAATGATACACTAACAAGGGTTTAATTTTCAAATCGCCACTCGCATTTGAACACAGCACAAGCGTAAACCTATCTTTCATAGGTTTGTGTCCAGGCAATGATTTTCCTCCTTGGTAATGTATGTCCTCATAGGCAATCTTTTCCAGAACAGTCCTGTTTCTTCACAATAAAACACCTGTTGCAGTAGGCATCCCTCAGCTTCTGCAAACTCTTTAAATTCTTCAATAAATCTTTCAGCTGCTCTTTGTCTAAGCTTGCAGCCTCCCCATGCCTCAACACTATGAATACCGCTTCTTTTTCTAAATTTCTCAAACCATCCCCTGCTTGCCTTAGTCTTTCGTATCCGCACTCGTTCCTGGGGTTTTCTTTACAAGGTCTTTGTGCAATACCCTGGCTTTCTCACAAATGATGGCCTCTGAAACACTATCACCTGCTAACTTCTTGTTGTGTATCCAAATTAATAACATCTTTTCCACTTCCTCAAGTATTTGTGGTCTTTGTTTTGTGATTGTTGATACTCCTTTTGCCACTTTAGCACTCATAATGTCCTTTTTCTTGGCAAGTATAGTGCATATCATTGACGTGGATTTGTTGTACTGCCTACAAAGTTCAACAACATGTGCACTAGTTTTATGCTTCCGAATGATCCTTGCTTTTCCTCTATTGTCATCCTCACATGCGATTTCTTGCCTTGAACCTTACCACTGGCTTTCTTGGGACCCATTGTGATATATATTATAACAAATTTTATGCTCAAATAGCAAAAACTCCGAAAATACACGGTAAATCCTTGTGAAGAATTCAGGCGGGATAGTCACTGGGCGAGAGGCACTGGTAAACTCAGCGGCGATTGCCGTGCCACTACGCGCTAGGTCGGCCCGTACGCGTATCAACACCCTCCTATCCCGATACAAATTTTCCAAGCAAATCCTGCTTGTAACCCGAAAAACTCGTTACCAGGGGCGCTCGTAAGCTGAGGTACCGCTGTATGTGGTGATCAGGTGGCTTCCTTGATGGTGTTCCACCTGTGATCTTCCTCTTCATACCATTATGGTAAGAAGTCCCCTGGCGGTCTTTCCGCCATTTCCTTTCCCTTCGTAGGGTCTCGTCGGTAGCTGTTATGGTTTTGTCCTTTCTTGACTTTTTCAGAACCGGCTTCTCATACTGTATACTGTTGCTTCTTATCATGCCGCATTGGCAGAGCCTCTCCAGCTTGTGTTCGGGGTGGTTGTCACTTCTGCTCTGTTCTGTAAGCTCTCTCATGCGTTTCTTCACCTTTGGCCTGCTCATGCGCTGCCTGAGCCTTCTTGGTCTTTGGACCAAGTGCTCTCATTTTCCTCCTCTCTTCGGTTTGTTGTGCCCCCTTCGGTCCGTGATTGTTTTATGAAAACTTTGTTTTTGTTGGTTTTAGCCTTTGGGGGTCTGGTTGGGGAACCTCATGCTCTTCTCCGGTACAAAGGGTTCTGCTTCTTTGGTCCTGAGGGTCGTTTTATTCGTTTGCAGCCCTCTCCTTCTCTGGAGAAGACTGAATGGTAGGTTTCCGGAGAGTTCCGTGGGTTGTTGATGCTTGGTTGGTTAGGCCTGGGTGCATCGTGTTTTGTGTCCGGTTGTGGCTTTATGTTGCTACCTGCGGGCCACTAGTTTAGTGACCAAGGATGCACACTCTGGGGTGCTCCGGTTTTCCTGGTTCCCTGTTTCAGGGCTTGTGTTTGTCAGGTTGTCCACAGGGTTTTTAAGTCTAGCCAGCCTGTGAAAATCAAACAAGGTCCTGGCTGCCTGTTATCTTGTAATTGTTTCTGGCCCTCTGCAGCTTTGGGATGTCTGTCACGGCCTGTTGTCGCTTCTTTGTCTTGAGACATGCAGTGCTGCTGTTACCTGGGTAAGTCTCAGTTTTTAATTCTCTGTGGATAGATAGCTTCAAGGAGCCGACGGGGCTTCCCACAGAAAATCAGTGTTTAATGTAATGAACTCCGTTTTCTGGGCAAGCCCTGGAGGCTTCCTGACATCTTCTCTCCTTCAAGTCAGCGGTTTTCACCATTCTACGAACTAGAGGGTTTGAGCGGCCGGCTTGCCTCAGCGGGGTCCCACTTCCCCGATGGGGGAGGATGGGAGCGCTAATGAGCGGGTGCGCTTGTTGAATGACGATTTGCTTGTTTGATTGTTTATTTGGGGGGGAGTCCTTTGGCTCTGTTCGGATGTAGGTTGCAGTTTTTACAAGTTGAAGGTTTATATTGTTATGCCTACTTTTCTGGGAGTATACCCCGGTCGATGGCAAACATGACATACTCTAAATGTAGAGTGCTCATATGGACATTGCTCCTTGTGCCTCTCTGAAGGGCCAAGTTCTGACTCATGGTCCCCAGTAGGCTAGAACTCCTATAATTGATGTCCCCAAACTACAGCACATATCGGTCTGGATAGCTTCAGGGAGCCTCCGGGGCTCGTCCAAAAAATGGCTTTTCATTACTTTCAACAGTATTTTTTTATATATATATACAGTATGCTATACTTTATAAAGAGTTACTAGAGTAGGACTCATGTGGTATTGCATGATTCCTCAGGTGTGTATAGAGAATATATCACTTTATGCATTAGAGACAATTGTTATCTATATTTTTGTAAACTTATTTTAGTCAGTATTTCCTCCAATTCCTCTGTTCTGTTGCTCCTGGTCCTCCTCTCCAGTCTTGTTTTTTAAACTCTGTCCTCATGCTTTTGCACTCTTCCTTCTTCCCTTCCCCTTCTTACTTGGCTATTTAATAATGATTAGCAGGACAATTTATGGAAGGTCTTTAATTACATGCAAACTTTTTAATTCTTTGCATTGCCACACACCCTATTCATGTCATAGACCTGTTGACTCAAGAATTATTTGTATGTAAATTTCATACAGCAGCCATTTGAAGAGGCATACAGGAGCAGTATTAGTGGTAGTAGGAGTGAAGAAATAAAAATTATAAATATTTTTAAAGATACAGTACTGTACTGCCTATCGAGAATAGATTCTTGGAGTAAGAACTAGGCAGAATTAATAGCTTGAATCTGTAATTATATCTGTTATTTGTTTATATCATCAAGTTTAAATAACTATTTTTATGTTTTATTAGAATTATTTGATTACAATTATTCTTAACTTGTTTTGTATATAAAATTTGTTATCTTTACAGATCTTGGTAAATTTTAACTATATCTTTACAATTTGCTTTTTTCCATGCCTTAGTTTACATTTTTTGTTTCCACTGAAATTTTAAAAATTTTTGTTTTCAAATTCAACGTTATATAACCTCTGCCTTCAACTGGTGCAACAACTTTGCTACTGGTTGCACTGAGACTCCTGCTTCCCAGTGATCTATTGTGTGAAACACAGGGGGGGGGGGTAATTTTGGGTAGAATGGCTTTTAGATTCTTGGGGGTTCAGTTCTTGTGCAGTTCACATTTGGGGCTCCTGGTCGGCATCATTCTCATGGGCAGGGTTGGGCTCCAGGTTCAGTACTGTTTCCTTTAGTTCCATCCCTTTTTCTGTCACCAAGACCATCTGGTGAGCCATTCAACAGCTTCTGATTCAGGTGTTTCAGGGTTCTGTCCCATGGCTCCTCCCTTTCCTTGCGCTTGACATTTTCATGGACGCCTCAGCCTTGGTTTGAGGGTTTGTGATCAGCACGCACCTGGCTGCTCAGGGTAGTTGGGTGGATCCATTGAACAACCATGCACACTTGTATGGTGTGCACAAAACCATGAACTTGTGAATCATGCGCATAGCATGATACACAAGTTCGTAGCAGTCTGGCACACTCTGCATTTGCTTCATCTCCTGGAGAGCTTCATAGTCTGGCTTCACTCCTGCTTCCCAGTGATTTATTGTGTGAAACACAGGGGGGGTAATTTTGGGTAGAATGTCTTTTTAGATTCTTGGAGGTTCAGTTCTTGTGCAGTTCACATTTGGGGCTCCTGGTCGGCATCATTCTTATTCATTGTGGAAGGATGCCTCAGTGTGCGGGTCGTCATGCCAGCTCTTTTACGGTTCAGCAACAAACACAAATGTCACAGACCTCAGGGTCAAAGGTATCACCAACCCACCAGGGAACATGGTGAAGGCAGAAAGAATGACCATCAGCGTGTAGCAAGGCCGACATGCACCTTTCAAGCACAAGTTGCAAGTGCAGGCTCTGCAGGTCGATCCATCATGAACCACAATGAAGACCCGCCGGACCTACCAGGGCCTGAACGAATATAAAGGGAGGACACACAAGCACTAACAATACTCGCTAAAAGAACCAATGCTGAATGCAGTCTTGGTGACAGAAGCAGCTGTGAAAGGCATCAGCGGCATGCCGTATAGACAAATATGCAAACCCTAGTGTTCCCCACAGCAAAAAAAACAGTGTTGAATGTAATGAAATGCCTCTTTCTAGTAGAGCCCCTTGGTGGCTCAATGAAGCTGTCTCACTGAAATGGCTTCCCACTACTGGGTCACATCAGTCATAAGAGTCCTTTTGGCTTACTGGGGTCCAGAACCTAGCTTCTCCTCCCATAGAAGTGCAGAATTGTGGATGTATTATTGTCACCCACTGATTGTTTTTGTTATTGACAGTTCTCTCCTTGGAAATGACAGAAGCGAGATAAACCATCTGTGAGAGCACTGGACTCATCCTGCATGTGAATTGCACAGAAAACCAAACTCCAAGAAGCCAGAGGACTGAAGCAGAACACCCTC